CCTATGATTGCGTTGGATAAAAATCGCAATTTATATACGTGAACATGCAAAACAAATTTCGTGGTAGAGGGGTCTAAATACGGCACAAACAACATTTTCCAAAAGACCAAAAAAGTGAAAAAGTATATTTAAACAAAACGCATTTGGCTAACAGGTCGAACAACAGATGTTCTTAAACCCGACTGCCATTGGCGATTGCCAAATAAACGGATCACAAGATGTAACAAAATGGATCTTTATTATTAATTTAATACCAAACAGAAAACAATAAACTTGCGGAAAAGATGGTATACCGCAAACATGAGGTGCAAACATTTGTACACTATATCCGGATTTCGACAATTAATGTCTCTTCAGTGATGTAAGGAATCGAAACGGTATTTGGAAGGCCATATAATTTACCTCAATTTAGGATAGACTCTTGAATTTTTAAGAGTCGAAATAGGATGAACGGATCATATAAACCCGAAGGCAAATATAATACAAGCCCAAACGAAAAAATATAAATAAGTCTAAATTGAAGACAACGTTCAAACCTATGATTGCGTTGGATAAAAATCGCAATTTATATACGTGAACATGCAAAACAAATTTCGTGGTAGAGGGGTCTAAATACGGCACAAACAACATTTTCCAAAAGACCAAAAAAGTGAAAAAGTATATTTAAACAAAACGCATTTGGCTAACAGGTCGAACAACAGATGTTCTTAAACCCTGCTGACTGCCGTTATATATATGTCTCTGCCACCCACTGAAATCCACTGCAATGTCAACAAGGGTAGCTATATACACATATATATGTCTCTCCCCCCCACCACTGAAATCCACTGCAATGTCAACAAGGGTAGCTATATACACATATATATATGTCTCTGCCCCCCACTGAAATCCACTGTCAACAAGGGTAGCTGACAAGCAGAGAAATTACGCAAAAAACTAAAAATCATCTTAATATTTTTCTAAGACAAACTTTTTTTTTAAATGAGCATTTCGAGCGTCAAATTAGTTGTATTTTTATATTATCATTGCATTTTAATATAGTAATACTTTTTTTTCGATTCTTAAAGATATCAAAGGTTGCCTGATCATAAGTTTAAATCCTGCAATGTTTTAATTCCTGCGAAAATTTTCCCAGTCCAGCAGTAAAAGCTATCCTAAATAAGGGCGACCGTTTAGCTGTGTGGGGTGTATTAATATGCAACCCCGTCCGGTCAGAATAGGGACTTTGAATTTGATGCATCTTGAAGGGAGAGTGCCAAAATCTCTACACGTTACAGATTCCTTGTTACAATGTTTTAAGGGTCTGTTGAAAGATAAAATGTCCTTCCCTATCCAGCATACAATAATTTTCCAGTGGTAGTCAAACTTTTCGCTCACTATAGAACCTAGTGAATTATCATTTAATGCTGATTTATCTCCCTGAATATGCATGAAATATTTGCCTCTGGACTTTCAGCAGACAAAAATCAATCAATCCTACAATAATTTGATTGTCAAAACTCGGGTATGTTAAATATTAAAATAGAAACAATTGCAATCTATGCGATACTAGTCACAAAAAAAAAACATATACGTGATTGTGTTGTACAAAGCATGATGGAAACGACGGTAATAATAAAATGATAAGTCCAGAAATACAACCGTTCTTTAAACCCAATATCCTTAAATTAAGTAACAGTAAAAGGATAAGGTGACAATATTGGATGATCATAATCGCCCTATATAACCTTGATACAATTCTGTGGATATTGTAAAAGTCAATAGAGTGAATGGCCAAGCAGCTTTCAGAAAAAAAGATTTAAATATTTATTTTTTGCGGATAATGACATGCCATCTTACTGTACAGCTAAACGTGAATGTTGGACCAGTTTTTAACATAAACTGTTATCACATAGATATGTATCGCCTTTTTGTAATTTTTTAAAATGTTGAAATTAAATTAGCAATACTTTAACATGTAAGTTATGCAAATATTCAAAGTCGATGAACCATGACTGAAGGTACATGGCTAAACAATCTCCATGGAATGTGCCAATGCTAATACAACTGCATACCAAATACCATTGACTTATTATAAGTCGTTCCCTTTAAACAAACCTAAACACAAACATTAACTTGTAAACTATGTAAAAGTTTCAAAGTCAATGAATTATGAAGAGGGGGTGGGCATATATAATCTCCATGGAAACTATACTTGCAAATGCCAATAAATTTGCATACCAAATATCATTGACTTAACATTAGCAGTTCATCTTCAACTGATCTAATCACAAACTAATACATGTAAACTAAGCAAAAGTTTCAAAGTCGATAGACCATGACTGAGGGGGCGGGGCCAAATATTCTCCATGGCAATGAGATGTACTAATGCTTATACAACTGAATATCAATTAACATTGGCCTACCATTAATGGTTCCCCTTGTACTGACCTAATCACAAACTAATACATGTTAATTAAGCAAAATTTTCAAAGTCAATAGACCATGACTGAGGGGCAGGGCCAAATAATCTCCATGGAAATGAGATGTGTCAATGCTAATACAACTGCATACCAAATATGATTGACCTACCACTTGTGGTTCACCATAAACTAGACCTAATCACAAACTAATACATTGTTGACAACGACTCCGCCGACACCGGAAACAGCATACCTATGTCTCGCTTTTTGACTTCATCAAGGCGAGACAAAAATGGGTCAGACTAAAACGACTAGGTTATACATAATGTTTCTTGAAAAAAGGGACGATGGTGTATAAGCAAATGCAAAAACATAAACAGCCTGTAGAAGTCTTTGAGTCTGGCGGCCTTAACTTGGTTCATTCATGTTAATAACAATAAAATGTTGCTTATAATGTGTATTTTATAAGTCAATAATTAATGGTAATAAAATGCTTCGCTGAGCGCAGCTGGATACGACGGCAGAGGTCCAACCCTGAACAGTTGGGGCAAAAATGGACACAATATTCACGCTTGATACAGGTCTGAATTTGGATTGTAATTAAATATTTGACACATAATAGGTTTCAGACACCGAATAACTGTAGTCAAAGAACTTAGAATTGGTTATATGATTTGAATTTATATACAATTTTTTGTTTTTGTGCAATACACTATGCTGTTGCAAAATTGACTCCCACCCCAAAAAAAAAAAAAAAAATTACCCCCCTTTTTTTTGCTTTTGTGAAATACACTATGCTGTTGCGTATTGACCCCCCCTTTTTTTGCAAAAAGAAATAATATTTGAAGAAATTTCTTTTTAATTTCTGAAATCTGAAATGAAAAAAAAAAATTGCCCCCCCCCCCCTTTTCCAAAAAAAAAGTTCTTTCCCTCAAGATATGGTCATAATCTCAATTCAAAATTCTATTGGAGTTTGCAACCATAATTACCAATTTAAATACATCATAAAAGTCTTAAAATAGGAAAAAAAAATCCCCCCCCCCCAAATTTGTTGAACCCCCTTATGATTCATCACCCCCAAACTCAATCCCAGCCTTCCCTTTGTGGTATGGTACCTTGTAGTACAATTTCAGAGAGATCCATACACTTGAACACAAGTTATTGTCTGGAAACTAGAAAAATGCTTGGTTTTTTGGCCCCTTTTTGGCCCCAAATTCCTAAACGTTTAGGGCAATTACCCCCAAACTCAAACCCAGCTTTCCCTTTGTGATATGGAACCTTGTAGTACAATTTCATAAAGATCCATACACTTACACACAAGTTATTGTCCTGAAACTAGAAAAATGCTTATTTTTTGCCCCTTTTTGGCCCCTAATTCCTAAAATTTTGAGGCAATTACCCCTGAAATCCAACCCAGCCTTCCCTTTGTGGTATGGTACCTTGCAGTACAATTTCAGAGAGATCCATACACTTGAACACAAGTTACTGTCTGGAAACTAGAAACATGCTTATTTTTGGCCCCTTATTCCTAAACGTTTTGGGCAATTACCCCCAAAATTAATCCCAGCATTCCCGTTGTGATATGGAACCTTGTGGTACATTGTCAGAGAGATCCATACACTAACACACAAATTATTGTCTGGAAGTTACAAAAATGCTTATTTTTGGCCCCTAATTCCTTAACTGTTGGTACCATAGCCCCCAAAATCAATCCCAACCTTCCTTTTGTGGTATTGAACCTTATGGTAAAATTTATTAGAGATCCATTCACTTAAACTAAAGTTAGAGTGAGAAAACCAATGTGTCTTCGGACCACGACGACGCCAACGTCATACCAATATACGACCGCAAAATTTTTTTGCGGTCATATAAAAAGAATGGATTTTCTGATACATTCACACTGAACACTGGACTTCCTGACCTCTGGAAATGGCCACCCTAGTGTCTAGTACAGTTTCGTTGCTTGGTGTGTCTTTCAGTATTAAGAAGTTTTACGTTTTATATATTTTCTGCTAAGTTGACTAATAGAGAATAATACCTATCAATATTTTCTGTAAAACCAAGCAGGAAATGATTAAAATAAGTTTATAAAGTGAACACCTTCAATCTACATGTAGACATTTTTATAACTTCAATGTCTGTGTTCAAAACTTTAAGATATTTTTCCAAAACAAAACATTAATGTTTCCTTCTTCAGTAACTTTTTTCTGTATGATTTAAATTCAAACTCAACAAGAATGCACACATTGTTTTGATAAGCATACCCCCACTCACTGGTAAGTCAAAGTATCTGAAAACAAGAAATAGGTGTCTGACACATCTGAAAAGTGCATAAACTTTACAATTCATCACTGTTGAGCTGCTGACCAAATGTCATATTGAAAAATTCAAAGTATTGGCAAACAGGTAGTGGATATCCATCAGAGTTGAAAAGTGCTCACACATTTCAACTTATCACTGTCAAGCTGTTGAGCAGTGTGTAATGAACGGATAAAGTGACTGTATAACATCAAGAACTAAAATTAACAAAACACTTTCAGAAGATGTTTTGAAATCCTATTCTGACCTTTTTATATTTCAATAACAACAAAACAAAAATTGGCATTAATAGTTTTTTTTTATTTCATATACAGATATCTTTCATTCAACTATATCTCATAATCAATTTGTATGACCAGTGACCACTCATTTCAGGTAAGTGACTTTATGTTTACATGTAGGGACACTATTATTAAAGATACAGTGCACCACAACTTACACTAAATCATTGCCACTCAATGCACTAGAGTAACTTTTTATATTAAGTGGCACATACACTAAACATCAAGTATATTTCTGTGTTTTGCCACTTACACTTGCAATAAAGATAATGTGTTTTTGTACTTGCAGTAAAGATAAAAAGTACAGACATTTACACTAAAGTTAAAGTGTATTGCCACTTACAAATAAGATAATATGCACTGTTATTTACACCTAGATAAAGATAGAATTTGTAAGAATCAGAAAAATTCACTAAAGTGCATAAAGAAATAAAATAAAAATCATGCATAACAATACTCCACCAACTAAATTAAAAATTAAAATATGGTGGCTCTAACTAATAAAAATAGGAATCCATTTTTTAAATTCTTTTGAAGGAAAGATTAAGTGTGCATCCATTTTAAAGTTTGAATCATAAAACCTTAGTAATTCTCTTATAGACATTTATGATCATTCCTTTGATTACAATCCAGTTTCCTGGTGCCAAAACAACTTGTATATTTGAAGAAAAAAAAATACCAATGTCTAACCATATGCAAACATTGATCAAATGTAACAACTTAAATAAATTTTGACAGTCATATAATGAGAAAATTAAATGAAATGTAAATATAACAACAAAAAACCTTTACCAATAAGTAAAATCTCAATTTTTAATGCAAAAAAAAAATATTGACTTTTTTTTACTATTCTTAGTATATGTGATTAATAGCAGATATTAAGTTTAAAAAATGGTATAATACATATGCAAATATCACATTTTATTTCATACAATTCATTACTTCAAACATATGACAAAATTTTCAGCACCATTTTGCCGTCTCAAACAATATAGCACTTAGATAACCAAAATTTACAGTATTTAACAAATAAGTTTGTCACTTAACATACAGTAAATCCCATCAGTATTAACTTAAATCCTAAAAATGAAGCTGAAAGTTTCTAAATCAACATTAAATAAAATAAACCTCTTGATTTTCAATTATCCAGCTCCATGTTAGTTCAACATTATGATAGATGACTGTATAGTACCTCATGATAACAGAAACTAAATTAATAAAACAATTGACCATATTTATTAATACTCCAATACATCATATCAAATAGACAAATAATACTTTAATATTGGGATGTACATTTAGATAAGATGAAAACTTATTTGTAAACAAGTCTAACACTTCACTAAATATTGCTTCAAATATAAAAGTAACAATACTTCTGACACATGAATCTTTTTCATGTTTAGTTTATTTTTTCATTCTGCTTAGATTTGGGTTGATCAAGCCAAACCTAAGCTACTAAAATAACTGAATTCTCATAAAAAAATGCCTACACTGGCAAATAGTTTTATACTGATGTAAACATGGTAAATACTCGATACTATTCATAAAGAGAATTCTACACTAACAACAGTTTTTGAGATGTCAGATTATTCTTTGTTTTAGATAGTTGTCAATTTTTTTTTCATTTCTTTTATCATCTATCAAAACATCTGGTTATCAGCATTACATTATTTATTAATTTTTAATGAGTATCTCTACCAATGAAATACTTGAAAATGTAAATTCTGATGTTAATGAGCCATTGAATGTCTGCATTGTTTGTTAAGCTTTGTCTACCTGCATATCAACATGTATATATAATCGATAACAAATCCCTCACTAACATTAATAAAGCAGCAAGAACAAAAAAATATAATATAATAAAATTTTAAAATTTTATAAATATAAATGTACCATTCACTTTTATGCTTTGATGATGAAATTTCTGCATTTCTATAATGAATAATGAATTAAACAAAAATTTCTACTGGCTTTTAAGTTTCTTTGACATAATGTATTATTTAGTTAGTAAATCTACATTGTTCATTTCTTGTGTCTATTTTCATTACATTAGTCTTTAATTTTATTATCGTGCTTTAAACCATAATGTCATTTTAGTATTTTGTATGATGAGACATTAATGGAAGCTGGCAAACATTATTGTCAAACCTTTATAATGGATACATACAGAATATTTGTTGATATTTATAAGGACAACTATATAAAACTCTTATTAACAGTTATTTAAAGCTGACCTAATCACGAAAAGTCAAGTGTCCAATGCCAGATTTTTCAAAATCTTGTACTCGTTCAAGCATTATCATAAAATGTGTTTTCATCAGTAACAGTCTTTGTAGGGCAGACAAACTTTAATATGTAAGATGAAGAAGATCTAAACTTTTGTAGGGCAGACAAACTTTAATATGTAAGATGAAAAAGATCTAAACTTTTGTAGGGCAGACAAACTTTAATATGTAAGATGAAGAAGATCTAAACTTTACATAATTTACAGAAATTTCATCACAAAGCATTAGTTATAACAATTTAATAAGGGTTCAAACAAGTATAAAAGTTCCAAACACAGTATGAGCACTTTAAATACAACACTGTACATATGGTTAGTACTATAAAATCACCACTCAAATCTCAGATTTTGTCATAAATACTATAAGTTACACCCTTCTCTCTAATACAATTTTCTCTTGGTCATTTTAGATTCTATGATGGTTAGCTCTCATTTATTTGAAAAAGTAAATAGAGTAAAATCTTTTACCAGACCAGTAGATAAATACCTTGTACAACAGTAGAGTTTGATAACTAAAATACTCAGCAATATGTGTAGTTTTTTGAGATAAGCAATTACTTTAGTTGGATTAACATCTTGCCATAACTATTAATTATTTACAGAAAATCAATATGTCACATTTCCCTTTTTTAAACCAAAATTTCATAAATAAAAAGAACAATGAATCCCTGCATTTCATGTATATCTTAAATCTGAACAGTTACATCCATCAAAATAATGTACAATTAACACTTATCTGTACAGACATCCAATACAGGAAAATTAAAGTTTTCTCAATCACATCTGCTGGTTTAACAAATAAAAATATCCTCTTATTTCCAATGAATATTTCAGATGGGATAATTATCAAGAAACATCAAACTTAAATCCTCAATCAAGCAGTCCATGGATGCATATTTAAATGGTACCTCATGCAGAAGGCAACTCTTGATCAAAATACATGAATCAGTCTCAAAATGGTTATCTGGTTAAAACATAAATTCATTATTATTCTGGATTCAAACCAATTAGGTATAAAATAAATTCCCAATTTTTTTTTTGTCATATGTTGAAAGGGAGATAATTCATAATCTTACAACACCATAGATTTCTCATGTAATTATTTATGGTTTTCAAAAAATCAGGGTATTAAAAATATGTTATTAATAATTTTTTGTAATTATTATATTTCAAACCTTTATTTGAGAGTGTTTCTAATAAACCAAAGTATCTCTCTTACGATAAAATTCGTAAGGGTTCCGCGGAACCCAGTGTCTCGCCTACTTTTGCTGTTAATTGCAGGCTCAACAAAAATGAGGAAAAAAATTAATAAAAATATTCCTCTCTATACTATCTTTTGATTGTAAGTAGCTTCTGTCCAAGTTTGGTAAAAATCCAGGATGGTTTTTGAATCTAATAAATGTTTTTAAAACTTTAACTGCAGACTGTATGTAAAGTTAACTGGAAGAAAAACTAAGTCCATTTATAAGTAAAATACGGAAAAAATGGAACATATTTTTATCAAAATTTTCTTCTAGATACTATCTTATGATCATAAATAAGCTTCTGTCCAAGTGTAGTACAAATCCAGGATAGTTTAAGAAAGTTGTTAAAATTTTAAAAACTTTAACCACAGAGTGAATGTAATGTTAACTGGCAGAAAAACTAAGTCCATTTATAAGTAAAATACGGAAAAAATGGAATTTTTTTTTTACAAAATTTACTTCTGATACTATCTTATGATCATAAACAAGCTTCTTTCCAAGTTTGGTAGAAATCCAGGATAGTTTAAGAAAGTTATTAAAATTTCAAAAACTTTAACCACAGAGTGAATGTAATGTTTCCTGGCAGAAAAACTAAGTCCATTTATAAGTAAAATACGGAAAAAATGGAATTTTTTTTTTACAAAATTTACTTTTGAATATAATCTTATGATCATAAACAAGCTTCTGTCCAAGTTTGGTAGAAATCCAGGATAGTTTAAGAAAGTTATTAAAATTTCAAAAACTTTAACCACAGAGTGAATATTTGTGGACGCCGCTGACGACAACGACGCCGACGGAATGTAGGATCGCTATGTCTCGCTTTTTCGACAAAAGTCGAAGGCTCGACAAAAATGACAGTAATCAATAAGTGACATCCAAAGATTCAATGTATGAAGATAAAATATAATACTAAATCACACATCAGCCATAACTTTTAATAAAAATAGATCACATTTTATGTTTTCAAACTCTGAATTTACAAGATAAATACAATGTAATTTTGATGTTCCGCTGGCCTTTCAAAAATAAAAAAATACTATTAAATTCAGAATATAACATGAACATTTATATTGCAAATCTTACACAAATGTAAGATTGATTTATTGTGATGCAAATCATGTCACAAATTTTGCATCTATACAATCATCTGATTAATGTCTGAATTTAACAACATCAAAATCAATGTAAGATAAACCCCAAAAAAATCTGCATATTACTAATCATGCCTTGTTCCCATCAATTATTATATGAAAAGTCATAATATTGGATGCAAATGCTACAATATGAGCATTTTACAAAGACTATGTGCAAAAAATTACCTGGGATGCATGTTATTATCTAGGTATATACATGTGAGTCAAAATGCATCAGATAAATGAAATTGATTGAAATTAAATCTGGATCAATGAAAAATTCAGATGTAGTTCAATGAATGCTAAATGTATACAACATTTCATAAAAATACCATCTAATTATGTGTAATTGACCTTAAAAGGAGCGTTATCACGGTAGAACATGTGGTATTTCAGAAAAAATCTCAGACCTAAAATCTTATCAGACAATAAAGTGTATAAAGTAGATCAGTGCAACCTTCTCTTGTAGAAGAGAGGCCAAAGATAACAAAGACATATTCAACCTCAAGAGATTGTAGGATTGATTACTCTTGAAACTGCATCTGAAAACCAAAGTTATATCAACCAACTTCTGAAAATTGGCATTAAAAGCACACAAAGCTGAATAAGACATGCACAATTAAACATGAATGCTTGACTGAAGAGAACTGATTAGTATATCTTGAGTAAAGTATCATTTGTTTCAATATCATGCTTTTTGGGACTTTAAAAAGAAAAAAAAAATGTTGAATTTCTTATATTGAAAGTTTGGAAAATGGTTGTCTGCCGCCACAAAATATTCATGACATAAGAAGGTTACATAATTCTATGACTTATTGCTTTATCATAGAACTTTTATCGTTATACAAATTTTGTGCAAAACAACATTGATTTTCAATGATAAAAATTTAAGGTACACCATAATAATAGCACTCTAAAAATGTTTAATACATAACAGAATATAATTTGAGGGTAAAAATGGACAATTTTCTTGAAAGAGTTTATATCACATGCACAACTTGTTTTCTGTATATAAATTACATCTCTCTGAGACCTCATGCCATCTTTAAACCTTCTGTTACCACACCGTGTAGTGATCCATCTTTTTCTGTAACTTTTCAGAAATTTACAGTTTATAACAAAAATTGAAAGTATGTAATTGTATGTGATTCATTCTAAAACTTCTAAATATGTGTTTGGAACTTTTCCCTTTTGTGAACCCCGCTCTGCCATTAACCAATCAGGATCCAGTCCCGGAACTTTGTACACTGTTATTAGCTGAAATAAAATAAAACAAATATAAAAGTAATTAAGTTCATATCTATAGCACACCACAAGTTAAAATACACAAAATACATGCACAAAACATCCATCATTTAGTGTGTGCACAGTACTGTTGATTTGACTCAATTAAACTATCTGACACATGTTAAGTTTTCTGGTGTTTAGTGGTTGCTGAAATTTATTACAAATAAATGGGGAATGTGTCCATGGGACACAGATGGATGCCCCCGCTTGCATATCATATAAAGTTATAAAGGGACATAACTGAACAAATGGTAAAAGTGACGCTACCCAAATTTGTACTTGATCTGAGTTTTGTGGTAATAAGTATTGTGTATAAGTTTCAGAACATTTGGTTGAGGCAAACTTAAGTTAGAGAACAGAAACGAAAAATTCAGCAATTTTTCCATTTGTAAAGGGGCATAACTTTAGAACAGTAAAAGTGACGCCACCAAAATTCAAACTTGATCTGTATTTTGTGGTAATAAGCATTGTGTATAAGTTTCATAACATTTGGTTCAGGTAAATTTAAGTTGGAGAACTGAAACGAAAAATTCAGCATTTTTTCCATTTGTAAACGGGCATAACTCTGGAACTGTTAAATTGACACCACCAAAATTCAAACTTGATCTGTATTTTGTGGTAATAAGCATTGTGTACAAGTTTCATAACATTTGGTGGAGGCAAACTAAAGTTAGAGAACGTAAACCAACTTTGGGACGTACGGACAGACGGACAAGGGTAAAACTTAATGCCCCCGCCGTAGATAAAAATCAACAATTTCTGCAATGGATTGGAATTATTTATGTTCTGCCCATATAAATAATTTAATGAATATATAAAATGAAATGAAAGAAATGTTGACATGCAGATATGAGTGATTGACATAATTTATGAACACTAAACAAGATATTGAGTCAATGTCGAACATAAACAAATTAACAGAACAACCAATCAATACACTACAGATACTCTTAAAGAAACTGGCCTACCATAAAACTTTATGTGAACCAATGAACCATGAAAATGAGGTTTATGTCAAAGGGAATGCCATCCATATACATGTAAGTGAAATAATTCAATAAATCAAATGCAGTTGACCCATCACTTACAGAAACTGATAAATTTACTTATAGTGAAAATACAATGTTTATCATTGAGTTCTGAAAATACCTTTTAAATGTTTTAAGTTATTACTGGTACTGTTAAACAGATATTTACACCTTTCAATGAATAAACAAACCAATGTAATTAAATTATATAGTTTTTCAGAAACCAAACTGATCCCATCATCTAAAAGTGAAACATTATGAACCATATCAATGAGATCAAGGTTAAGTAACCCCTTTTCTGACTGGCAAATAATACACTGCAGTAGTTGCACATACTCTTGCAGTTGTCTTATTCCCTATACAGTTGATGAAACAAGTGATCACATGCTGAAATGTCTTTCCTGCTTTACTGGTCATCATTGAATTATATGTTAAAAGTCTTTAAGATCAAAGTATCACAGACTTAACATTATAAAAACATCAATGAAAATGAGCTCAATGTCAGAGGAACACTGCCAGACGGAAAGGTTTACCCTATAATCACTCATACAGCAAATACAGTTGACCTATTGCTTGTTATATCTGAGATACAGACTTAATCAAGAACATTTAACATTGACCAATAAACCATCAACATGGTGTCAAGGTCAGATGAACTCTACTCGACAAACCTGTCCACTTTATGATCATTTCATGGGTCAAAATGACCAACTATAGTCAACCTTTTGCTTAGTATCTGAGAAACAGTCCTAACCACAAAAAAATGAAAATTGACTCATGAACCATGCCAGTGAGGTGAAGGTAATTTGAACCCTGCAAGAGGGCAATGTACTGTAAATTCAGAAATTATCTGTGAGGTATTTATTATTGCCAATAATGTGACTGGATAAGTATCACAATAATTAGATCTCGCATTCTGATATCTGATACATAAATCTGTGTATATTTTCCTAAAATTGAAATAATTAATCTTGCATTTTAGTCCATTCTTCAAAAATTGCAATAGTAAATGCACACAATAATTTCTAATTTACAGTATACCTTACAATCATTTAATACTCCAAATATAGTTGACACATTGCTTATAGTATCTGAGACAGGGACCTTACTACTAAAACTAATGTTGACAATTGAATTGTGGAAATGAGGTCAAGATCAGGTGAACAATGTCTGTTGGCACTCATACCACATCTTCTTATTTATATAAACACCTTCCAATGATTTTATATATCCATCATAGCTGTCTTATTACTCATATAAAGTGAGAAACTATACAGGTTTTTAAACAGTTGTGAAACCATGAAAATGAGGTCAAGGACACAAGCATATGCCACATGGAATCTTCGGATCATAAGCCATCTAGCATCTGTGTACAAGATTTGAAGTATTCAGATCTTGTACCTTATACTCATGTAATATAAAGCTTTAAGCAAATAGTTTCAGCTGACACCACAGGTTTAACATCCCTATGCCTCACATTCTGTGAAGAATAGACAAGACAAAAAGACAAGACAAAAACTAATCATTAAACAACAGGCAAGAAAATATGTCATGTTCAGGTAAATCGGAAGGTAATGTGCACCTTGCATTGTTTAAGTTCATCAGTATTACTTATAATAAATCAAGTAACCATGATCCCAAAAACTGAGTTTTCTTACCCTTTAAAATGATGTCAGCTTAAGGTGACTCCTGTCAGATAGGATAGGACACATCATAAGGGTTAGAAGTGCCATAAATAGTTTTTCTGTTAAAATGTCATATTTTGAGGAACCTTGCATGACTGACCCCTTGGGAATTATTTTATTTGATTTTAGTAACATCTAAACATCACTGGGGTTTGGAAGGTCTCATAATTTAGCCTCAACCTCAAGACACAAATAGCCTAATCTTATTGAATGATGCCTTGTTGATCAACAAACCTTGAAAATGAGGTCAATATCCACTCGCCTTTGTCAGACAGACATGCGTATTCTACTTTTGTATTGAAAATATTTCACCTGGATATTTAACCATTTTAAACAAGAGTGCACACACTGAAATGTCTCGCCTTCTTTACTAATCATTGATATTATGTTGATAGTCCTAAATATAAAGCTTTCTTACAACTGTCACATAAACTTAACATTAACCAAGAAAACTAAACATTGAACAATGAACCATGGAAATGAGGTCAAGGTCAGATGAACCATGCCAGGCAGGCATGTACAGCTAACAATTCTTCCATACAACAAATATAGTTGACCTATTGCTTATAGTTTAAGAAAAACAGACCAAAACACAAAAACTTAACACTGAGCAATGAACTGTGAAAATGAGGTCAAGGTCAAATAAAAACTGCGCGACTGACATAAAGATCATAAAATACTTCCATACACCAAATATAGTTGACCTTTTGCATATTGTATTAGAAAAAAAGACCAAAACTCAAAATCTTAACTTTGACCACTGAACCATGAAAATGAGGTCAAGGTCAAATGACATCTGCCAGTTAGACATGTACACCTTACAATCATTCCATACACCAAATATAGTTGACCTATTGCTTAAAGTGTAAGAAAAACAGACCAAAACACAAAAATGTAACATAAGCAATGAACCATGAAAATGAGGTCAAGGTAAAATAAAACCTGCCAGACTGACATGTACATCATTAAATATTTCCATACACCAAATATAGTTGACCTACTGCATATAGTATTAGGAAAACAGACCAAAACACAAAAACTTAACATTTAGCAATGAACCTTGAAAATGAGGTCAAGGTCAAATAAAACATGCCAGACTGACATGTACATCGTAAAATATTTCCATACACCAAATATAGTTGACCTACTGCATACAGTAGTAGAAAAACAAACCAAAACACAAAAAATTAACATTGAGCAATGAACCGTGAAAATGAGGTCAAGGTCAAATAAAACTTGCCAGACTGACATGAACATCGTACAATATTTCCATACACCAAATACAGTTGACCTATTGCATACAGTATTAGAAAAACAGACCAAAACACATAAACTAAACTATGACCACTGAACCATGAAAATGAGGTCAAGGTCAGATGACACCTGCCAGTTGGACATGTACCCCTTACTATCATTACATACACCAAATATAGTAGACCTATTGCTTATAGTATCTCAGATATGGACTTGACCACGAAAACTTAACCTTGTTCACTGATCCATGAAATGAGGTCGAGGTCAAGTGAAAACTATCTGATGGGCATGAGGACCTTGCAAGGTACGCACATACCAAATATAGTTATCCTATTACTTATAATAAGAGAGAATTTAACATTCCCAAAAATCTGAACTTTTTTTTCAAGTAGTCGCTGAACCATGAAAATGAGGTCAAGGACATTGGACTTGTGACTGACGGAAACTTCATAACATGAGGCATCTATATACAAAGTATGAAGCATCCAGGTCTTCCACCTTCTAAAATATAAAGCTTTTAAGAAGTTAGCTAACGCCGCCGCCGCCGCCGGATCACTATCCCTATGTCAAGCTTTCTGCGACAAAAGTCGCAGGCTCGACAAAAACCAAAATTTCAAAATTACCTAAAATAGTTAGGATACTTTAAATATATTTCATTTTCAATGAGCAAAATGAATATTTCATGGAAATAATTCAATAATTACCTATAGAATATTTAGCAGAGTTTGAATCTTTATAAAAATGAATAAATGGAGACTGTGTCTCTACTTGCATATAACGTTATATAGAGTTATAACTCGAGAACGGTAGAAGTGATACCGCCCAAATTCGAACTTGGTCTGAGTTTTGTGGTAATAAACATTGTGTATAAGTTTCATAACATTTGGTTGAGGCAAACTAAAGTTAGAAAACGAAAACCAATTTGGGACGTACCTATGGAAGTACGGATGGTCGTACAGACGTACGGACAGACCAGGGTAACACTTAATGCCCCCTAAGGTGACGGCGGGGGACATAAAAAAAACAACTGTGACTTGATGCCTCGTAATATTAATAGAAGAAAACAATAATTTTAAACAATAAATCCTCAGTATCTTATAATACAAAATCAAATTTACAATAAAAAGCCCCAAAGGACAAATGTATCTACTTTTGCTACAGAACTATGAAAACAATCATGCATACATTGTATATACATATTTATCAGGTCGAGAAAAAATAAACAGTATTAAAAATATAAATAACATGCAAGGATTTCTGGATATGGATATATGTATGTTAAAACCATATGAATTGTGCTTTAGATTAATTTACACTGTGATTTTTTTTATTTGTGTACCAAAAGTTTCAAAATATTTATTAAAGTAAAAAAAATATCATAAACAAAAGAAACTTCAATAATAATTCTCATGTGAGGTTTTTAACTCTACAAAAAAAACTGAACTTTAAAAATCAAAACTTTTGGCACATCAGTGTGAACATAAACTATTTTTAACATTCCTAACCTCATCAGCTAAGAGGGATAACTCTGAATTATCTGCAGCATCATAATCATATAAAACTCTAGCCTGTTTTTTCTCTGTACTAGGTGTTGCAGCTGTGATGTGTATCATAGGGGGTGCACTTGGCTGAACAGGGAGAGTGGAATTAGGGATACCTGGTCCAAGGGAATTTGTTGAACTGTTCCCACTACCAACAGAATAACTGAAAAACAGTAGAAAACACCACTAAAGCAAAGCAGGAGAACATGCAATGCCATTTTATTCCAATATTATCATTCATCTCCTGTTCCCAATGGCTATACAGTTAACTCCCCTTTAAGATTTTTGTTTAATTACTATATCTTCAATTTCCAGTTGTTACTATTTTTGAACCCAGTGGGTTGAACATCTCATTTTAAAATGACAATAAACATGATTTTGATTGGACTGTAAGCATATATAGGGAGGACTGATATTTTGTATACAATGAAAGCCACTGGAGAAATATGATATAACTACTCTGGAGATTTTACTGACCTCATTTTACCTGTTTTACAGAGCAAAGAAATTAAAAGATAAGAAAAATGTTGTAATAAGACTTTAAGACAAGACAAAGACATGTAACACAGAGACAAACAGATAGTGACAAAGCTCAACTACATTGTTTGTGATTTGGAAGCACTTGCTCCACCATTTTGTACATTAATGAAAGTGAAATATGTAATGTTGCTGCATTCCAAGCACATTTTTGGTTAATTTACATCAGAGCACTCAGAGCAAAGATTTGGGGATGAAAAAGATGGGATAATTACATGGGAGCCATTTAATCAGATGATGATTTTAAAAGAACAGCCAACACCATTTAGGTTAACCTTTTATGAGTGAGTTAATGAGCCTTTATATATTTTTATACAGTAAGTCCTCCACATCTTTTATTTTTCATTAAAATGGACAAGGTTACTTATGAATGGTTTGAATAACCAAGTTATAACTAAGAAAATTGAGTTACTTTAATATTTATCTTTATTTGGCAAATTTCTGTAGTTATCTGGCTTTTAGCTATTTCAATTGAAGATTTTATATCTCAAAAAAGAATACAAGAAATAATAACAAAAATACAGAATAAATTGTTAGCAAAGAGATGTGTTTTGACTGTTAGAACATCAAATATCATTGATTTATCATTAGTATGTTCAACATAAACTGTTCTCATAAAATACTCAAACATGTTATATAATTAACTATGGATAAACAGTAGTGCAATCTGTGCATGATATAACCATTCCCCTTATTTTGACCAGTTAAGTCCCACATCAGCATGGGATATGCTTGAGGGTTGTGCATCTGAACATTATTGAGATATTAAATAATTTATTACATGATGGGCAGATTGTGACCCCAGGGCCAAGCTCTTAGGTGCATTGAAAAGGTCTTGCAACAGAAAACAAGATAAAATTCCTTATTTGACCTTGAGGTCTGGTAAAGGTTATCTTCAACAATAAACAGCATATTTTCTTGAGGCAATGCATCCATGTGCCACACATGAAAAAAACTGCTTCGCTGAGCACAGCTGGATACGCCCGCAGAGGTCCAACCCTGAACAGTTAGGGCAATAATGGACACAATATTCAAGCTTGATACAGGTCTGAATTTGGATTGTATTAAATATTTGACATATTATAGGTTTCTGAATAAATTTAGTCAAAGAACTTGAAATTGGTTATATGAATTGAATTTATATTCAATTAAAGATTTCTTGCTGTTGTGCAATACACTGTGCTGTTGCACAATACTTAGTAAATCTGTTGTCAGACTATAAACAATTAAAGTTCAATTAATTCTCAATGTCATATTAGAAATTTATGAAAATGTAAAGGGAGCTTACATCAATAGATATAAAAATTCACCAAAGTTTCATGAGAATTGCTGACAGCATTTTTGAGTTATTGTCCAAAAACTAGAAAATCCCCCCTTTTTTAATGAATAAAACCCCATAACTCAGAAATGTAAAATGTAAAATTTATAAAATTCTAAACGAAGCCTACATCAATAGATTTAAACAATTCACCAAAGTTTCATAAGAACTGCTGAAAGCATTTTTGATTTTTTGTCCGAAAACTGGAAAAATCCCCCTTTTTTTATGAATAAAACCCTGTAACTCGGAAACTTAAATCTAAAATATATAAAAATCGAAAGGGAGCTCATGTCAATAGATATAAACAATTGACCACAATTTCTTGCAAGTTGGTGAAAGCATTCTTGAGTTATTGTCCGAAAACTGGAAAATCCCCCTTTTTTTAATGAATAAAACCCCATAACTCGGAAAAGTAAAATCTAAAATTTATAAAAAACAAAAGAGAGCTCACGTCTATAGATATAAACAATTCACCAAAGTTTTATGCAAATTGGTTAAAGCGTTTTTGAGTTAATGTCCGACATGTTGACGACTGACGGACAGACGGACAATTGTATACCATAATACGTCAAAGGATAAAAAGATCCATTGTGGACAACAAAATGTCCTCAAAAATCTAATTTTTTATAGGTGCAATATTTTATTCGAATGTATACACCTTGCCATGTATCATAAGTCAAACAATAAAAAAATTTTGACCAGGGCAAGGCTGTTCGAGAACCAGAAGTAACACTACTAAGAGATTTTTATTACTGCAACTACAAACCAGAAAAAAAACTATCTTTACAGAAAAATTCGTCAAACTGACCTAATCACAAAAGTTGAAAACACCAATGCATTACCTTTTTCAACATTTCCCTTCGGCAAGACAAAACTGGTACAACAAAAATGTATGAAAACGGATAATCTTTTAGAGGTAATATATTTAAGACACTTAAGTAGTTTATGTTTATTTCAGTTTTCTTTTTTTCTTTTTTTGTTGTTGCTTAAACCTATGATAGAAAAATTTTTTTTAAATAAAATTTAAGCAGCACCTTAAGCAAAAATTATACTTACACACATTATTAAATCTATTTATAACAATGTTAAAGATGTAGAGGAATATTAGAACAAGAAATGATTGTAACAGGATGCTGTTACGAAGTCTCCCAAACGAAGCTCCCATAATTCGTAATTCCCAGGGTCGCCTGACATTGGGCAACGTCCAGTGAAAATTGGTTTGGTCCAGTAAAGTTATATGCATAAGTGATGCCTGGGGACTAACCTTGTATATCATTCAAATCATCTTGGCATGACAAACCAGAATATATATGGTTTAGGGGTGGGGATCTCGACCATTTACAAGATACTAGAACATTGGGGGTGGGGAGGAACCCCTAGGGACTGGCCCTAGGAACCCCTAGGGACTGGCCCTATACGTCATTCAAATGTTCATTACATGACGAACAGGAATATATATGGTTTAGGGGTGGGGATCTCAACCATTTACAAGATATTAGAACATTGGGGGTGGGGGGAACCCCTGGGGACTGACCGTATACGTCATTCAAATGTTCGAGACATGACAAATAGGAATATATATGGTTTAGGGGTGGGGATCTCAACCATTTACAAGGTATTAGAACTTTCTTAAATGGCAGGGGGTGGGGGTGACCCCTGGGGACTAACCCTGTATTTCATTTGATGTGCTTTATCATGACAAACCAGAATATATATGGTTTAGGGTAGGGGATCTCGACCATTTACAAGATATTAGAACATTTGGGGTGGGGGGAACCCCTGGGGACTGACCGTATACGTCATTCAAATGTTCGAGACATGACAAATAGGAATATATATGGTTTAGGGGTGGGGATCTCAACCATTTACAAGATATTAGAACTTTCTCAAATGGCAGGGGGTAGGGATGAGCCCTGGGGACTAACCCTGTATATCATTCAAACCATATTCGCATGACAAACCAGAATATATATGGTTTAGGGGTGGGGATCTTGACCACTTAGAAGATATTAGAACTTTCTTAAATGGCAGGGGGTGGGGGTGACCCCTGGGGACTAACCCTGTATATCATTCAAACCATCTTAACATGACAAACCAGAATATATATGGTTTAGGGGTGGGGATCTTGACCACTAACAAGATATTAAAAATTTCTTAAATGGCAGGGGGTGGGGGTGACCCCTGGGGACTAACCCTGTATAACATTTGATGTGCTTTATCATGACAAACCAGAATATATATGGTTTAGGGGTGGGGATCCCGACCATTTACAAGATATTAGAACTTTCTCAAATGGCAGGGGGTCGGGATGACCCCTGGAAACTAACCCTGTATATCATTCAAACCATCTTAGCATGACAAACCAGAATATATATGGTTTAGGGGTGGGGATCTTGACCACTTACAAGGTATTAGAACTTTCTTAAATGGCAGGGGGTGGGGGTGACCCCTGGGGACTAACCCTGTATTTCATTTAATGGGCTTTATCATTTAGAACATTTTCAATTAAAAAGATTGTGTCTATCACAAACGGTTTTCAATTTATAATCATTTGAAAATTTTAAAAAATAAAATCCCATAGGGTTCTATAGTAAAACCCTCTTTTCTTTTTGCCCCTCAAAGTACCCCTTTATAAACCCCATTGCACAAACAAAACCCTGATTGCACCACTAGACATGTTAGTCTAACATATTGTGAAACCCTAAGTTAATCTGACAAGCGGTTTTGGAGAACGGGTGCGGACAAGTTCAAATTTAAAAGCGGCGGAAGAAGAATAATAATAATAATAAGAACTGAGCAAAAACAATAAGTCTTCCCAAACTTCGTTTGGGAGACTTAATAAAAGTGATTTATACAGACAGTTTAAAATGAAACAAAGTCTTCATTAGAAAATAAAAATTGTTCTCAATGCAGATAATATCAATCAGCATGCTATTGTAATAGAAGTAATACTAATAATGTTCAAGGGAAAGTTTGAATTTAAGAAGCAAAGGATTAATGATAAAGGAAGAATATTTAAAAACATTCCGGTTGAAAATCATTCATTTATTGACTGAGACAACTGTTTTGCTAGTTTCAAAGGTCAAATTGTTGTCCCAGGCCAATGCAAGTTTGGTAGGAGAATTCAACTAACAGATGTTGTTTAAGAACCTAGCTAATATGTTTTTCTTATTTTGTCTCTTCTTTCTATAAAGAACTTAATAGTGATCAGTAATATTGCTTTTATGGACTGCTAGCTGGTAATAATCATATGACATTTCAGGGACCAACATGACTGAACAATAGTGGAAGTGCTGAAACATTACACAGGCATGCTGTATATGTACTTTTTTTCAAGGTGTTTTTAAATGTATTTTCACGTATTTCACAGAAGGTATATTTCCAAGTAATTTAAAAAATATAAGAGAATACCAATGCAGATAAATAACGTGTTTGTTTACCTGGGGTATCTTAAATTGAACTGTTTAACTGTTTAAACAACACCAATGATCAATACAAAAAAAAAGCACAATTTAAAAAAAGAAGATAAAACATAACAATAATACCCAAGCTAAATCCTTTTTGTGTAATTTAGAACCTATTTAGACAATACCTCTATCTAACAGGTAACTGTTTTCATAATTTGAATACTCGTGTTTATTTTGAATATAAAAACTTTTAAATTCTACTCATTATTTACATATAATAATGAATCCCTAAATGTTATCTGACACATTAAATTAGAACTTATGTAGAAAAAGATCGTTATTTAAGTGATCATATTTTGTACATATCGCAAAACTATAACACACAAATTAATTGCCAATATGTAATTTGTGTAAATAAATACAAGCCAAAAAAGGTACAAATATATAGAATGAATAATATGATGATATTGTAATAGATCTATGAGATTGACCCATGTATTGAACTTAAAAGTGGAGTTACAAAATTATACTCTAGATACTTTAGGCAAATATGAAACTGAATTAAACTGAATTGTGGCAGCGATTTATAGTATCCTTTTTATGTTTTACTTTGTATTTTTATAACTTAACCGATTTTCCATTTCAGCGAATTATTTCAATAAACTATAAAAATATTTTGAAGACATTTTCTGAACTCATTACGCTATAGCTTTCCGTTTTCCAAATTTAGTCCCCGCTATGGTGTAATGAATAATTGACCATTGAAGCATATGATTATCCTGTATTGAACCCCATACAGTTAGTACTGCAGTGCAGGTATGACATTTTCATGTACTATTGGTCAGTACAGTAAGTACATTTAAGTTCTGCCGCATTGGACTTTTCGATGGTATTCATTGGGTAATTTGTACATTATTTTCTATTGGTTCTGTCTTGCTATTACACTTACAGGTTTCATTGTGAGGTTTAAATTATTTGGAACTTTCTTTGAAGTTAGATGTTATTTGTACCCGACTATTATTCTGGACCTTTTTGGACATTTTTGACAGTAAGTTTTATACATTGTGTAAAGTAATGCTCTTTCCGATAATATATTTTGAACTATGTTTTGGTTAGAATAATTCTGATCACATTTTAGTAAATGAGTGTTTTAGAGTACATCTCATAATTTACAAGCTTAGAATTATTACGATTACATCTATTGTAAATATAGCTATTCTTGTGTATGTTTTGAAATCGTTGAATTTAATTTATTGTCTTGTCAAGATGACATATCACTTAATTTATATATTTTAAATTGGCCTGAAATTGAATAGACTTTGTCACAGTATTTTGAATATTCATTTTGAACATGGGTATAATCTATTTATAATCGTATATTATTTTCAGAACATACCATATAGTGTCCTGGAATAATTGTATTAGTGTTAATGGCAGTGGATTTTGATAACTCAATCCCACATATTGGTAAGGATTAATTCCTTATTCTTTATAGATTGTTCATTTTGTAATAGTTGCTTTCACAGCCAAATTGGCAATGAAATTGTATTTTATTCTATTTCTCTTTCGGCACATTTTAATAATTCTACATTGAAACTGTAAAGCGTATTGACGCTTTCTAAATGAAGCATGGTTGTGTAGATTGCAATGCAATCCGAAACTTTGATATGTACTTTTAAATTAGCTATTTGTAATTGTGACACAAGTTAATCATGATTGTGTTTAATCATACTAGTGTTTAATATTGCTTGTGTTTAATAATGCTATGTAACATTTGTAAAATTGCTTATGATATTTGCTATTGTTTTGCAGAGTTACATTTTCCTGGTATATAATAAAGTATTTGAACCAGTTGGAGTCTATAATTAAAAGCCCTTATATGACCCTATCACAGAATGAGAATCAAAGAATCATGATAGGGTCAGACTGAAATGTAATAAAATGTACAATGATAACAATTCATCATCTAACACATAGACTGAAAATATCAACTTATCATGAAAACCACATTGATAAATGAACCATGAGGTCAAGGTGAGATGGACATGTTCACCTTATAATGACAAAATAGACCAAATATACTAAAACTTTTACTCAGAATAACTGTTAAAATCCTCTAATGATGAAAATGAGGTATAGGTCAGATGTCACTCAACAAAAGGAAAGTTTAAACCTTAAACAACAGTATCTTTCACAAATAGTAACTTGGAAGTGACCAGGTCATAAAGCCTTAACATTGACCAAAGAATCATGATTAGTCTCCTGTCAGACAGATGATCCTATTGACAAAATACATCTACCTGTTACTCATAGTAATCAAAACTATCACACACACACTGCAAATAACATGGATCAATGAAAAATGAAAGTGAATCAAGATCAGGAGTCACCTGGTAGACAGACATGTAGACCTGACAATGATTCTTTAACCCAACCATAGTGGAGATTACTCACAGTAACTCATAGATCAGTAGTCCTTGGAGTTGTATCCATTGCAATGCAGGGTAATAACTGATTCCACTATTTGTTCTTGTTGTTTTCAAAAGGATTATATATATATTTTGTTACTCCATAAGAATTATGCTTGTCTTAAGGACCAGTAGAATCAGCAATGCTTTGCTTTATATCAACTAAGATGTTGCAAAGCTTAACCCAGTTCATCCTTGTCAGATCAGTTGTTTATAAATTTATTAAGCAATATATGCAATGACATGCATGTGATGATGAAATTCTTAACAGGTACATTGTTACAGTAATAGCCATTTGGATAAAAAAACTAAAATACATTTTTATCTTTTTTTTTTAAATATGTGCTGGCTTTCAAAAAGTGCCTACTATATAGAAACAATCTTAAAGTTCATATTTATGGGTAATGGATAAAGTTCTACAAATCATATACATATACATTATGGACTTTCTAATAATTCATGTACTGTATGATGCATATATTTCAAAGTGAAAGAGAAATTTTAGCTTTGCTGTTATTATCAAATATTGTTACAAAAGAGGAGATAACTGTAATATTTTCCCAATCATAAATGAAAAGGGAGATAAATATACAGTAGTAGAAGCAGACTCTTACAGTCACCAAACAAAGCTTGAAATGCTTTCACAAATTCTCCAGGTACAGACCTGTAATATTATTAATCTATGTATTATGTATTTTATTTTAGAAAGTTTATGTATAATATTTCCTGTGATTTTTTATTTATTACCTACATAGCCTATCTGTTCAAAAAAGCCAATTTAAATTCTTACTAGTTCAATCCTATCCAAATAATATGTTATCTTGATTGTATTTTTTTGCCGGTTTTACTGCTAAAAAATAATAAAAGCAATTCCCATGTTTAAAAGATCTGGATTAAATAAAAGGTTAAGACCACATGTCATAATAAATAAATTTTTTTACAATATTACAATTTAACACTCATAAAACAGAACATCCATAAAAGCAAAGATCATTACAATACTTACATTTTCAAAAGACCTACATACAAATATTAATTTAAATGAAATAAAAGGGAAAAAATTAAGAAAACAATTTAACAAACCTTCCCAATTGTCTTTGTAAATCAGCCATGTATTGCTGACACTGGGCATAATATGTCGTCTGGGCTTCTATGAAATCATTTAAACATCGCAAATGATGAGCCTAAAATAAATTATGTTTGCATGTAATCATCAAAGAAAATCAAGATATATTCTGTACTTTCAAAGTTAAGGGTATTTCAATATCAAGCAAAACTTTTTTTTATTTTTTGTTTTTAGGGGTTCAAATTTCCTTTATATAATAATAGGTTCAAGACCATTTGAATTTGAAGTGAAAGGTCGTCCTTAAGAAAGTCCAATGTCCTGTATAATGCATCAGTGTAAAGTATTGGAGGTTTTTGACTTTTGTATTTCAAAAATGCAAAGTCCTCTCCCAGAAAAGACAGGTCCTGGACCTTGGACCCATGCTAATTTGAACCCCTGATTTTATTGGTCTTGTTTATAGTCATGGAATCGTGAAAATTCCAGTTTACATGACACTCACAGAATAGCTGATTCATTGCATTTCCATGAGGGAGTTTACCTATATTGTAATCAAATGTAAATATGATCTATTAATAGTGACACTTACATGAGCACTGTTAACTCCTTCTAACAATAGTTTAGTAATCTCAGCTTGTCTGTCGAATTCTGTCTGTGCAATGCGTAAGTCTGCTTCTGCCTGCAACAAAATATATATATGGTTATACTGTATTCTCTATATCTATCTCAAATATTAATGTAAGGCTACCAATCCTCTTTAAAGGGGCAATAGCTGTCAAATTCATGGTCACCGATTTGACTCAAATTCTCATATTTGATTTTTAACATACTAAAACGTATATCCAAATTATAAAAAGTCTAAAATAAACAATTTACAATGTATGGGGTTGATAATATGCATCAGCATTTCGTGTGTATTTGAGTCTAGACGCCATCTAATTAACCATCGAGGTGACCTCCAAAGACTGCCGACAGTCATACTACTCGATATAAACATAAATATAGATATAAATAGATAGCGAACTCGTGCAATTGAATTTTTCTAGGTCTTTTTGATTTCATATTATAGGTTAAAAATATATGTTAATCATTGTTTTTACCTGTATAAGAATGAGTTTTTGTGGATCGAATCAGTCAATCAAATGGTTTACCCTTGTTTCACTTTCAATGTTGACATTCTTTTCCTTTTAATAACTGAACATGCCTAATTCACGGGTAACCCATCTCTAGCTAAGGGGTTGAATTGACGGTCACATGAATGCAAGTGAATAATTCATCAGCGATGTTTCTTAGCTTATTTTGACAAAATTGAACCAAACCGGCTGCTAAATGCGAATTATTTTTTCACTATTTCACTTTCATTAATGATTGAACAAAAAAATCATATTTTATTTTATTTTCATATCTCGTAGCTAATGCCCCTTTAATTTCTATTGAAAACACATATATGACTCTTCCAAAACATGTTTTTACCATATATCAGGGTATTTTTGTGTGTTTCTTAGTTGTCCTGTTTGTTGATGCAAAAAATTACAAAAATTTTGTGAGTAAATTCCTTATAAAGTTTCAGTAATGGGTAAAGTTTCAAATAGCCAAATTAAACCTAGCAACAATTTAACTTTTTTTTTTTCAGGGAATAAAACCACTAACTCATAGCCCCATTTATTTTGATGTTAAATTCTGCAATTTTATGCATTCATTTCATTTCAAAACTATACTTTGCCTGTTGTGCTGAAAAATACCTTTAATTGCATATTAAAGGGCATTGATTCCCGAATTTTGGTAGAACAAAAACAAGTACTTCTGATCTGAACAACAGGACAAATATGCCCTATTTTAATTTCATATATCTATTTATTATTAATAAATAGCTTGCAACAAGGGTTCTACAGTGATCCCAAGTTCTTAAGCCTTTATTTCATAACAAAATTACCCAAATATTTTACTTACTGACACAATTAAATCTGTGTATAGGAACTATTTTGTTTAAACATGTACTACTTTCTTGTTTGTTCTTTCAGACCGGGGCCATATTAGTGGTTCTATACCTTCATGTACAAATCCCAAACAAAAAAGCACATGCAAATGATCCCCTATGTTTGGTAGTATAAAATCCTGACTTAGTGGTGTTAACATAACTTACAGATTGTAAACTAAATCCAAGAGTGAAAAAACATATGTACATTTTGTACATGTCTACAGGACAATATGTCACAACTACGAACCTTATCAATGTAAGAAAAGATTTAAATGTGACAAACAAAATGAAACAAAAATTGATTGTGATAAATGTGGCAATAAAAGAAAACTACTGAATGCATGCTTTTATTACCCTGCTTGGTACACATTTGCCAAATTTTATAATTTCATCTTTATGAACAAATGGGTCAGTACAAAGCTGAGTGTTTGGAGCTTGAAAATTCTTTAAATCGATTGATTGTTGTTTACTTAGATACTTCTTTAGATAATTTGCTGCAATGCATTTCTTAGAAATGTTTCACCAACATCTGATTGCAATCAGATGATTGACTTTTAAAAAAAATAAATCTAATTATATGACCATGGACATCTTGGCATCCAGGCTTCTAAAGAACTAAAATATTCTAAAAAATTCAACCATAAACATGGTTTAATGTAATCTAAAAATACTCTTTTCAATATATGCCTTATTAACAAATTTCAGCAAATAAAAACATAAATTTATTATCAGACAGTAAAGGTATCCATGCATGAAATAATACAAAACGCATGCAAGGATTGTTCATTATATTTGATGAAATATAATAACTTTTAAAACTCAATTTAATTGTGTAAGAAATTAAGGACTAATGGACATTTGAAAATTATCTTGAACAGACAGTCCAATACAAATAGACTTTGAATTGAAACTCATTGTATGAAGTGGGTTACATTACCATGTCAAGAAAGGGTAGGTATGATAAGAGTAAATTTTTTCCATATATAGATTTCAGAGAATTCAATTGGTTGAGCTACCTCATGATCCTACCAAATATATTTAATACATGGTGTTTACTAGAGATATCGTACTTAATACTGCTCAATATAACACATGTTAAAAGTAAAAAAGTTACAATAAAGATGGTCATGTTTTATTGCAAATATCAGATAGTCAGTAAGATATAAAGGATTACAATGGCTGTCAGTGACCTAATAAGGTTTTTTTTGTTTGTTTTTCATCAGTTCCATCCATTTTATAGTGTATTAGTTGTAAACACAGTCAGTGATAACTGGTGAAGCATAAACCCTCTCCCGCACTGTAACTTGGTAAAAGCTACAAAGCGACTGATCTTTTTGTATATCAAATCTTTTAACAGTCTTTTTCAAATGTCTTTTGTCTTTTTCAACCACTTTGGCTTTATATCCAAAGACTCAAATGAGTATTTAGCTAATCCAGGGGTAAAAAATAAATTCAATGTCAATTCATTAATTTTCAGTCCATTTGTCTCAATTAAACATAACTCTGGGTTTAAAATAGAAGCATTGGAAGAATAAGGCAATGACTAAATATGTACAATAATTAAATATAAAGGGAGGCAATATCTATATACATAAACATAAATGTCATAAAGCAAATAAAGTAGCCAATAAACAACTGAGCAACCAATGGAGCTAATCCTTTCAGAATTCATATTTTGTTTACTGTCCAAGATTCTTATATGATTCCATATTAAGTTTGATTTTCAGACAAGTCTTTTATATTGCTTTGGACTCTATTGCAGATACAATGTGCAATCACTGGCTTTATTTTTTTTCTTTTCAGTTGATGTTGATGTGTAGAATTGCCTCCCTTTGACTACTTCCATGACAACCACTATATATATAACCCACAACATCATTAACATATAAATATATCTTACTCTGGCTACAGCATCATCCTTGATAACGTTAACAGAAGCAATATGTATACTGTTAATATTTCTATCTATAATATATTCTACAATAATATACTTGTTCCTTTTTTCATATTTGTGTTACTATTTTATATATGTAATAGTTAAAATATATTTCATATTATTTCATCTACATGTAACTTCTAATTTTGCTACTATCTTTGGAAAACCATATAACATATTTCATAATTAAGTAATCAACCAATTAAGCAAAAAATGTTAATTCTATGGTTAATAGTACAGATCTTTGCAAATAGTTGAATGGGAAACTACTGATATGTTAAGATTCTATTTCATTTGTCTTTGGTTAATATTTTTCTCAACGGCAAATACCACATCTTTTTTTATCTCATTCATCAAGGTTTTTTTCTGACCGAAACAAACTTCCACATTTATTTTGTTTCTGGTTTTGTATTAAGCTTAGTTATATACATGTTTTTTTATTGTGAAAACTGTAGCAGAATAATTGAAATCTTTCAATGGCTGCTACTTAAATTCTACTAAACATTATTATTAACCTTTGTAACCCCATATGCACCGCATTTTATGTACTTCAGTATTTGTTTTCTATGTTTAAATTGTCCTGAATACGCCACCGTAAGTGGCGAAACATGTAGACCATAATAAAGATTTTCCTTGCAGTAATCTACGATGTTGTTGTCTTTGTGTAGCATTATTAAACATTATTATTGTTTGTCAAATATTTTGACTAATGAATGCATGCATTAATCTTAAAATCAAAACCTGTCTTTATAAACTTAATACATTTGTATAGTAAATAAAACAGCTCATAACTATTTCTGAGGGGTATTCATATTGCTCTGCCTTTAGTTTTCTGTGTACTCTTATGTGGACTACAGTTTGTTTTGGGATCTTTTATTCTTTGGCTTTTAAGTTGTCAATCCTTCTTGACTAATATGGTTTTTTGCTAGTCTCATTGGTATTTCTTATGTACAATAAATGTGGATAGTGACCACATGTGGACACAGATGATGCCTCCGCTTGCATATCCTATATTTATAAAGGGACATAACTGAAGAACAGTAAAAGTGACGCTACCCAAATTTGAACTTGATCTGAGTTTTGTGGTAATAAGCATTGTGTGTAAGTCTCATAACATTTGGTTGAGGCTAACTTAAGAAGAGAACAGAAACTAAAAATTCAGCAATTTTTCTATTTGTAAACACGCATATAAACTCTAGAACGGTTGTGTATAGTGTAAGTTTTATAACATTTGGTTGAGACAAACTAAGGTAAGAGAACGGAAACGAAAAATTCAGCAATTTTTATGTTTATAAAGGGACATAACTCAAGAATGGTAAAAGTGTCGCCACCAAATTTCGTACTTAAACTGTATTATGTAGTAATAAGCATTGTGTATAAGTTTCATAACATTTGGTTGAGGAAAACTAAAGTTAGCAAACGGAAACAAAAATTTTGTACTTGATCTTAGTTTTGTGGTAATGAATATTGTGTATAGGTTTCATAATGTTTGGTTGGGGCAAACCTAAATTACAGAATGGAAACTTAAAATTTTGCAATCTTTCGATTTATAAAGGGGCACAACTCAATAATGGTTAAAGTGACACTAACCAAATTCCAACTTGATCTCTGTTTTATCAGTGGAAGTCAAAATTAAACATTGCATTGTATAAAGCATTGATTGTAGTTGATTCAACTATAATTATGGACAAAGGAAGATAACTCCAATTTGAAAATTACTTGATATTTAGAAGAAAATAAAAATTTTGCAATTTTTCCATTTAAAAAGGGGCATAACTCTAGAACGATTAAAGTGACGCCACCAAAATTCAAACTTGATCTGTGTTTTGTGGTAATAAGCATTGTGTATAAGTTTCATAACATTTGGTTGAGGCAAACTTAAGTTAGAGAACAGAAACTAAAAATTTTGCAATTTTTCCATTTATAAAGGGCCATAACTCTAGAACGATTAAAGTGACGCCACCAAAATTCGTACTTGATCTGTGTTTTGTGGTAATAAGCATTGTGTATAAGTTTCATAACATTTGGTTGAGACAAACTTAAGTTAGAGAACGGAAACTAAAAATTTTGCAATTTTTCCATTTATAAAGGGCCATAACTCTAGAAAAATTAAAGTGACGCCACCAAAATTCAAACTTGATCTGTGTTTTGTGGTAATAAGCATTGTGTATAAGTTTCATAACATTTGGTTGAGGCAAACTTAAGTTAGAGAACGGAAACTAAAAATTTTGCAATTTTTCCATTTAAAAAGGGGCATAACTCTAGAATGATTAAAGTGACGCCACCAAAATTCAAACTTGATCTGTGTTTTGTTGTAATAAGCATTGTGTATAAGTTTCATAACATTTGGTTGAGACAAACTTAAGTTAGAGAACGGAAACTAAAAATTTTGCAATTTTTCCATTTATAAAGGACCATAACTCTAGAACGATTAAAGTGACGCCACCACAATTCAAACTTGATCTGTGTTTTGTGGTAATAAGCATTGTGTATAAGTTTCATAACATTTGGTTGAGGCAAACTTAAGTTAGAGAACGGAAACTAAAAATTTTGCAATTTTTCCATTTATAAAGGGGCATAACTCTAGAACAGTTAAAGTCACGCCACCAAAATTCAAACTTGATCTGTGTTTTGTGGTAATAAGCATTGTGTTTAAGTTTCATAACATTTGTTTGAGGCAAACTTAAATTAGAGAACAGAAACCAATTTTGGGACGTACATATGTACAGACAGACAAGGGTAAAACTTAATGACCCCACCGCTATTGCATAAAAAAGATATGTACTTGAGAAATAAACTACGATAAACTTTAAAACAAGTAAAAGAACCATTTAACATAGGTCAGAGTGACCTACTGTTTGACTAATTGTGTGAGACAGTTATACAATGTACTTGCTAGATGCACTGTAAATAAAAGTTTTACAAATTTGTACTATGCTGTATGGGTTTTGGTCATTGTTGAAGGCTGTATGGTGACCTATAGTAGTTAATTTCGACGTCATTTGGTCTCTGGTGGAGAGTTGTTTCATTGTCAATCATACCACATCTTTTTATTTTTTTATTATACAATTGTAGATTATTTAATATCTGAGATATATAAATCAATGTAGTATAAAATGTAGGTCATAGTAATTTTTCTTTTGTAGTAGGCTGTTATATTTACTGGGGTACATACCCACACAAGATTCACTAAGTATATGAAATTTAATCTAGACTTAAGTCATTGCAACATAAAAACTTTATAAAAAGCTGTGAAAAGTAAAATAACAAAAGTCAAAAAGCTTTCATCTTATGACTTCAATATTCATCTGGACACAAAAATATATGACTTTATATATTTCAGTTTTAGAAAACTAGTTATAGACCTTAACACAGATATGGATTCCAAGGGTACTGCAATAATACTGTTCAACTTCTTGAGGCAAATATACAATGATTTACTATTGTTAAACTACTAAATTATATTCACTAAAACAACATGTGCACTAAAAACAAAGGTTACATGATTGACACAACTAAAATAGTGCATGTCCTTTCTATTAAAAAGATAGATTTTTGTGGAAAGCATATGTACAGATGATTTTAAATGATACCTATGCTAATATAGAAGTAAATCACTATGAGCTTCAGGTAATGATTACTTGTGTTTACTATATAAATAATTGTTGATAACACAAATTAGCTACTTCTTCAGTAAGAGTTGGGATAAAACACACTATTGGAAAATTCTGTTTTAATTCCGACCCCAAAAGTTAAAGCAATATAAAGGCATTATCAACTAACCAAACATTGAGTTAATTCATACTTTATACAAGCTAGTTATAATTAGTTCTCCGCACTTGCTACTCATTTTCGTTCGATTGTTAATATATTTCGCGACATATAAACAGCCAAAGAATATAAGGAGTCAGTGCGGTGAACTCATTTCATTTAGAGTGTACTTTATATTCAGATAAATTATTTAGAACATATTATTCTTAATTATAAATAATTTAATTTTGGATGTAACACGTCTTCTGATTGGCTGAAAGTTTTTTGTCTATCAGCTCATAGACATAATTTTGTCATGTGACTGTGATGTCATCAACGTTTTTTCATGATTTACTCCTTAAAAATGGAATTTAGAATTAAATTATAAGCAATGACTGTAATATTTTTTCTGTCTATTCTAAATAACCTCAAAAATGTAGTGCACACTTTTAAATAATATTATTCAGTGTGCAATACATTTTTGATGTTATTTCTTCATAGAAAGGAAAAATATTACAGTCATTCCTTAAAGGTATTCAATTTTCAGAGTAGAAATTTAAATGAGTGAAGGGCATAAAGCACTTAAAAATCAAATTCAATGGATGCAATCCAATGTGTAATGAAATTAAATCAAAACTAATTCACATAAATTTTTGATGAATATAATTACAACAAAACTGAATACATCAATGATTTAGAAGTAGAACATACTTTGACAACACTGAAATACTCATATGGAGACGTTGGACTAACCTCGATCAGGGCAAGAGTCTGAGGTCGAGAGGTTGGCTTGGCAATAGAAATGTTGCAACTTTTATAGAATAACAGAATACCCAAATATATGAATTTAACTTATTTCAAATTTAATAAACTGTTAACACAGAGATATGTCTCGCCTATTTGTTATTTTGATAATGCAAATGTTGAAATTAAAATAGCAATACTTTAACATGTAAGTTATGCAAATATTCAAAGTCAATGAACCATGACTGAAGGTACAGGGCTAAACAATCTCCATGGAAATTAGATGTGCCAATGTTAATACAACTGCAAACCAAATACCATTGTCTTTTCGTAAGTCGTTCCCTTTAAACAAACCTAAAACAAACATTAACTTGTAAACTATTTAAAAGTTTAAAAGTCAATGAACTATAATTAGGGAGTGGGAATATATAATCTCCATGGAAATGAAACTTTCAAATGCCAATACATTTGCATACCAAATATCATTGACTTTACATTAGTTGTTCATTTTAAACTGACCTAATCACAAACTAATACATGAAAACTAAGCAAAAGTTTCAAAGTAAATAGACCATGACTGAGGGGGCGGGGCCAAATATTCTCCATGGAAATGAGATGTGCTAATGCTTATACAACTGAACACCAGTTAACATTGGCCTACCACTAATGGTTCCCCTTGAACTGACCTAATCACAAACTAATACATGTTAACTTAGCAAAATTTTCAAAGTCTATAGACCATGACTAAGGGGGCGGGGCCAAATAATCTCCATGGAAATGAGATATGCCAATGTTTATACAACTGCATACCAAATATCATTGACCTACCACTAGTGGTTCCCCATAAATTGACCTAATCACAAACTAATACATGTAAACAATGAGAAGTTTCCAAGTCAATAGACCTTGACTGAGGGAGTGGGGCCAAATAATCTCCATGGTAATGAGATGTGCCAATGCTAATACAACTGCATACCAAATATCATTGACCTACCACTAGTGGTTCACCATGAACTAGACCTAATCAAAAACTAATACATTGTTGACGCCGCCGACGCCAGAAACAGCATACCTATGTCTCGCTTTTTGACTCCGTCAAGGCGAGACAAAAACTTTCATCTTAATGATGAAACTGTATTAGAAATGTATGCAAAATAAGGATGTAAAAGTAATTAGCTTTAAAATTTTCTATTTCCTCTTTGAATTTGTAGTTAATTTCTATAAACAATATAGTGCATTTTTCTCCATTCAACATTTACCATTTGTAAGTTTTAATTTTTCTACTTTATTTTTTCATTGCCATTAAATTTAAACAAGTGTGTATTAAAGGTAAGTGATACATAATAATAATGTCATAATCAGCTTGATCACATTTTTTTTTCATCGCAAAGACAAAATTAAGAGAACAATGTGATATAGGAGAACCAATAAACACAATGACTAATTAAAGATATCAATTGCTGGAGGGAATATTGATATCACACAAATGTTTATGCAAAGAATTATACATGGCAAATTCTGTTTCACCTCATGCTGTATCAACTATAATCTGATAATATTCATTAACTAGTGCCTTTTGTCCTCTGATTACTAAGGTTTAAAAGGCAGATAATGATTTTGCTGTGTACCGTTCTTTTTATCATTTGTTTAAACAAAGGCAAATTTACAAGTATTATAATGAGGGTATGTGATACAAGTCTTGGTGTATCATATATATCTCAATAAACCATACTAATAAAGACAAAATAAAACCTATTAGTAACTACATTGGTATGTTTAAGAATAACATAAACATTTTAAAACTATATTTTTGTTATATGCTTTCAGCAACCATTGAATCATACAGGCTTTTATTCTTTTGATTTATGCCTAAAGGAATGAATTTAAAAAAAAGAAATTTCTATTGAAAATTACTTATCATCATAACAAATAAATCTTTTCGAAAAAATATGCCTGTAAGAAAGTACAGTTATGTGCATTACTGAAATTTGGTTGCTGTTTCATGTGTTGTTTCAGTCAATAACTCAAATACTACAATCAAAGTTTTATGCCAAACAGTGTTTTAAAGTGATTATTATAGGTACATTGTGTACTAAGCAACTACACAACTGTACATTGTGATAATTACCTGTGTATTTTGTGATTTTGCACGTCTGTTTTTTGTTTTTGCAGCATCTAAATCTAATCTCTTTGTTTCTAGTATTTTCTTTTCTTTCTGAAAAACAAATATGAATTATCAAAATATGAATTTAAAAAACATTTGCCAACATAACAAAGACATTCATATCTAATCTCTAAAGATGAATAAATTTTCTTTTAAAGAAATCTCTCTATGTGACGACCAATCATTTGATGGACAAACATTTATTTTAATATATTGAAGCCTTAAAACTTGTCTGCCAGTAAAACTATTTCCCTATAATTATCTTCTTACGTGCATATCTTGCTAAACCTATTTTTCAAAGTTGTTGGTCTACTACAACTGTAAGTTGTTTCGGTAAACGCCTTTTCTTATTCAATAAAACTCTGTATGACTTCCTATTTATTATGTTAATCAAAGGATATGGGGTGGGTTTTCAAATGAGTTTTGTCCGACAGAAAAAAATTCTACTTCTTGATAACTAGTAAATTATTGTGAAAAGAAAGTTAAGATTGGCACCATGATAGCTTTCATTAGTATTTTATATACAAAATATTCTATATTCTTAAAAGAAAATGTCAACCTATATTGGGGAAAAACTGTAGATACTGCCTCTTTAATACATTTTACTTCATTAAAACAAATATCAAACCTGAATGGTCTTCATATCTCCATCCAAGAAATTACGTAAAGGTTGTAGAAAGTTATTAGCAGTTGACTGTACAAATTCTTTTTCTGCATTTCCAATGTTGATTTGTGTTGCGCCAGTCTTGACTAGAGCGTTACCTATACAATAAAGAACATGTAATAAATATGTATGTAAGCTACACCAATTAATAGACAAGTTCTTGAGGATATTGCTTTGATGACATAAAGATGATTTCAAGTTATAGAATTGAAATACAAAATTCAATAATTAAGGAAACATTTTGTACCAGTAAATATACATAGACAAAACACTTAAACTGGTTAAAAAACCATCATTTAAGGGCAATAACTACAAAAACTCCTATTAGTGGTTCAGAAGTTTTAGACAATAATATCTTTGAAATTGCTTATAGATGATTGATGGATGATGGACAAAAAATTGTTTTAGCTTGCTTTATAATTAAAATGTATGCTCATACTAGCCTTCACCATGGTGGGATAATAGTATAAGGCTTAGCTTCATAAATTCAGTATGTTTTGAAACACAGGTTCTGTATTTTAAAGAAGTATGAAGGGTCTGTCGATTTCAAAAAAACATTCACTAAATCAAGATAGAAAAAGCATTTTGTTCAACACTACATAAAAGTTCAATTTTTTAAGAATACAAAATAACTGAGAAACTTTGTTTGCCAGCTTCACTGTTTAGCAACAGCAAGAATTACTGTTACTGGATTACTGTTGTACAATTTGGGGAAACACCAGTGACCAAAATACAAATAGATTAGATAAACTTCAAAAACGAGCAGCTAGAATTATTCTTGAACTTCCTTATGATACCCCATCTAATACAATGTTTAATAAAATGCTCCGCAGGGCACAGCTTGATACGACCGCAGAGGTCGAACCCTGAACAGTTGGGGGAAGTATGGACACAACATTCAAGCTTGATACAGCTTTGGATTTGGATTGTGATTAAATATTTGACACAGCATAGGTTTCTAACACAGATTGAATGTGGTCTAAGGACTTAAAAATTTTAAATTGGACATTCACCTATTATGGTCCAATATCCAAAATCTAAATACATGGTTAGATTCAGCATATCAAAGAACCCCAAGAATTCAATTTTTGATGAAATCAAACAAAGTTTAATTTTGGACCCTTTTGACCTCAATGTGGACAAAGTTGATAACGGGGCCCAAAAATCAAAAATCTAAATACATGGTTAGATTCAGCATATCAAAGAACCCCATATATTCAATTTTTGTTGAAATCAAACAAAGTTTAATTTTGGACCCCGATTTGGACCAACTTGAAAACTGGGCCCATAATCAAAAATCTAAATACATGTTTAGATTCAGCATATCAAAGAACCCTAAGAATTCAATTTTTGTTAAAATCAAACTAAGTTTAATTTTGGACCCTTTGGACCTTAATGTAGACCAATTTGAAAACGGAACCAAAAATTAAGAATCTAAATACACGGTTAGATTCGGCATATCAAAGAACCCCAATAATTCAATTTTTGATGAAATCAAACAAAGTTTAATTTTGGACCCTTTTGACCTCAATGTGGACAAAGTTGATAACAGGGCCCAAAAATAAAAAATCTAAATACATGGTTAGATTCAGCATATCAAAGAACCCCATATATTCAATTTTTGTTGAAATCAAACAAAGTTTAATTTTGCACCCCGATTTGGACCAACTTGAAAACTGGGCCCATAATCAAAAATCTAAATACATGTTTAGATTCAGCATATCAAAGAACCCTAAGAATTCAATTTTTGTTAAAATCAAACTAAGTTTAATTTTGGACCCTTTGGACCTTAATGTAGACCAATTTGAAAACGGAACCAAAATTTAAGAATCTAAATACACAGTTAAATTCGGCATATCAAAGAACCCCAATAATTCAATTTTTGATGAAATCAAACAAAGTTTAATTTTGGACCCTTTGGACCTCAATGTGGCCCAATTTAAAAACGGGGCCCAAAATCCAAAAACTAAATACACGGTTAGATTCAGCATATTAAAGAACCCCATGAAATCAAGAATAAAACCCCATTGAAATTGGTCAAGAAGTAAGCAATTTATAGGAAGTATCTTCTTTTGCACAATCCTGTGCTATTAAATATTTCTTGCTATTGCGCAATACTGTACAATTGACAATTTCTTGCTATTGTGCAATATTGTGCTATTGGATATTTCTTGCTATTGCGCAATACTGTGCAATTGAAGATTTCTTGCTATTGCGCAATACTGTGCAATTGAAGATTTCTTGCTATTGTGCAATACTGTGCAATTGAAAATTTCTTGCTATTGCACAATACTTATTATATAATAATTTACACATCCTGTTTGGTGTGTATCTCCTACCATATCATTATTATTTGATTTTAAATATAAATCAGAAATAACCAACTTAAAATGGAAAATTTTAAAAGAAACAAAAAAGGAAAAAAAGAAAAAAAATGAAAAAAAAATAAATTCCCCCCCCAAAATTTTTTGAACCCCCATTATGATTCATCACCCCCAAACTCAATCCCAGCCTTCCCTTTGTGGTATGGTACCTTGTAGTACAATTTCAGAGAGATCCATACACTTGAACACAAGTTATTGTCTGGAAACTAGAAAAAAAATGTGTTTTTTGGCCCCTTTTTGGCCCCAAATTCCTAAACGTTTAAGGCAATTACCCCCAAACTCAAACCCAGCTTTCCCTTTGTGATATGGAACCTTGTAGTACAATTTCAGAAAGATCCATACACTTACACACAAGTTATTGTCATGAAACTAGAAAAATGCTTGTTTTTTGCCCCTTTTTTGGCCCCTAATTCCTAAAATTTGGAGGCAATTACCCCCAAAATCAATCCCAGCATTCCTTTAGTGATATGGAACCTTGTGGTACAATGTCAGAGAGATCCATACACTAACACACAAGTTATGTCTGGAAGTTACAAAAATGCTTATTTTTGGCCCCTTTTTGGCCCCTAATTCCTTTACTGTTATTACCATAACCCCCAAAATCAATCCCAACCTTCCTTTTGTGGTATTGAACCTTGTGGTAAAATTTCATAAAGATCCATTCACTTAAACTAAAGTTAGAGTGCGAAAACCAATGTGTCTTCGGACGACGCCGGACGACGCCGACGACGCCGGAAGACGACGACGACGCCAACGTCATACCAATATACGACCACAAAAATTTTTTTGCGGTCGTATAAAAAGTTATCATGGCTTCGATTTACTGATCGTGTGATTTACCACAAGGCCTTATATGTTCATAAATGTTTATATGGATCTGTCCCAGAATATTTGTCTAACAAAATCTCCTATGTTACAAATAAAAATGGAATGCAACTTAGATCAAATACTACCCAATTACTAAATATACCAAAGGCAAGAACAAACACATTTAGAAGATCTTTTTCATATTCTGGCCCAACTTTATGGAATAAACTACCAGAAGCACTAAGACACATGTCAAACATAAATACTTTTAAAACAAACTGCTTTAAGTTTTTACTTGAAAATCCAGGAATTATTTAAATGATTATGTATCAATTTTGATTATGTTTTCTCATGTTTATCTTTGTTATGAAGAAATTGGGTGATGCATTGTGAGTGGAGTGTGAGGGCCTCAAGGGAGAATAGTGTTTGTACTAATTGAGCTTACCCTCTTGAAATAAAGATTATTATTATTATTATTATTAAACTTTACATTTGAAAAAAATAAACATTTCTTAAGGAAACACTGGTTATAACTGATGAGTCACTTTTGGTATTTCAAATTGTAGAATATAAGTGTATATCCTTTAAGAAGTAAAGGCATTATTGGTCATTTTAAATCATAAAATCTTCTTCCTGAAATAAGATAAATCTAATAGGAACAAACCTCTCAGATATTAATCATCAAATGATAATTGTATAGGAGTTTCAAGAGAACATTTTTCACCATGATTTTTCATCAAATTCATCTGGTCATTGTTTTATTGTTTTCTACTGAACCTGATCATTATTCACATTTGTCATATATAAAAATTTTGACAAATGAATTTTTATTTTAGTAGTCTAAACAAAATCAATGGAATCAGAAAATATATCTAAATATAGATTGAAATATAACTCTGTATACTTCAAAAACAAAAGGAAGTTGGTAGTTGAAAGTTAGAGAGCTTCCACTTAAAACTGTCCAGACCTAAAGGAAAATATTCATCTGAAAAAAATAAATCATAAATTTCTCTTAACATTTGTCTAACAAGTCGTTATTAATTTTATTTTTATAAATGTATAAACTGATCGTCAGAAATAATCAGGACATACATCAATTGAGAGAAAATCTGTATTGCTATTATACTACATGTATAAACTGATATAATTTTGTCTAAATACATGTCATTTGTGTGAAACATGTAAAGTTCATCATGAAACCTTTTACTTTTGAACTTTTTGTAATTCATTTATGAAATTGTGTGCCAGTTTTTCAATATAGGATACATTATTCTCAATAAACTTTTGAAATCACAGACCAGAAGCTAAATTTTAAGAAAATTTTAGTTAGATTCAATAAATTCCTCTGAAGAGATGATTTTTACAGGCATGAATGCAATTTTGGACTGGTGTTTAGGATACACATACAGAGATCTCAAATTTTTTTTTAGCCTTGTGGACACTGGGACCACCAAAACTACAAATCTTGTACCAGTAGTCCCAGTGAAAATTTGGTGGTCCTGTGTTTGAAGAAATTTTTTGCTTTCAATTATATCCATACAATGTACATGTAGGTATAAATATTTCCATACAATGAACATGTAGGTATAAATATTTCCATACAATGTACAAAGATTAGGCCAATTCGCACAATAACTACATGGCTGCATATAAAATATTGATACAGATTGTAATCAGGAGCTATACTTAAATACTAGACAGCCTAAAAACAGAATAATACCACCACAAACTTTTAGCTGGACAACAATACAACTGTTACACTCAAAATTGGTGGACCTTCCTGATTTTGGTGGTCAGGAATGACAGGACCACCAGGTGTCGCGAAACACTGCACATATAAATATGTCACAGTTGAAGGTCTCAGGGAAATATATTCTTGGATATTTTCAATTCTTACTTGTCATAATTTTCAACCTCATATGGTGTAAAAATGATTAAAGTTATCAAAATATACCTCTAGACATGCAAGAGATGTCACAGTGAGAAAAATCTTTTGTTATTTATATCATCAGCAAATAAACCACAATTATTTACCATATGATGTTCCTGGACCAAACTCATTGCCAGCATCTGTCATTATCTGACCAAGTAATTCATGGTGACTAATACGGTCTCTTTTCTTTTTGTCAAGTTTCTCGTAAAAAAAGTCCTCCATACGAACATCTGTAATAAATGAAACAAATTTATAATGAACATGATATTTTAAAATATCTGATACAGTTCTATTGTTCAATCATTACAAAATATATGTATATATGAATACATATATAGCCATATATATATATAGGTTGTATAGAAGATATGAATTTTAACAAAAACAATTTTCATCCTTATATCCATGGGTGACATTTCAAATAATCTTACTTTGCTTTCACTGATTAATATTTCAATTAAAATTGTCAAGTGCAAGTTGCTACATTAAAATACATGTACAATATGATAAATGTATAGATATAATTTATGACAGCCATGTGGTTACTCAATACCATGCATATGCCTTTTTAAACAATGAAAATTTAACATAGATTGAAGCAAGGCATTATCATGTTAGTTTACAAAATTAAACCAACCAGGATTGTAAAATAAAAAATTATGCCTTATTCTAATCCACAAAGCAAAACTGCAAACTCTCTTGGGATACAAATAGGGATAAAACCATCTCCTTTTTTTGGCACACGTTCCCCATGCACATTTGATTAAGAGAGAAAAGTTTTCATATTGGTTTACCATTATACAGGCTACTGCTTAATTTAAGTTTGTATTGACAGGGAAAAAAAATAAAATGTAGAAGATCAAAAGAGCTTGCTTTGCGCAAATTGTTGAGAACAGAACATCTCCAATCCTACTTAATCCTTTTTTCAAACTCCTTAAGTTCAGAGGCAATCAGTCTACTTCATCCTCGATTTCCAGTATAAATGTTTCATTGTATTTCAAAACTGATCAGAATTAAGAGGGTGAAAGGCTAAATAATCTCTGAGGAAAGGATATATATATGCCTCTGCTTATACAACTACATACTAAATATCATTGACTTACTATAAATGGTTCCCCTTAAACTGACCTAATCACATGTAAACTATGTAAAAGTTCCTGAGGGCCAGGGTCAAACAGATTAAAAGGTAAGACTATGTTTAAGGATGTTCGCTTCTCTGTTTCAAATTAACAAGCTTTTTAAAAGACTGTTATAAATTGATAGTATATAATTAGCTGAACTTAAAAAGTTAAAAAAAAAATGACATGTCAGTGTGCTTGTTTTTGAGATATAATCAATTGGAATAAAAAATTTGGCGGGAAATAATTCTCTCTAGAATTTTCATACATTTAATATTGCCATCTTTTTTCTTTCAAAAACTATGAAAAAATAACAAGGATTTTATAAGATTTGAAATTTTCAAAAATGGCTTTATAAACTATGTAATAAAATTATGAAAAGAAAAGTAGTGGTTAGCTGGCAAAATTTTTATTGGCACTACATGGATAAAACTAGAGGATTCCAAATATCTGACAAAATGTCAAACACAAGATTAGCGAACATCCTTAAAACAGGAGCACTAAAACAGTTGTATAGTACCTACTTCAAAACAATTATTTTTATAAACTTTGTAAAAACCAACTCATTTAAGTGACATGCATGTGTTGACCACACAATTTAATAAACCATACAATTAACGTCTTTTATTGCTGATAGCTATCAAATGCTTGAACCTTTTTCAGTCAGCTGATTAATAATTTTCAGACAAAATCAAAATGTGTGACAAGTTCAAGGTTAAAATCCAAAGTGTTTACTGATAAGGGAATATAATGCTTCGCTGAGCGCAGCTGGATACGACCGCAGAGGTCCAACCCTGAACAGTTGGGGCGAAAATGGACACAATATTTGCACTTGATACAGGTCTGAATTTGGATTGTAATTAAATATTTGACACATTATAGGTTTCTGACACCGAATAACTGTAGTCAAAGAACTTAGAATTGGTTATGTATATGATTTGAATTTATATTCAATTTTTTTGATTTTGTGCAATACACTATGCTGTTGCGAATTGACACCCCTCCCCCCAAAAAAAATAAAAAATCCCCCCCTTTTTTTTTGCTTTTGAGAAATACACTATACTGTTGCGTATTGACCCCCCCCAAAAAATAAATGTTTTTAAATAATTTAAAAGCAGTGTAAGGGAGGTAATCCAACATTGAACAACATTGTACACAATTTTGTTTTTGGATTACCTCCCTTACACTGCTTTTAAATTGTCCATTAACCAGGAAACCCTTGTTTTTTCCCCTTTTTTGCCCCTAATTCCTAAATGGTTTGTGCCATAACCCCCCAAAGCCAATCCTAACCATCCCTTTGTGGTATGGAAACTTGTGGTTTAATTTCAGAGAGATCCATACACTTAAACACAAGTTATTGTCTGGAAGTTACAAAAATGCTTATTTTTGGCCCCTAATTCCTTAACTGTTGGTACCATAACCCTAAAAATCAATTCCAACCTTCCTTTTGTGGTATTGAACCTTATGGTAAAATTTGTTAGAGATCCATTCACTTAAACTAAAGTTATTGTGCGAAAACCAATGTGTCTTCGGATGACGACGACGACGACAACGCCAACGCCAACGTCATACCAATATATAAAAATTCAGAGAAGTTTAAATAAAGAGCTGCGCCATGAGAGCATGATACCCCTGTCACTTTTTCAAAGAATAAAGTTCCATAATTCCTCAATGTCATATCAGAAATTTATAAAAAAATAAAGGGAGGTTTTTTTAATAGATATAAAACAGTCACCAAAGTTTAATGAAAACTGTTCAAAGCACTTTTGAGTCATTGTCCACAAACTGGAAACCCCCCCCCCCTTTTTTATGAAATGTTAAACCTAAAATATAAAAGGGAGCTTACGTCAATAGATATAAACTATAAACAATTCACCAAAGTTTCACGAAAAGCGCACAAAGCATTTTTAAGTTATTGTTCGAAAACTGGAAAAAAACCCTTTTTTAATGAATAAAACCCCATAACTCGGAAATGTCAAATCTAAACTTTTTTGATGAATAAAACCCCATAACTCGGAAACGTCAAATCTAAACTTTATAAAAATCGAAAGGGAGCTCACATCAATAGATTTAAACAATTCACCAAAGTTTCACGCAAATTGGTTAAAGCGTTTTTGATTTAGTGTACGACGGACATACAACTGTATACTATAATACATCCCGTAAACGGGGGTATAAAAAAAAATAACAAGATGGACGATGTTAAACAGTTTTAAATTTTTGGCAATAAATTTTCACCATTACTGCTTAATGAATTCACTTTGAGTAAATATTTGAAGGAATATAAGCTACCTAGCTAATGTAACTTATTGATTTTGAAAGGTTTAGGATTATGATTGAGTTTCAAATCTCTACTGTCTGCAAACCAATCAGCATAGCCCTTCATAGAAACTGTTTCGATGACAGGATATAAAAAAGGACTGTTTTTACAGCAATTACTAACATTACTAAAGTGACTTTCATTACCAGAAAAGTGTGTCTGTGTTATGGAAAAGTCCAACAAAAAAAGATTGACAAACTTCGAATTTTTCCCTTTTATAACCAAATGAAATATAAATGTGTATGATAAGTATCAGTAATATTCAATTTATACACACAAATATTTTGAAAAAGTAACAAGAATATGATTATTTTAAAAATCCCTACAGGCAGTCAGGGGTTATACTTATACAAGTCATGTTTTTTACACTTGAAGATGTAATAAATGTTTAATTGTATAAGTAAATTTGTAAGATTTTAATTTTGTTTTAAAAGTTTGAATAATCTCTCCAAAACTTTACTTATACAAGTATTTTTTCACCACCCCTGAAATTCTCAAGTTTTGATAGGTCAAAATATACATCAAATTTTTCTGGGTCTGCTTGTTTTTTTTAATGAGAGTTCAACCTTTTGTCTAAACAAGAAATCTACTATGCAAAATTATTAAGTAACTGTGCAAGGTCTTAATAAATTGCTTCCTGGAGGCTTGTAAATGGGCAGTATTTTTAAGATAACAGACAAATGAGATTTTTCGATGACATTTTATTTTCATGAAAAGATAATATTGTTATTTAAAGACAGATAATTATTTTTTTTTTAATTTCAGAGCAATGTAGCAAAGAGGAATTCAAGAGAAGAAGAAAAGATGCCTCTTTTACTTATAAACATGTAAGTAAAAATAATCTAGATGTCTTGGGGATATAACTCTACCTTCGGAATTGTTTACTTGTATAATTGAATGAAAAAACAGTTGACAACTGACTTACAGGTTCCTTAAACCTAACATGTATGTACAAATTTATTTATTTTGTAAAAAATATTTCTGTTCAACAAAATTATTATATTTAAATTTACCTGTGTACAATATTTTATTTAACACCATTTTGTCCCAGGTTAGAGTTGTCTTTTTGACATTGTTTGACATCCTGTTTTTTTTTATTAATATTGTATTTATATTGTGCCATAGATCAAATTTATTCAATCAGTGTATGTTTACTTGTTTTTGTTCTTTTTGATCAAGTTAAGCCATTTCAATTGATATTTTATAGTGTGTCTTTTTATGTTGTAATGCTACACTACTGTTTCAGGTTAGGGTGAAGGTTGGTGCCTGTTAAAACATTTAAACCCGCTGCACCTGTCCTAAGTCAGGAGCCTGTTGTTCAGTGGTTGTCGTTTGTTGATGTGGTTCATAAGTGTTTCTTGTTTCTCTTTTTTTTTAAATAGATTAGACCGTTGGTTTTCCAGTTTGAATTGTTTTACACTAGTCATTTTGAGGCCCTTTAGAGCTTGCTGTTCAGTGTGAGCCAAGGCTCCATGTTGAAGGCCGTACTTTGACCTATAACTGTTGACTTTTTACACATTGTGACTTGGATGGAGAGTTGTCTCAATGGCACTCATACCACATCTTCTTATTTCTATATATCAAAATATGATTTTTTTTTGTTTCAAACATTTATAAAAGCGGAATTCTGAAATAATATTTTGCTATTAGCAGTCCGTTTTGTCAAATTAAGCTCAAAAACATCGATGATGTATTATTGGCTTGCACTTCAATAATTCAACTGATTTCAATCCGTATTCATGTGAACTTCAATTGGACCTTTAAAAAAAACTTGTTTAACTGGGGATGGGTTACCCATGGTATAAGCATGTTTAGTTATTTAAAAGAAAAGAATGTCATCATTGAAAAGTAAAAAAAGGCAGCCATCAGAAAGATCCCTGTTGTTGACTAATTCTACCCATAAAAAAATGTTCAAAAAGTTTTCAAAATCCAAAAGCTATGAAACTAGAGGCTCTGAAGAGCCTGTGTCGCTCACCTAGTTATATGTATATATTCAACAAAGGACACTCTCCAACATTGTAGACAAGATAGAATTCATGACAAAAATCTGTTTTTTGTTGATCTTATATTGCTGATAGTTTTGTCTGTTTAGTTTCTCTCTATCTTCTTTAGTTTTTGCTCAAAACACAAAAGAGGGTTAAAAAAAATTCCTCATTTAAGGGCAATCACTCCAATAAAGAGTGACAGTCTACTAACTATATCGGCAAAATTTGACTTGTTTGTAGATCTTGCCTTACTGATCATTTTTGTTATTTAAAGTTTCTCGTAAGACACAAGGCAAAAACGCAAAAAAATGGTAGGAATCGTCATAGAAGGGCAATAACTCTAAGAAGACCATAAGACTTATTTGTAGATCTTGTCTTGCTGATCATTTTTACAATTTAAAGTTTCTCTGTATCTATTATAGTTTCCAAGATAATAGGCAAAAATGAAAGACGGTAAAATTTGTCATTTAAGGGCAATAACTCATAAAAGAAGTCCCCTTACAGTTTTGACGTATATAGACAATTGGTAGAGCTCAACATTTAGAACAGGTTTGCCGCTGTCAGATTTTCTCTATTTATTACAGTTTTCAAAATAATAGACAAATCTTGCATTTTACCCCTATGTTCAATTTTTAGCCATGTAGACCATCTTGGTTGGCAGGCCGGGTCATCAGACATATTTTTTAGACTAGATACCCTAATGATGATTGTGGCTAAGTTTGGTTAAATTTGGTCTAGTAGTTTCAGAGGAGAAGATTTTTGTAAAAGTTAACAATGACGATGGACGACGACGATCGACTGACTCCAAGTGATGAGGAAAGCTCACTTGGCCTTTCGGCGAAGTGAGCTAAAAAATAATAGAGTTGAAATGAACAGAATTCCAAAATAATCTGTAACTTCTTATATATTATCATCATGATCATGTACTTATTACAAAACTATATATCAGAATTTTCTAAATAAATGCAGGGAAAGCAAACAAAAAACACCATTTTGCCTCTTTTATCCTAACTACTAATCTTTCCATAAAGTTTGCCATGTTTGTTGATCAGAGGGATCTTGAGATACATGTTTGAAACAGACACTCAGACACTGGTAACCAATATGTTTAAGCCAAATGAGGTTTTTATAAGATAATAATCAATTGAGCAGTCTTCCAAGAATAGTACAAACTATTCATTTTTTAATTCATACTAAAATATTCCAATATCAAACATAAAATGGAACAATTACCTGAGAAACCAACAAAGCTAGTTCAATAAATATATTTTTTGACATTCCTACAAACTGACAAACAATAATTTACCTAGTTCAGTCAAAAGTTCTGCATTTAAACCTACAATGTATTTACCACGGTTATGGGACCTAAGATTCAACATTTATGTACATTAAAGTATAAAATTATAAATCAAAATAAAAGTTCTTTCTTATTTCCAAATTAATAAAAAAAAATTCCTAAATTAATGGTGTAAGAGAATTTCATAATAATAACATAATTAACCAAATTATGATATTTTCAAATTCATGATATAAAAATCATGGTTGTTTCATATGAATATTTATAATTTTTTCATAAAGGCCAAAAATAAAATTAAAACTGTTTGAAGTTGCCTACCTACCCACCTAAAAAGCAGCCTACCCGAAAAATTTTATTACACAAATAGTTTCAAATTATTTTTAAAAAGTATTTTTTGTGCTCTAACTTTGTTTTCTTGTCTAAAACAAGTAACTTATGTTGTTGGCCAAAATAAAATTATATCTACCTACATACCCTACCCTACAAGGCATGGGTAGGCAAATTCAAACAAAAAATTTGTTAAGGGTGGCCTAATTGGTTACTACAATGTATGTTGTTAATTCAAATAACTTATCAACATTAAGTAAAGTACACATACATGTACATGTAATATGCATCATTAACTTGCTTGATAAAACTGTTATAATGATTCATACTTTCATATGTCATGTAAATCTCTTCAATCATTTTTCTACCTACCAAGTCTACATTCTTTTTCATAAGTTTCAAAAATACTTACTTGGATTTGGTTGTAGAAGACATTCAGTCTGTTTCAAAACCTTCTCTGTCCATATTTTTGTCTTGTCTGCCCTTTGCAATAAATTTTCAAAGTGAGCATCTAATTCTGTCTTTTCCGCTTGACCCAACTTTTCTTCTGTAAACTGAAATCATGTAACAATTTAAATTTACTTTCTAACAATGCTGAGTATACAACTCAAAATAACAACCTACATCTACATATATATGCAAAATGCTTTACAAAACTTTTCCTGAAATAAATCTGACTGTTATCAATGCTAGGTAAACCTTTATAATCTCAGTTAAATTTATTAACTACTTTACTAGACTTGTGGCGATTAAGAGCTCGACACATTGTATAGACACCTGTCTTGTTAAAAACTGTTGGTTGGCCTCTAGATTAAGGGTGTTGAAACAGTCATATTTGTCAGTCATGACTGTTTTGAATTTAAATTCATTGTACAAATGATTGAAATAAAACTCCCAATTTCAGAAAAATGTGATTTGAAACTTTACCAAGATCTTTTAACTACAGTTTGTCAGAAATTGCATTTTTATCAGTTTAATACTAAATGCTGTTTACATTTTTTTTCAATAAAAAAACCCAGGTCACTTGGTATTGTCGGATAATATTGAGGGCCTTCTGACTTATTGACCAATGAAACAACCCATGAAATTGAGAAAAAAAATATTGATTACAAACCACCTGTAAATAATAAATTATTTCATAAAGGCCAAAGATACAGTTGAAGATAAGGACATAAAATGCAGAAATGTGCGTCAGATTATCAACTTAACACATAAAATTATCTAGTTTTATATCATGTTTGTTTGTCTAACTTTTTGTTATATTTATTCCAAATTTTTTTTTGGTTTACAACACAAATATATTACCTTTAGATGAGGCAACTGAAGTTTATTATGCTCTGAAGGGTCTACTCTAGTCTATATACAAATGTGCTTTGGCCCTGAAAAAGCTTAACTAACATGGAAGCAGTATTCATTCTTTTCTGGATTTATATATGTATAATGTATCAACCTTTTTCATAATAATTTACTAACTAAAATGCCCTTCAACTTTACATGGGAGGAGGGGTGCATATTATTTTCTGAAACAGCCCTCAGGTTATCAGCGATTACAGTTTTAAAATTTGAACTTTTTCTTTTTGTAGAATTTTTTATTTTTTTTACAAGTTTAAGCTGTAAGTTACATGTATGCTTGCTTTTATTTACAATGCCATACACATGCTTTCAAGTATCCTCATTACATAAATATTAAGTACAAAATTAGGCTCTCGATCCTAAAATATGCAACAAATTACATGAACAAAACAATTATCAGTCATAATAGAACACTTTTAGAAGTCTGAATTAATAGATAAGTTGATTTACTGTCATTTGATGGTCAGAAGAAATTTGTATCTTAATATTCATTCAGACTTTACCTTCAAATTGAAACTTTCGGTTAATAATTAATTTAATCAAAAGGGCAATGTAGCAGCATAACTTCTTGACAAATTTGCAATTTTTTATTTTTTACTTTTGCTGCTTGCATGCCACATATCCCTCTTAAATATTTTCTCAAATACAGACATGAAATTTCATGTCAATGTAGTTCTGGCTGTATACCATGTATACATACAACCTATACATGTAAATTCTGACACAGTTTCCTTTTAGACATATAAACCATGATGACTTCTGGTATAAATCTGACATGTTTGACAGCTTGAAAAAAATGACCCCAACTTACCCATGCTACCAGTCCTAAAAAATGATGGAAATTGTGAAGAAAAAAATTTTCAGAACTTGCTTGGATATCTTTTATTTTTTAATGGTTTTTTTTGTGGATGCTGTCTTATCGAAGTACAATGTTTATCCCACATTTTCTTTTAATCATATTCACCATTGGAGTAGGATCTGCTTACCCTTCTGGACTCCCGAGTTCACCATAGCTTTTGTGATGTTCAATTTTAATTTTCTGTGTAGTGTTTTGTCAACAGTTGTTTGGCTGTTCTGTGCTTTTCTTTCTGACCATGGTGTCTGTTTTTCTTTGGTTTTTGATCATGTTGATTGCCTTTGTTTTCTATTCTCTTTTTTTATAAACATTAATCATGTAAATAACTTTTGAGGCTAATAACAGATTCTGTACATCTGTAGTTGGAGCTAATATATATAGCAATCTGGCCATGAAAGCTAAAGCTTAAAAAATTATTTCCCTTTGCATTTTTTTTAAATGTTGTTTCTTACTCATTAGTTGAAAGGGATATATATCTACAAGCATGATTCTAAAACGTACTATCTATTATTTTAAGAATATCATTTGCATATATTTTTTATTTTGCTGTGAAGTAAATAATCAATCTAAATATCATGATTAAAGTTCTGGACCGAGAAATAAATGTATTATAAAATAAATGGGGAATTTGTCCAAGGGTCCATGGGTGTTCACGCTTGCATATAACGTTATAAACGGACATAACTCAAGAACTGTAAAAGTGACGCAACCCAAATTTGTACCTGTTCTGACTTTTGTGGTAATAAGCATTGTTTATAAGTTTCATAACATTTGGTTGAAACAAACTTTAGTTAGAGAACGGAAATGAAAAATTCAGCAATTTTTCCATTTGAAAAGGGGCATAACTCTAGAACGGTAAAAGTGACGCCATCAAAATTCAAACTTGATTTGTGTTTTGTGGTAACAAGCATTGTGTATAATATTCATAACATTTGGTTGAGGCAAACTGAGGTCAAAGAACAGTTACAAAAAATTCAGCAATTTTTCCATTTTTAAAGGGGCATAACTCTAGAAATGTGAAAGTGACGCCAAGTAAATGTTTTTAAAAACCACTAAAATATATACCAAAATATAAAACACAACGGACTCCTAAAACAAATGCAATACCGATTTCTCTGTTTACGACATGACTTGTGTTACGTAAACATTTGAAACCATAAATAAGGCAACAAAAAATGCTTAAATAATTTAAGAATAAAAACAAAAAGGGCCAATATAATACAGTCATGATCGTTTGAGGTAGACTATTCAGCTAAAAGAGAGGCGAAAGATAGCAAAAGGGTATCTAAACAGTCGTAAGTGTAATTAGATAGGTCACATTTGCGGAAATGGGACGGGATTGAAGTTACGACAATTGGAACATATCTGTTGTCATTTGTGAAACGGATACTCCATATAAAGATCAAACTCCTTGTGATGGCGTCCGTAAAATTTACTAAGGGATAATTTCAACTTCACCACTTGGAACTTTTGGTTTAATGACTTTCTTGTGAGCAGCAACCCTCTATCAAGGAAATCATGATACTTTGATAGGAAATACAAGCCCTGGAATACAGTATCAACTGGGAGATATAAACTCTGTATGCAGGTGCTGCTGGAATGTTGCTACATAGAAATAAAGGTTAATTCTGAGTATTAATGTGATATTCTTTGTAAACAAAATTCAATAGAAAAGTTTATTTCAAAACTTTTAAAAAGGGACAATTAATTACTAAATTGGATAACTTTTCCACATTTATGATTTGATGGGTTGTGTTGAATCTTGTGAAGCCCCATGCTTCTGTTTAGTAACGTTTAACTACATATTTAAAAAAAAAGGAAAATTGAGCTTCCTTGTAGCAAACTTGTTGTGTGTGAGTCATTGATTAATGACACGAAGCACCTTCCAAACGTTTAGAATAATTTTGTAAATAAAATTAAATTGCTTTGCTTCAGGGTGTTTCTCATACGAAAATTCGTGTTTCTGAACCAAATTGACCAGGAAAACTAATGACAATATGATGTTCTAATTGTTACCTGTACTGCGCGATTAAATAGAGTACCAGCATCTGCTGCAAACTTCTTCATTTTGAATAAGCCAGAGTTCGTGTCCATAATGAGCTTATTGATTGGGTTCACCTATACTCACTTCCGCATATTACGGAGTGAATTAATATTTTTTTCGTAGAAAAAATCTATTGCATTTTATATAAGCAGAGTATTATTGAATGAAATTTCAGATAAAGATTATCAAGTCGATCCCCAAAATATGTCGATCATTAAGTTAATTTAATTTTATATAGGAAAGCCTTAAACCAAAACGTTGTTTAGAAATATATACAACGACGTACCTTGCATAGTGCAGTATAGGACATTAAGTATTTCTCACTTGTTATTTGTCGTAATATGTTTCATCTGGGACAAATCTATTGGTCCCATAAAACTACATTTGTAATAAAAATATATCCATAGGGTCATTTCGGGTCGGACATTGGCACCACCAGCAGGTGAATTGTCACGTGTTTATTTCAGTGCTTTTATAAAAGTTTGCCGGGTTAAACATTTTTTAAGGGAGCATTTTCTTCTTCTTATTTGGATATTTACATCCTTTATAGGATAGCCATACGATTACATGATGTATGTAGAACAATTCCACCACCAATAACCAAAACACTATACACTTTTTGCACTGGGAATTACCATTTGGCTTCACAAGTAATTTCAACACTATACATGGTACATTTTGCGTCCGTTTAAAATTAATTATCGTACGTTAAAAGTCACTTTCCTTCAGCCTATCCGCCGCTGTTAGAGCTCTGCGCCACTGTTACTACATACATTTAGGAACATATATATTAGATATACTGTTCCCAGATACATTATGCAGTACCTTAAAAGTTACTATCACTTAGAATCTAAATTGCACTTAACGAGACTATACTGACATTTAAAAGACTTATAATGGTTCTAAAGGCTAGATCATTTAAAAAGTAATCAAAACGACATACACGACGACGGATAAAACCTTCATGTAATAAAAACCGAGTATGTTATTTTACGGTTCATACGGAGGTTAAAATCAGCTCGGCATAAGACGACATACATGTACAATGATGTAGTATTAACTAAAACTATACGGTTTCTTATAAAACTATCTCATAGTAGTAAAAGAATCGGTATGCCGGGTACATGTTAAAGGTAAAACGTTTTGACTTTACTTATTAGGAGCGCAATAGAATGTAGGCGATAACTTAAAATAAAGTATGTTTGCATTTTCAGGTCACTGATTAGTTCTTCTTGTCTTATTTCATCATTTGAAAGGTAGAGGTTTTTTTATTTTAGTTAATTTAGATACAATCTTATTTTTGTCATGATATTTGATTCTTATTTCTTCTACAATAAAATCGTAGTAAATCATCAGTATATTTGAATCAAAAGAGAACTTCACAGTGTGTGTCATTAGTCACAGTGTGTGTCATTAGTCTGGTAGCTGACTTTAAGTTGATAGCATAATTTTTATATTCTCAATACAAATAACTATTTCTGAGTTAAAGCTCATGCATCACTTCAGCTCCAATTCTTCTAGTTGTTTTAAATCTTCTTTTTAGAACAATTAGAAATTATCAGGATTGTATAAACTTCATTGTCGTATTTTCCCCCAATAGAATAATATCATATCATTTCCTCCCTATCCTATATATGGTTTTCAATTTTTGTTAAGATAACTTAATTTTCGAAGTTCTTAGTTTCCTATTGAAATACCGGCAATGCTATATAGTAAAAGACTTATGGGGATGTGGTTGGATTGCCAATGAGGCCACCCTTAACAAATTCTTTGTTTGATGTTGCCTACCCATGATTGTAGGGTTGGGTAGGTAGGTAGGGTTTTTCTTTTTTTAGGCCAACAACATAAGATATATGGCTTAGACAAGAAAACGACGTTAGAACACGAAAACAACTTCAAAACAATTTTGAAACGATTTGTGTCATAACATTTTTAAAAGGCCTATACTTTTTAGGCGGGTAAGTAGGGAACATCAAACAATTTTAATTTTATTTTTGGCATGAGACAACTATCTATACCGGAAACCAAATGACGAGAATGCGAAAAAAAAAGGGCTATTCTGTTTAATGGCATCAACTGGCTTCCCGAAGGCTGCAATTTGAACATAAAACTATTGGTTTTTGGAACAGATACTCTATCCTATGATCAAAATGTGCAAATTGTTAAACAAGTCTTAAATTTTATAAAGAAATAAAAAAGATTTCTCGTTGTATGATATCAACATAGGTAAAGCGCACATCATCATCATCATTGTCATTCTAATCTCTGTTGTTCTTACTTTATCCCCTTTCCTTTTTTCAGTATAGTTTAGTAATATTTATGCATTTTGCATTGTATAGTGCATGCTCACATTCAATTTGTATTGTGGAGAAGACTTCATAAGTATGTTTTAGAAATGACCGTGTTGGGAGAAACGGTGGGGTGTAGCCATTTATGGATAGGTGTATTTTATAGACCACCAGATTCTGGTGATAATTCTTTCACGACTATTGAATATTCTCCGGATCAAGCTGTTGATACAGGTGTTGAAAACATTGTCATTTTAGGGGACTTCAATGAAGACTATCTGAAACCAAGTAATGTCCGAATGAAAATTATTATCAGAAAATATGATATGTTTCAGTTCATCGACGAACCTACACATTTTACGGAAATTCGACTTCCTGTTTAGATCAAGTGATTGCTAATAAAAGGAATGCAATTGATCTTGTTCATGTTGGTCATCCGTTCCTGAACGCAAACATTAGACATCATTGTCCGACATTCGGAATGATAAAAATTGAGAAACCTTCTCAAACGTGCTTTAAGCGTCAAATTTGGCTGTACGACAGAGGGGATCTTAATTTATTCCGAGAAAAATTGTCCGCAGTCGATTGGGAAAATTTCATATTAGATGGAAATAACGATGTCGATCTTCTTGCATAGTCATTTACACAAATTCTATTGAAAACCGCAGCGGAATCGATTCCTAATAAAATTATAACAGTTAGGAAGACTGAACCGCCGTCGATTAATAATACTATTCGTCGCGCAATCAGAAAGCGAAATAGGATGAACAAAAGAGCGAAGAAGTATAATCTTCCAGAGCACTGGTCAAAATTTCGAAAGTTTCGAAACAAGACCGTAAATCTAATCCGAAAACAAAAACAAGACTATATCGACGGTCTCGTTGCGAAATTACGGTCTGACTCGTTGAGTACAAGGAGTTGGTGGTTAACAGCATCACATCTAGCTGGATTTAAGTCCAGAGAATCTGATATCCCCTACTTCTCGACAACAATGATTTTTTATATAACGACATTGATAAAGCTGAAGCTTTCAATGCTTTTTTTTGCGTCGCAGTCAAACATTTCTGATGAAAACATGTCTGTTCCTACTGACCATACTCCTCCCGTCGCGTGTCTTGACAATATAATTCTCCGGGAGCATGAAGTGAAAGACATTCTACAAATAACCAATGTTAATAAAGCATCTGGTCCTGATTGAATTAGCCAAAGACTTTTGAAAATTGCCTCAGATATTTTAGCAAAACCTTTGTGCTATATATTCAATCTAAGTTTGACTAAAATGTATTATCCACTAGCTTGGAAGTTAGCTTATGTTATTCCTATTTTTAAGAAGGACGAAGTAAATTACATTGGTAATTATCGACCCCTCTCATTGTTGAGTGTTATAAGTAAAACTTTTGAAAGATGTATATATGAACATATTATGAACTTTATAATGGATCTCTTGTCGGAACACCAGTCGGGGTTTATGTTAAAAGACTCAACTCGTAACCAGCTATTATACTTGACTCATGTTTTTAGTAAGGCCTTAGATGAGGGAAAAGATATCAGAATTATCTTCTCTGATATAAGTAAAGCCTTTGACCGCGTATGGCATAGAGGTTTACTATTTAAACTTAAAAAGATGGACATAACTGGGAATCTTCTTCTTTGGCTCAAAAATTATTTGACTGAGCGTAAACAAAGATGGTTATAAATGGGCAAGTGTCCTCCTTGGCAGACATTAACTCTGGTGATCCTCTAGGATCTATTTTGGGTCCATTGTTATTTTTAGTTTTTATTAATGGTATTGTAAATGAGGTTAATTGTCATATTAAGCTATTTGCTGACGACACAAGCATTTATGCAGTTGTCGAAAATCCTCTGGTTACTTCCATTACTCTAAATTCTGATATGCATCGAATTCAAAAATGGGCAGATAAATGGTTAGTGAAGTTTAACCTGAAGAAAACTGAATCAATGATATTATCTAGAAAAAAAAGAGACCCAGATCATCATCCGTCTCTAATTATGGATAGTGATATAATAAAAACTGTCGAGTCACACAAACACCTTGGATTACATTTTTCGAGTGACGGCAGCTGAAAAATTCAAATTGATGGCATCATAGCAAAAGCATCTGCCCGTCTGAATAAGATAAGATAAGATAAGATATATTTTAATACCATTTAAGGGCCCACAAGGGGTTTATAGAGAATACATGTATAAGGAAAAAGAACATTGATTAGCATAGATACATAGAATTTAAATACACAATTACAGTACAATTAGACTGTAAAAAAGCCCTTGGTTTAAAGTATATAATATATTTATATGAGAAATAAATACATCTAACTCATATTGACTTGAATAAATTTTCCAACAGCATTAAGTACCTGATTGTTTTCACAACTCACTAAATATATGAATTTTTGCTGATTGTCCAGTAAAATAAAGTTTGGCATTTTATGGCAAACAAAGTCAAAGAGAGCATCTCTATCAGAGTTAAATTTTTCACATGAAGTTAAAAAATGGATTTCATCTTCAATACAGCCAGAGGAGCATTTTTTGCAAATTCTTTCATTTCGTGGAATATTTGAAAAAACGGCCAAATTCTATTTGAAGCTTATGAGCAGATATACGTAATTTACAAATAGCATATGTTAAGAATGCTTCAGTTCAAGGCGGACAGATAAACGCTTGAGGTCATATATTTTTCATATGTTCGACCTATTTTAGAGTATGCCGATGTAATCTGGGATAATTGTCCAGAATATTTGAAAGATCGACTGGAACAAATTAATTATGAGGCAGTACGTATAGTTACTGGGGCTACTTAGTTAACAAGTCTACAAATTCTTCTAAAAGAGACCGGGTGGGAAACTCTCAGGGAAAGGCGAAAAAATCACAAGCTTATTTTGTTTCATCAGATGGTTAACAATAACTCTCCAGCCTATCTTTCAAATTTAGTCCCTACAAACTTTGGCCAATCACATCCGTACGGGACACGTAACGCAGGAAACGTGCCTCACATACCTGCACGAACGAATTATTATCATAACAGTTTTCTTCCTTCTACTGTCCGTCTTTGGAACGAGATTCCGAATAACATAAGAAATTCTTCCTTATATATTTTTAAGAAGTATTTGAAAAAAACTTGGGTTGTCCTGAAATATTATTACAATGGTAGTAGACTATGACAAATTTTGCATACTAGAATTAGAACTGAGAGCAGTGGTCTGAATAGGAAAAATTTAGTTACTGATCCTTTTTGTAAATGTAGACATATTGAAACATCTGAACACTTTTTATTGCGTTGTCCGCAATACCAATTATTTTGAGAGTTTACATCATGCTGAGTAACTTGTCGTCTCATGTAAGCCTAATATACATAACTTACTGTATGGTAATCCTTTAATATCCGACATTGAGAATACTGATAACTTTCTTATTATTCAAGATTTTATTCTTAAAAAAAAGAGATTCGTGTGAATTTCATATACATGCATTGAGATATATAATTATGTATAAATTAAATTGTCGTTAATTTACATTTATACCTGTGTAGTTTGGTAGCACTGTAGTTCAGTAGTGGATTTGGTTAACAAATACTTCTTATTTCAGTTATAAAAAATGTTGACGCCATCCATCTATTATTATATCATATGGGAGAGGAATTTGTAAAAGTGAAAAGAGTTTATGAGGATAACGAAATCAGAGGTCTATACTTTAATTTGATTGAAATATGTTTAAACTAAACTAAACAACTATTATATATAGTATAGGTCATCGTACGGTCTTCAAAACTAACGGCTACAGTTATGATAACCGTTTCAAGCCTTTTCATGACTTGCAGAAGGAACAATTGATAGTTTCGTGTTGATCCGATTAGCCACTGGAATAAGTCACTAATATTCAAGATTGATAATATATGATTAGGTCGGGAAATTAAGATGATATCGATGTGTATCGATCATAAGGTCGCCGAATAAATCATACGTATCTACAACTAATGAGATTTCGAAATTTCTCAGATGCGATTAAAAAACCAAAATCGTAAATGCATCATATATTTGTTAAAATAATATATTTCTCTGTCCATGCATGAAATTAATAGCGTAACCATGCATTTATGCATGTGTATTAACCAAAAAAATCATGGCAGGTTACGTATTTTTTGTTATCAAAAATATGTCGGAAAAGGATGGGGCACATGATGTCCCAGCTGCTCACCCCTAGAACAACGGATTGAAGTAGCTCCCAGCTAGAGGTTTACCATATAAAATCGTTTGAAGAATGTTTTGAAGAATAACCTAGAAGATTGAGCTGTTTTGCACAGGAACATAACTACGGTTCCACTTCAAATCTTACCGGAAGACTATATAAAACAACAAATTACATCCAATTGCAACATTAATATCAGCATAATTTGCCTAAATGTAGTTCCTTCGTTAGGTATATCATTTTCGTCGTCAACATTTATATCCATTCAGCCTAGGATAACATTACTACTATTAGTAACTCTCCAATTTAATTTAGATGACAACTGAGATTTTGCGGACACTTGAACACATAGGCAAATCAAGAAATATTTGAATCTAAATCGTATTGGGAATTCTAGAGCTGTAAATATAAATTTTCTTTGGGTATTTGAAAACTATACGCTCGATAGTGTTTTGGCATGTTTGAAAATATATATTTTAACTGTTAATTTCAGTTCATAGCTTATTTGATCTGCCGGTGACGTTAGTTATCCTCTTTCCAAATACAATACAAGGCAGGTAGTATTTGTCTCTGAATCACTAACTGCGGTCAGAGACATATCTACATATATCTTTAGTTTAAACAATATTTTATTTTTCAAAAGTGCAAAAATTACAATTATACAATAGAAATACAGGGATTCGGAAACAAGAAGAACTTATATAAATCCGTCTCCCTTCATATGTCTGTGCTGTGGGTAACTTCATCAGAACTGAGATATTATAGCAAATTTTTTTTTATTTGAATACTTGAATGGTAGATATAGATACTGCCAGTGTCAACTTCTTTTAACATAATTACTATAAAGCCGACCAAACTGGCAAAGCCATGGCTTCTTGTTACTAATTTACTATATTCTATAACTTTTCGTGCACTACTGCACTTACTTAAGTAGTAGATGAATGGTTAACAAATATAGATAATGGAGAAATAAACGGAGTTATATTTTTAGATTGAAAGAAAGCTTTTGATCTGGTTAATCATATAAATTTATTGTAAAAACTTGAATATTATAATGTTTCAAACTTTTCACTAGACTGGTTTAAGTCATACTTGATTGAACGATTTCAACAAGTTAATGTCAATAACGTCATGTCTGATACTAAATACATAAAAACTGGTGTACCACAAGGCTCTACCCTTGGCCCTCTGTTATTTATTTTATACACCAATGATTTACCACTGAACATAGAAAATTCATTACTAGATTTATATGCAGATGATTCTACTTTACATAGTAAAGGTAATAATGTACATAAGTTAAATGCTAACCTTCAAAATGGTATTTATATAATTGAAAACTGGTGTTCGGAAAATTGTATGAAACTAAATGCCAAAAAATGTAAATCAATGATTATTGGTTCAAAACAGAGGTTTTATTCAACTGGGAACAGTTTAGATATCAATATTTCATATGAACAAATAGAGAATGTAGATTGTGAAAAACCTCTTGGTTTATATATCGACAAAAACCTAAATTGGAATGAGCAAATAGATAAAATGTCATGTACAATCAAATAGAATCAACTTATTACAAAAGATACGAAAGTATTTACCTATGCATATACGTATTATTTATTTTAATGCTTATATTCTGCCATTGTTTGATTATTGTTGCAATATATGGGGTAGTTGTTATGAAAGTGGAATAAATAAACTTAATAAGTTATTGAAGAAATTTGCTAGGGTTATAGGTAGAAGCTGACAAAATGACATCCTTCAGTAAATTGTTTAATAGTTTAAACTGGTTAAATGTGGAAAAACGAATTCAATATCAAAAGGCAATACTTGTATTTAAATCATTAAATGATATGGTTCCTAACTATTTCATTTTACTGATAATCAAAATTATAACTTACGTTCAGCTGATGAAAAACTATTAAATCTTCCGAGGCCAAAAACAAATTTTTTGAAGAAAACATTTATATATTTTGGTTCTCAAATATGGAACAGTTTACCAAATGAAATAAAGATGAGTAATACACTTGTATCTTTTAAAACAAAATGTTACAAATTTTTCATAAATTATGCAAATTAATATGCTTTTTCAATAATATCTATACATAAAATTGTATATTGTGTATATATCATTATAATATTGTATGTACTTTATAAATATGTTATTATTATTTTAAGGACTCCCAGGAAGATTAGTTTTAACTAATGGGATTATCTTCTTGAAATAAAGATTATTTATTTATTTATTCATTTATTTATTTAATGTAACATAAATGGACCCCATCAGTCAAAATAAGCCGAAAGGCTTTTTGTGAAGCAATCAACACTTTGTTTAAGATTTTATCATTGTAGTATGTTTTTTACATGTCTGATAGTGTTTTATAACATTGCATATAGGACATTTTATGAAGATATTTGATCAAATTTATAAAAATAGATTTATCTATCTAACTATCTAAGGGATGACCCAATTCAACTGTACCATGAATATCGGGAACCTTTAGTCCCCTCACTAAATAATTAAAAGTTTGGTGACTATGTTGAACGCATCTATCCCATCGAACTTGAGATAAAGGATACAACAGATACAGTCAAGTCTGCCTCATATCTTGACTTACATCTAGAAATTGACAATGAGGGTCGGTTGAAAACAAACGAGATGATTTCAGCTTCCCAATTGAACTTTTCATTTCTATGTAGCAGCATTCCGACAGCGCCTGAATATGGAATATATATCTCCCAGTTGATACTTTATTCCAGGGCTTGCATTTCCCATCATTATTTCCTTGATAGAGGGTTTGCTGCTCACAAGAAAGCTATTAAACCAAGAGTTCCAAGTGGTGAAGTTGACATGAATCATAAATTTTACGGACGCCATCACGAGTTGGTTGACCGTTATTGAATATCTGATTCATAGATGACGACGGATATGTTCCAATTGTAGTAACCACAATCCCGTCCTCTTTTTCCCGAATGTGACCTACCGAGTTAGACTTACCACCAGGTTTGTACTTACATGATAAACACGACGGGTTCCACATGTGAAGCAGAGTCTGCTTACCCTCCCGAAGCACTTGAGATCACCCCTGGTTTTTGGTGTTGCTCAGTCTTTAGTTTTCGATGTTGTGTTTGCATACTGTTTGTCTCTTGGTATTTTTCTTTGTTTGCAATGGCGTTGTCAGTTTATTTTCGACTGTTTAGATGTCCTTTTGGTGTCTCAGTTCGCCTCTCTTTTTCTCTTTTAGCTCAATAGTCTGCCTCAAACGATCATGACGGTATTATATAGGCCCTTTTTGTTTTTATCCTTAAATTACTTAAGCATTTTTTGTTGCCTAATTTATGGTTTCGAGTGTTTACGTTACACAAGTCATATCATAAACAGAGAAATCGGTGTTGCATTTGTTTTAGGAGTCCGTTGTGTTTTATATTTTCGTATATATTTCAGTGGTTTTTAAAAACATTTACTGCGATCCTGCAAGTTGCTAAGAAATTGTTTCAAAATGGCGCACTAAAATCGAATATAGATATGTAATAATTTCTATCGAGGGTAATTTTACAAATCTTGATAGATTTTTGAGGTTATTGTAGTTATGTTTTGGGATCACCTGAACTTGGCTATCACAATACTGGTATACCAGTAAAGTGAACAATATTGGTATAAAATTTTATTCAAGTATGAAGACTGAAGTATTGTCTTCCAGTTTTGTACCAGTATTGTTTTTTATTTTTTTAAGATTTTATATTGTGTAATCATGGAAGTGTTATATTAGATATAAGATCCGCATGTGGGGACGAGTAGCCAAATTGGCCTTAGTAGGCTACATGTTTTATGATAAAATGTCATTTAGGATCAGGTCAATAACATATGTGAAATATACACTGAAATTATTGGTAATTTGTGGATTTTGTGAATTCAGTGAAGAGAATGGCGACTAATATTTTTAAATTTGTATTTATTAGTTAAAAATACATAACAAACATTGCAAATTAGATGCATACTAGTCTAAAGGAATAAAATTGTAAAAGAAAAAGGGCCAAAGAAAACATGATAAAAATTAGAAATTAAATGTAAATGCACATTAAAAGAATAAAATTATATTGAATTTGAAAAAAGCTATGTGAAAACTCGTGTGAAAATAATTTTCTAGTAAAATGCAAAACAGAAACCAAAATTTTAAGCTTGATTGTATATTTAAATTAAAGAAGCCAGTAATAGATGCAGATGATAATTTTACATGTTAAACCAATTTTAAAAGATTCATATAACCGTGGACCTAATTAAGATTTTGAACAATTTTTACATATCCAATATGATTGTTTTGGCACATATTTCAACCCTTCACATTTTAAATGTTGCCAATCTAAACAGCAATCACACGCCAAGATTCCTGATTGTGTGTTTTTTTTTTTACATTTGATTTAAATGCCATCCCCACATATATATATCACACTCTTCCATTTTAAGACTATTTATTAACTGAGAAAAACTGTTCACTTACCTGCTTATTATATAAATATTTGTAAAACTTGTGAGTAGTAATCAATTTATTCACTAATTGCGATAATTTCCGTGTATATTTCACATTTCATTCCTGATCCGATGACACTTTATTATAAAACCGAAAGCCGGTACCTGTAGCCTACGAATGCCAATTTGGCTACTCGTCCCCGCATGTTTTTTTTTTAAGATTTTGTATCGTGTAATCATGGAAGTGTTATATTAGACAGTCAAGGGTCTAACTTAAATAAGTTATTAGAGAAAAATAACATACATTTGTTATTGAGGGCTATAAATAAAAAATCTGTGATAACATATGTATGTTACATGTTTCAAAGGGCCATTATACATCCTTTATTTTGTTAAATTGTGTACTAGTTCTATTGATATTATAATTGTCTTTATGTATATCAAACTTTAGAAAGATATAACAACCCATAGTTTGCCAATCATGCATAACACACCCATGTTATTACAAAAAAATATGCCTGTAATAACTAAAGGGTGTTATTACAGCTTCTCTACATCTCTTCAAAGCCTTTTCTCCTACATATATCACAATGTATTTTAATTTATTGTAATAAATATTGATAAGAGCATATAATGAGGTTCTGCGCAAGCTTCCTAGTCATTCCCAAGTATCTCATGTAATAAGTTAAATGCCTGTAATAATTAAGCCTTGTTATTACAGCTAAGTTATCATTTAAAAGCCTTGTCTCATTGATTTTCCATGGTTGATCAAAAATGTATTAATTGAATTGGAAAATTAGTTTTCAAGGTAATGTATCAAGTTACTACGCAAGTTTCAAGAATTCCCAAGTGCCCACTGAAAATAAAATTTTTTAAGGTACATTTAACTGATAACAAACATATGTTACTACAGATTAAGAGAAAGTATCCTTAATAACACATATGTATGTTATTTTTCTCTAATAACTTATCCAAGTTACACCCTTGACTGTTAGATATAAGATGGCATGACATTTCTGTGTGTAAAGTAAAAGAAGGCTTAATTAGGGTTACTTTCTTCTTTGCATTGGTTAGGGGAATTTGAATCAGTGTTATGTTTAACAGGTTGGGGATAATATCCCAAATGGGGCAATATGGGTAATTGATTTTACATAGCATGCATAGGTGGAAATGGTAATGTTTTCCTCTATAGCACAGTCCATATCGTAAACTTGGATATGCATGATGGCTCATTTTGAAGCTAAGACATTTTCACATATGTGGTTAAATTTTCGGGGTACGAAATGTGATTCATTTTTTCCGTAAATTAGAATATCCCGAAAATCCTTTCGTGATGCGGCTCCTGGTGGTAAAAAATCCCTTTTTTCACACAATAAGTCCTTTGAAAATTTGATATTTTGCATACATTTAATAACTGCATAGTTTTTACACATTTATGCTATGGTCCTCTAGCTACTTTTCAAATCAACACAAATGGTTAAGCTCAGTCAATTGTTAAAAATAGAAACATGTCCAATATCACTACACAGAGATTTTTTGTTTAAGCACAACTTTTGTGTCCCTCAATTTGAGGTGCATTAGGAATATTGACCCAAATGGATCAAAATGTCCCATTTGGTTTATTATAGCCCAAATGGGATGGTAATTTTCAGTGCAAAAATCTTAATTTTTTAACTTAGCAAAAATATTGAAAAGTGTATTTGTTTAGGTCAATAGTAGCAACTTTTAATTAGCAACTTTTCCAGAAAATGAATAAGTTGTTTGATTGATCCCTCTGAAAATCAGCATCTTCAAAGGGATCAAACTCATAAACAATCTGGTACTCAGAAAAGTTGTTATCTTTATGTAATCTTTTGTACTTAGCAATATTTTCCCTTAAATCCCCCCAATTTTTTTTGGAACAGTAAAATTATATCCCATTTGTTGTATTGTATCCGATAATCCATTTGGGAGATAATCCTAACCTGTTTAATAGAAAGTAAAAATATTTCAGTGTTAAGGTTTATTATATCAAATGAACAAGGATGATTGTTTACAGCTCAAAAATATTCCCTTTAATCCCCCCATTTTTTTTTTCCACATTAAAATTCAGTAAAATTATATCCTCAAAAACTACTCTGAGTACAGACAAACCTGAGAGGGGAAGTGGAAGCTAGACCTTAAAACTTTTCCGACTGCACAGGTTTGTCTGTCCTCGGAGTTAATCACAATCATTTTAAGAAGTTCAATTACCCTTAAATTATTTCTTTGGGCGTTTTTGACTATTGTCTTCAAAATATTTACAAAAAAATGTATATTTGCAAAAAATCTAGAAAAAGTCCTGTTTTCACCCAGTCTGGTTCCAGAAGAGGACTGGAGCTAAATCATTGGGATATTTAGCTTTTGTTTTATAAATCATGGTTATACAATCCTAATTATATAAGTTGATAAATATGAATGAAAAATAATAAATTTTAAATAAGATAGAGAAAACAAGAAATAATCTGGTAAATTTATTAAAAATAAATTGAGTTTATCCCTTAACTGTGGGCCTAACATTCTAATAATGTACTTTTATGACTTTCTATAAAGCAGGTCTTTTTTTTTTACTATCAAAAAGTTAAACCCACTCAATATTTTTACATATTTTTTGATACATTGAATGATGGTTTTCGAAAAATATATGAATATGAAAAACTGTTTATTTTAAACATAACATTATTTCAGATGGTCAATAAGTTTAATGTTATATACATGTATCTCTGTGAGACCTTCACAAGGTGATAAAGGATTTAATAAGAACCCTCAGTAGAAAAAGTATTGGTAGACATAATTCAGATGAACTGAACCCTAAATAACCCTAGACCTAGCATTACTGACATGATGCTGTATCTTGAATATCACAGATGGATGGATGCTTCACGTCCAGTGGCAAATTAATATGCATATTCATGACGAGAACATGTTAATGTAATATGAATATTAACCCTGCTTTGCACTAAACCGACATGCTGAGCCAGATTTTTAATGTGCTAGTTCAGAAGGTAACAGTCCGCAGGAAGATATGTCACCTTACCCGGACACATTATTCTGACTTGAGCCGACCAGTCTTTTACTCTTACTTCTTAATGCCACGTGCCTAGAATAGCAAATACCAATTTTAAAGTCTTTGGTTTGAACCTACCAGGGTTCGAACCCACAACCTCCCCACATGAGGCAAACACGCTACCATGAGACCACAGAAGCGGTTTACACAGACATATACATGTAATGCATACTACTTAAGTTAATACATACAAATCATGCATTGGATTCTTAATCTATACAATAAATCCATGAATTTTTAAAAGATGGAATTTGATATTATCCATATTTTCAGTTTGATCTCCACAGTATACAATGATGTGGGACTTACAGCGGACCAAAGAGTTTTTGGTGGATGAAACGACTTGTGGTCCACTTTGTCAGCATCCCTCCTGTTGGAGTTCTAGTAATAGAAAAATCAAAGGAATACCTCACTATGCACCAAGAATACCATCTCCAGATAGTATTGAAACTGGTAAAATATTATCCCCATATGTATATATTTAGTACCATGTTTGTAAGCCACATGCAACAATAAATGTTTTATCCTTGATGCTTCTGAAACAAATAAGATGCCTATGTGTACTTGTTGATGATATCTACTTTCTTGTTAGCATGTCATATTTTTAATGGAATTGTGATGTAATACAGGTACATTGTTATCTGTTTCTAACTATATATATATGTGTAATTAATCAAATTTTCATTTTCATTAATTATGTTAAAAAACACCACAAAGTGAAACTATTTCATGTTAATTTGATGACATTAGCATGATTAATATTACAAATAATTTATTATGAATTATTTAAAACTAGAAAAATAGCCTGAAAAGTTTTTTTAATATTCATCATATACATTAAGCAGATATGACTTAATATTTCAGACCTTCCAACAGTTAAGGTTTATAATATGTTAGGAGAGTATGGGGATGATGAGAAAGATTTATATCCAGCAAAGCATTATGGGAAGGCTGCACATACCAGAAAATCTTCATTACCTTTGGTCAAAGAAGGAATAACTAAGAGTGCAAGGCAAGAAGACATATATTATGTTATGAACCATTTTTGTCCCACCTGTGATGAAAATTGGTGGCATCAACAGTTGTGAATGTTTGTGATTGAGGTGCACAGGGGAATCAAATCTCTGTCTTCATAGTTTATTTGTGATGAAAAAGAAGGGATATAGCTTAATTATAGTGTATTGGATCATGACATGAAATCTTTACAAATACTTAACAAATCCAAAAGCAAAGGAACTGAGGTTTGATTACCGTGTTTCACAATACTCATGAAGTCTCTTAAATGTATATAATGGCTCTCATGTATGATGCAATATTTATTATGTATGGTGTGTAGTTTATCATATAACCCAATTTGATTCCGAAATATTTGCAGAAGCCATGGCCATTTAACATTTCATATGCCAATTTACATATAAATGCTTTGTGAATACCAGATCTCTGAGGTCTTTTCAAATGTGATTGTATGTTTGATTATTATATCCCACCATTTTGTTTTGATATCTTTTGTAGAAGCTTATTTGTTACATTTGACTATTGACTACATAAATCATGTAATTGATACATGTACCATATTCTGTTTGACTTTTCAAAATCTTCAAAAATAAATTCTTGAAAATAAGAATTTCAAAGTTGATTGATCATTTTTGTTGAGCCTGCGAAAAAATTTCGCGAAAGCGAGACATAGCGATCCTAGATTCTGTTGGCGGCGTCAACATTTAGGTTCAGTCTGTGGTTAAAGTTTTTTTAGGCATCAGTAACTTTGTCAAACCTTCATAAAATTTTATGAAATTTGGACAAAAGCTTGTTTATGACCAAAATACAGTATTAAGAGCAAAATTTTGAAATTATTTAATTTTATTTTTCCATATTTTACTGATAAATGGACTTAGTTTTTTTTTACGGGTAACATTCAGATTCAGTCTGAGGTTAAAGTTTTTCAGTCATCAATAACTTTGACAAACCTTTGTGGAATTTTATGAAATTTTGACAGAAGCTTGTTTATGACCAAAATATAGTATCCAGAGCAAAATTTTGAAAATATTTATTTCAATTTTTCCGTATTTTACTGATAAATGGACTTAAGTTTTTTTTACAGTTAACTAGTAGATACAGTCGGGGTTAAAGTTTGTTACACATCAAATACTTTGTCAAACCTTCATAGAATTTTATGAAACTTTAGCAGAAGCTTTTTTTATGATTAAGAGATAATGTCTGATGCAATGTTTTGAAAATATATTTTCATTTTCAGTATTTTTCTGATATATGGACTAATTAGTTTTTAACAGTTAACATTTACAGACAGTCTGGGATTAAGTTATTTTGACATGATAAGTTTGTAAACCTTCATGGATTGTTTTGAAACTTGGACAGAAGATAATCTCCACGACCAAGAAATAGCATCTAAAGAAAAAGTTTTTTTAAATTTTGTATTTTACTGATAAATGGAATCACTTTTTAAGTCAACATTACATTTTTACACTGACAGCAGCAATCGTAGGCGAGACACAGGGTTCCGAGGAACCCCTTACAAATTTTTGGTGTTATATATTATATTTTGGGCTCAAAACCATCAGTTTCTTAATGTTTTACTTTAGTAATGAAAAGGTTTCTAATTTAGTCCAATGGTAAATATTTACCTTCAAGAAGACAGTTTTCTGTATATGTATATGTATTTGTGATGAATTCAAGGATTGATCATGATTCAGTTCATTTACAGTGACTTTTAGATGACAAAATAATTTGATTTAGGTCATTGGACTACTTTTTTGTTATTTGAATATATAGTCAGCATTGTTATTTGTGACTATTTGGATTCAAGCAAATTATTCAGATATGTTAAAAATGAGACCAACTTCTTAGCTAAACAGGTAGAGCAAATTTACCTTTATGAATAAATGAAAACTTGTATGATTGTACATACATGTATGTGACCCTGGCAAATGGCTGTCAAGTTCTGCAGTTTATCATATATTAAGCCATTTCGAGTCTATTTTTTGTAGGAGATATTGGCAAAATGCATTTCCTGTTCAATCTTTTGTTTGATATTATAATTTGTTTAATATGCTTTCTTTTTACACTTGCACACTATGAATACAAATGATGTATTGGTAGCTCTCCTATAGCAGTTTAGTAAAAAATCTTGAAAGCTGTAGTTGGAATTGAAGAAACAAATTGCAATTAAGTCACAATTGAGAATGAACTACTATAAGATGATAAATACTAACAGTCATGTAAATCCTTTTTTGTAAGAGATTTTAATTTGGTTATGTTAACCTCCACTCACAAACATTGCATAGAGTTCTCTGTACATTATTTAGTTTAATGAATGGAATTATCAAGTTTAGACATAAACTTCTATGAAATCATAGTCAATCCTTTAATACGGATGTGAAACTAATTATTATCTAGGAAATTTTAGTCTATTTGTTCGAGACTAATTTTATTGAATATTGATATAAAGCCTGAATATTTAAATCTGATGTTATTTAAGTTTTGTAAAGATATATAATTAAATCATTGTCTTTTATAAATTTTACAGTAGTGGATTTAAACCAAAGGCCCCAGCAGGCACTCCCATATCTATCGACACAAGAAATAGGACAGATATTGCAGCGAAAAAACCAGTGAAGGTTGTAGAAGTTCAGGAAGTATTTGATGTGGATGATTTAAACAGTACATGGGATAATGCATTTGTACCAAAGCAGTGTCTAGTTTGGGTTCCTAATCCTAATTATAAAAGAAAAGTTACACAAGACCAAATGTGAGTTTCTTAAATTACCATGCTTATTATACATTTAATCTGTCACTAGTGTAACTTATTTTTTTCTTTTAAAAAGAGTCCTTTTATCTCCCCATTCTGCAATAAGGAGATGGTATTTAATACTCAGCATTTTCACATAATAGAATTTCAACATATCACCAATTTTCATGGTCTATTGAACAGATTTGAACATTTTTTCATGCACTTATTTATAAGTTTCATGAAGAATGTATGGGTCTGCTCTTTCATAGTCATAATCTATGACTTTTCAATTGTTATATTGTACAGATTTTTCATAAAATGTTTATTAGATTCTGATTCTGAGTATCATTTTGTGACCTATGATGATTTCTGGGAAGTAGATATGATGATAATTCTGAAGATTTTTGTTAATTACTTTGCATGAAACAACATAAAAATTACTGAACTTTCCAATTGCAGTAACAATTTAAAAGAAGTTTATATTTATTTATCATATCTCTAAATTTTTATATAATAGGTAAAACCTAGTAAATTGAAATTTATAAAAGTAAACACAATTTTGTAACTGTTTAAAAATCCTTCTATTTACAACATATAAATGAGTTAATATTCTTGTTTTTTAAGGGCATCAATCAACCAGCTATCCAAAGGATCTAAACCTAAGATTTTACTGAAGGACATAACAGGTGATATGCTGCCAACAGACCTGGATTATGATCAAATGTCTTTTTCAAGGGTAAGGTTATTTATGTATATTAGTAAAAAAAAAAATTGCATAAATGGCCTATATAGTCCAATTTATGCAAAAGTCAGATAAACTGACCTTAAACATAAATTGCGAGTGGCAGAGAGTTTATTATTGAATTCATTATATTGCTTGATATGTAATTGAATGTAAGATTTGATTTTCATTATCTCTTACAGAAATGAGCTTTAAAGTGTGTGTCAACACAGCTAATGAATATTAGGCAAAGGATTTTGCAGATTCAAAATTGAATCATTCATTCATATATACATTGATGTAAAAATGAATTATATATACATAGGAATGTAAATAAAATACAGTAATATCACAAGTTTTTTTAAACTGATTATAATTAAATTTAGTCTATAAAAAATAAAAGCCATTGATACATGTATTTTGGTAAAACAATCAATTTTATGATAAAAAGTAATGCAAGAAAAGTAACTTGATATCATGGAACAGCTTTCAAAATAATGGGAGATAACTCAGGAAATATCATCCTTGTTTAATTCATAAACAAACAGTTAATACTGTTTTGATTCTGCAACGCCAAAATACATGTTTAGCATATTTGAGTCAATGGTTGTAAGATTTTTTTAATTTAACTGATTCGTATGCTTAAATTCCATTAAATCTGAATTGATTACAAATATTCATCAGTGTAAGATTAGGTAATTAAGTTCAGACAATGCTGCATTCAAATAATGTGATAAGAATTTAAGATTCAGATTTTAACATAAATGTGATACTAATCATCTTTCAATTTATACAATAAAAGAAACATCACAAAACTTTCCTCATTTAACAGTTATATTCTAGAAGTTTTAATTACAGCCAGAGAATCAAATAAAATTATTTTTGTCTCGCCTTGGCAGAGTCAAAAAACGAGACAAAGGGATGCTGTTTCCCGCGGCTTGGGCGTCAACAATGTATTTAGTTTGTGATTAGGTCTAGTTTATAGTGAACCACTAGTGGTAGGTCAGTGGTATTTGGTATGTAGTTGTATCAGCATTGGCATGGAGATTATTTGGCCCCGCCCCCTCAGTCATGGTCTATTGACTTTGAAACTTTGCTTAGTTTACATGTATTAGTTTGTGAATAGGTCAGTTTTAGGGGAACCGTTAGTGGTAGGTCAATGATAATTGGTATGCAGTTGTATAAGCATTGGCATATCTCATTTCCATGGAGAATATTTGGTCCTTACCCCTCAGTCATGGTCTATTGACTTAGAAACTTTTGCTTAGTTTACATGTATTAGTTTGTGATTAGGTCAGTTTAAGATGAACCACTTATGTTAAGTCAATGATATTTGGTATGCAAATGTATTGGCATTTGCAAGTTTCATCTATGGAGATTATATAGCTCTGCCCCTCATCATGGTTCATTGACTTCGAAACTTTTTCATAGTTTACAATTTAATGTTTGTGTTTAGGTTTTTTTAAAGGGAACAACTTATGAAAAGTCAATGGTATTTGGTATGCAGTTGTATAAGCATTGGCACATCTCATTCCCATGGAGATCATTTAGCCCTGTACCTTCAGTCATGGTTCATTGACTTTGAATATTTGCATAACTTACATGTTGCTATTTTAATTTCAACATTTGCATTATCAAAATAACAAATAGGTGAGACATACCTCTGTGTTAACAGTTTATGTAAGAATAAATATGAAATGAACATATTTATCTGGAAGTATTGGCAGTATTCTGAACTTACATAGCATGTATTTTATTGAATAAAATACTAAGAGACAGTTATTTATAACTGACGGTAACTGATTTTTAACCAGTTCACATTTGATTGATAATGACAATATTAATTATAATACAAAATAATTCTTGACTGGATAAACATTTGGGAATAAATATATCAAAAAAGTATTCAGGAGAGAATCCAATTTTAGTTTTTCAGGAATACTTTTCATAACAACTAGCTAGCCTACATGATAAAAACAATAACAATACAATTTTATTTTATTTTATTTTAACAGCTACAAAATTGGCCAATTTGGCCTGTTTTAAAGGTAGAACTTCTATGGCATGTTAATGGTAGACACTTCCCTTCGTTTTCTGTAGTTAACTCAGATTTCAGGTATTAATTTCAGAAATTTAAAAAAAAATTTGTAACCAGTGGCTAATCAATGAAGGTTGGAAGACTGGAAAATAGAAAACTGAAATCTGGGTCAAACTTGAACTTTGATAGCTTTTCCCTACATGTAGTTCTGTGACTCTTTTTCTTATTTGTAATAATTTTTATGTCTGGGTTTTATAGAAAGAGAGCCATTACAGTTTTATCAGTGATGTAAGACATGCACCATATGTATACTATATGTTCATATAAGATATTTTTAAGCACACTGTCTGTCATTTCATTGCATCCATATAATCATTCATCCCTTTATATGATATCCAGTCAAAGTTGCTTTAACGACTACCTGTATTGAGCAACTAACTGCTTTATGTGACCTCTTTTCAATCCCCTCAATGTATTTTCCTATATCTTTTATTGGTATAAGGCGACCACTGGCTTCAGTCGATCAGTGACCACATAAATTTGTATGAAAGGATAACCAGCACTCTGTCTTAAACAACCATGTTTCACTTGGAAGGATTAACTATTATAGAAAAAGTATAATCACACCCCCAATTTTAGGATCACTGTTAACAGTCTTCAACCTGGAAGTTGGCTGAATTTTTGGATAAAGTGTACATTTATGCTTATTTTGAATTGTTTTCTTTAAGATACAAGAAGATAAAAAATTCCCCAAAAGGTTATTACTGGTTATGAAGGTTGTAATTTGCCTTTAACTTTATATGTAGATTTTGACCTTATTAATTATTCATACAATGTATTCTACAAATTTCAACAATTGGAACGTCTATACCCAAGCAGAAGATTATTGACAACTAATTATTTTTTTAGATAAACTAGTGTTTTGGGTGATTAGTTATTTAGACATTGCTTTGAAACAGAATTGTACATGTTGACAGTAAAATGACAAATAAGGGTGAATTAATGAAGAAGGGAAAAAAATGACAAAAACAACGACCATGAAATTAGTGGTTAAACAATATAGCATAAATAAAAACTAAAAATTTTTCTGGACAATGTGCAAAGGAAAAAGTGGTTATTAAAACTTGAATGATATGTTAAGGTTATGCACTTTGGGGTATATTATCTTGGATGAGACTAGACTTGATATAACCAGACACTTTTCTTATGATGTACAAATCAATCAAAAATATAAAAGAAGATACATATAAAAACAGGCAAGGAAAAAACATTTTATTTCATAATGCATCATAGAGGAGATACACATGAGACCAAAACAGTATTCACTTACACTAGTCATTCAAAATTACAAATTTAAAAAGCAATTATATGTAAATCAAAAGAAATTTTTCACATTTGAACATGGCTGGAGACTTGAACCATATATATACATTGTAGGTCTATTTCATACAAATGAAATCAAGCATATGACTGTTCTCATAATGTAAAAAGATTTTCAAAGCAAATATTGCAGTCTTCATATAAAATTTATTACATCTTCAAAAACAATTCCCGTGATTTTGCAATATTTTTCTGGGTTATTAATTTGTTCAGGAACTTATGATGCAGGTTAACTACATTTTCTGCAACTTTACAAATGGTGAAACAATAAGCTATAGCAAAACGTAAAGAAGAGTATAAAATTTGTGAAGTGTTGGTGAAAAAAATAAGTACCACAAGTGTAGGTTACAAATTCATAAATCATTTTCTCGTAACTCTTGGTTTTTGCTATATGTATCTACATGGTTATTTCTTCTTCAATTGATATATCTTTCTGTATAGCCTTTTTATGGTGAATGATGATGACACTGGATGAAGTACACACATTTAAACATTATATTTTTCTATCAGGACATAAAACAGTACTATACATTCTATAGTATAAAATGTTGCTTTCCTGCTTTGCTTTGTATTAGAAGATTTCCTCTTTAATAAAATGTTTTTCCCTCAAAGCAAGGTTCCTTATACTTATATAGGTTATATTTTTTGTGAATTATACATGTGTATTTATGTGTTTTATCAAAGAAAACATGATAATTTGTACTTTACTATTGAAATTAAATACAAATATTTTCTACACGTATTTACAAAATATGAACATGAACATTGGTTTAAAGAAGTAAATAATATGAAATAAGATACAAGTATGATTTAGTATTTGGTAAAGTCTTACAAAATTTGATTTACTAATTTCGATATGACTTAATTATTAAATGATGTAAAAAATGTAATGAAAATTTAGTATCAGATAACAAGAAATGTTTTTTTTTTTAATATATTGGAATATGATTCTATTGCAGAAATTGTTAAGTATAGAGTAATATTTTTATCATAAAAATTGTCATACATTAAATGGTCAGAGATAATATTTACAGAGAAGAAGAGGACGATCTCCACCTCCCTCCAGTAGACGGATTACTCCCTACAGCAGAGGGACCCTAAACTTCACTTCACAAGGTGGTAGAAGACCACAGTTTATATTTGACATGGAAGGGTATGTTTGTATGTCCAGAAGAGCAGCATAATGCTGTAAATTACAAATAGATATTTATACCAGGATAATTATAAGTACATGTATATACATTATCATACATGAGGACATAAAGTCATTCTTTTTTTTTCTTTTAATGGGGAATAATTTTTCTTTCACTTTAGCAATATTTATTATGTTTCTAATTTGTACAAGATGTATTTGAACCACAGACTTACAAGCATCAAAATGTTGGTGCTTTGCAAGTACAACCTAATAAATAAGAATAAAAAAACCCAACTTATTTGGTTGATTTATCAATGCAGGGTATTATCCATGTAGATTAGTCTAGATACATTATGTTGCTTGTTATTCCAAATACCTTAAATCATTAAAAAAATTCATAAGGGTTCCGCAGAACCCAGTGTCTCGCCTACTTTTTCTGTTAATTGCAGGCCCAACAAAAAAGAGATGAGGAAAAAATTTAATAAAAATATTCCTCTCCATACAATTTTTTTATTGTAAGAAGCTTCTGTCCAAGTTTGGTAAAAATCCAGGATAGTTTATGAATCTAATAAATGTTTTAAAAAATTTAACTGCAGACTGTATCAAATGTTAACTGGAAGAAAAACTTAGTCCATTTATAAGTAAAATATGGATAAACAAGTACAAAATTTTAATAAAAATGCCTTCTAGATACTAGCTTTTGATCATAAACAAACTTCTGTCCAAGTTTGGTAGAAATCCAGGATAGTTTAAGAAAGTTATTAAATTTTAAAAACTTTAACCTTTATATTTATAAGTAAAATACGGAAAAACAGGAATTTTTTTTTTACAAAATTTACTTCTGGATACTATCTTATGATCATAAACAAGTTTCTGTCCAATTTGGTAGAAATCCAGGATAGTTTAAGAAAGTTATTAAAATTTTAAAAACTTTAACCACAGAGTGAATGTAATGTTTCCTGGCAGAAAAACTAAGTCCATTTATAAGTAAAATACGGAAAAACAGGAATTTTTTTTTTAAATTTACTTCTGGATACTATCTTACATGTAGGATCATAAACAAGCTTCTGTCCAAGTTTGGTAGAAATCCAGGATAGTTTGAGAAAGTTATTAAAATTTTAAAAACTTTAACCACAGAGTGAATGTAATGTTTCCTGGCAGAAAAACTAAGTCCATTTATAAGTAAAATACTGAAAAACAGGAATTTTTTGTTTACAAAATTTACTTCTGGATACTATCTTATGATCATAAACAAGCTTCTGTCCAAGTTTGGTAGAAATCCAGGATAGTTTAAGAAAGTTATTAAAATTTCAAAAACTTTAACTACAGAGTGAATATTTGTGGACTCCGCCGCCGCTATGTCTCGCTTTTTCGACAAAAGTCGAAGGCTCGACAAAAATGAGTACACTCATTAATTATGTTTAGTTGAAAGTCTCAGCTATGCAATATTATATTTGATTTGATGTCTTAATAAGATTTATTTATTGATTATTGCTAAACTCCATGTACATGTATACAATTAATGACAAGAGTTGTGGCGTTGAATGTTTCAGTTAATTGACATTTGGTTTTATAAAAATTATTATGAGGCTCACTTATATAAAAAAAACTTAGACTTCAATTTGAAAAGTTCTATAAGGAGGCTATTTTGGCAGTTATAATAGATTTTGTATTAAAGCAATGTTTGAAGGTTTTAAACAAATATTTAAGACAAAATTCAAAAATATAAATTCAGATATCTGACAAATAATGTCTTGTGAACATCTAAAGGTTGTTATTAATAAGATGTATAATACTTTCTGATTTTCTAATTCTAAGGGCAAAAGACTGGACATATAACACTTCCTCTTTTGATCATTGTAAAAAGTCAGTATATAAGAAAGACATAATTTTGCATAGCATAAAGTCACAACCATTGTATGAATATTATTGATTTATTGGTTATATTTCAGCAATCCTGTATATGCAGAGTGAGTGTACTGGGTATTGCACAAATTTAATATGCACAGTTATAGTTGTTGCTCTTTTTCGTATACCTTAAATTTTTTGTCCCTTGAAAAGCATTTTGATACAATCACACTGTCACTTACAATACATTGAATAATTGATTAAAATACTTTTCTCTTTTGTCATTAACACGATTTAACATTTCCATCTGTCCTGATATCCTTTCCTTTATAAAACACATGTTTCCCTGAATTCCTGACAAATCTAGTTTAAATTACTAACAAATATACACCTATACCTATTAATTATTTCATTAAAATTTTGTGACATATATGATAGACTTATGTTTGCTATGTTGCTTAGAGCATGAATTTTCCATGATGTCATCGTTTGAAATATTGTGTATAGTTGTTGCAAGAGCTTCTTTTGCCTTATTTGTAAATGATGAGCTAAGAAAAATATTATTAGAGATATAGTGTGAAATTGTGGATGTTACATTTTGAGCTAGATGAATATGGAGTGGAACTTGCTGGTTCACATACCTAATGAACCACTAGAAATAATTAGTATTTAAACATGAAGAATTGTATATAATGTGATATAAGGTGATACAAAATAACTCAAGTAATTGGTATTTGAGCTACTAACTATAAATGTTCATGTTTCTAGTTGTACTCTGATTACGTAGCGTACAGTTGGTATAAATGACTCATGCTAGAATTTAGAGTAAACAATTGTTTGCTACCAAATGATACTGGTCATGAAAAGTAAAGATACAAAAGGAATTTGATTTTTTTTTCTGGCCTAAAGAAAGAATTACAGTTTTTTTTTAACCTTGGATTTCAATAATTTCAATGAATGTGGATGATGAGGTTGGGAAGTTTGAGGTGGAAATTAAATTTGTTTTATTTGTTTACATTTGAACTTGTAATTGCAGATTAGATGAGTTATTGGAACTTCCAAGAGAGATACTAATACAGGTACTGGACAATGCTAAACCTAGGTGTGTATATTCTTCTTTACAAATGTAAATGTATACACACATATAAGTATTCCAACAACAACAAAATCAAACAAACAAAATATCATGATCCAAAAAGTTAAAGATATGCAAAATTTTCAAAAGTTAACAACCCGTTACTTTTTCCAAGAATAAACAAACATTTGGGAGGAAAGTTCAATTAAAAAACAATTTGACATTAAAAACTGATCAAAATATGTCATAAAACCTTAAATTAATGACAAATTCCCAAAACCAAACTGCACACTCCTTATCACTCCAGATATTTTAAGGTCATCAGGTAGGTCATGTAGATTGACTTTCAATGGTAATGCAATTAGGTCAATATCCCTAATACTCTGAGCTCCTCAAATTGAAGAACTCAAAAGTAGTGTGTAAATCTCCATGCAGTGATATTGGACATGTTTGATTTTTAACAAATGACTGAGCTTAATTGTTTGTGCTGATTTGGAGTGCAGAGCACCATAGAATAAAGGTCTTAAAACTATGGAGTTATTAAATGTATGCAAAGATAAAATTTTCAAAGAACTTATTGTGTGAAAAAAAAGGGATTTTTTACCTCGAGAAGTTGCATCAGAAAAAATGTGCTAAATTATGGAAAAATGAATCTCACTTTGTACCCAGAAAACTTAACAACATTTGTGAAAATGTATCAGCTTCGAAACGAGCCATCGATATCCATATTATCATATGGGCAGAGGAATTGAGGTAAAGGCTACCATTACCACCTACCTTAAAAGAATTGCACATCTTAACCCAATTGGAGTAATTTATTTCCACTGCTGCAATTTATATTTATAAATGCACTATATACATCTTTTGCAATAAATGTAACAGCATTGCATCACAAATGTTACGCCGCCGTAAGAAAGATGAAATTGAACCAGTCTTATGTTGCATGCTTACCACAACACTAATAAAAATTCCCAGGTAGGAAAATGTGACATGTATGCACATTTTGGTGACAGAAAATGAAAAAATTTTTAAAATTTAAGTTCAAAATGACATATTGAAGGGATCAGTTTCTGAGCACTTAAATATAATAACAAGAAGTCCTTAGCAACAATTTTTCTACTCCTTCAGGCAGTTCTTTTAAAACTTTAATAGCTCCATTCCAACATCCCCAGAGAAAAGTTCAAAATTATGACAGTTATTAACTAAATAGCTGTCAGGTGGTTATCCAAAATTTTGAACTTTCCATGAAACAATGATAAAATGTCAAGCAGTATAAGTTACAAATGTTTTTTTTTTAATTTACAGTGATTTCACATCTAGGGAGGCAATGCATGAGCTGATAGAAAAGTTTTATCCAAGTTTTGATAGAGGAATTTCTAACCTAACCTCAACTAGTGTTGAACTTTTGCAACAAAAGAAGATGAATATTCATGAGGGAAAATCCAGAAATTTAAGAACTGGACATCTGATAGAAACCAAACCAGTATTTCACTTAGATGAGGATGGTGTTGAACAGCCAAAACATATTGTGGATGCAATTAGTGAGAGGAGTCATCAACCATTAGATAGTGAATATGTAGAATCAATCAGGGATTTGTATATAAACAGAAAAAGAGAATATAATCAGAAGAAACCATTACCTCCAATTGGTAAGGATATAGTTTTTTACTGTTCATTTTTTAATTGTAAGAGATATAGGTCCAGCTTTTTTTTTATTGTTACTTATACTTTAAGATAGTAATATTTATGGTGTACTGCAGCTGATACCACATATTTTTTAATCAACTGAAAAAGTGCAAACAGCAGATTACCTGAAGAATGTTTGAATAACAGCATACACATCACAGATTATTAGAATTGTGTAAAGACATACTATTGAACAAAGCAAACAAAATGTAAAAAGCAAATATTTTACTGAGTAATATTTTCAACTTATTTATTATAAGAGAAAGCTTAAAGAACATTATGTAAATCACAGTATAAAAGCAAAATAAGCTTATCTTTATAGCAAGTGTTGCTCTTTCTGAATAGCAATATTTCATAAAACATTTATAGGTCAGCAATTGGTCAAAAAGAGGAAACCTAAAAAAGGTAACAAGTGTTCAATTGGAGATGGAAAAGAGAAATTGATGTTCATTATTTGTAGGCTACAATAACTTAATTGTTTAATTTCACCTACCTGCCCATGAAAAGTTGTTACGAGCGAAATTATTTTATTTATGCTATTTAAAGATACAATTTAACTGGGAAAACATCAAAGTTGTTACTACACACGTACAGTATTCTTTATACAGATAATGACAAATATATTGCAATAAAAAATTTGATGTTAAAAACGTAGTTTTGGAAATTTATTATTTTGTTGTTCTTGTAATGTACAACAAGTTAAAACATTACCATTGTGGCTAATATATCAATCAAAAAAACGAACAGAAAATTTTACATACAAAAAATACTGAAATGAACATAACTTTTCAATTTTGCAGTAAATATTAAAAAAAGATTTGAAGGGAGATCTAGAGGTGAAGATTAAAGTATAAAACTTAAGTTGCAGTAGCCTTATGATTGTTTTATTGTGAATCATGTGTGCTTGAAATGGTTACTTCCTCTTTGTTGTATTAAATATTGAACTACAAAGAAGATTATGTATAATTACAGGTTCAATGCATTAATATTAAAGCTAATACAAAAACATATTTTTAAATATAAATGGCAAAACACTGACTGATTTTTTTTTGTGACTGTTAAAGTGCACTTATTACGTTCAAAAATTATTTGCTATATATATTTGGGAAAACGTATAAATTTGTAAATATAAATTAAAGTTTTTCCAAGGGAGGTATTTTTGAGAAAAGGAAGTAACTTATACAGTAGTCATAGAAGAAAGCCAGAATGTTTGAAACTTTATTCCAAACAATATTGTAACATGCACAGTAAAAAATACTTGTCTCTCTGTCTGATATTATGAGTAACTTTTTGTGCAGGACAGACTATATATATTTAAATTTTGAAAAAAAGAAGCTGATATAATTGTTATCAACATTAATTTTTTATGCAAATGTTGTTCTAAGAAGGTAGGTATTTTATACAGCTCAATTACATTTTTTTTGTAAATATATTTATGTAATTTCATTTTTTGTAAGTAAAATAGAAATATTTTATTTTGCCACCATTTATGTAACAATCTTAAGGTGTCATCAGTTTACTTGATATTGAGGTGAAGGTTGATGTATTGAAAAAAAAATCTCAAAAAAGTATGTTAAAAGTAAGTTTTAGTTCACAGCTGGCTAAATTTTCAATATGTTCAAATCTGTGTTATCTACTATAAGCTTGAATCCTCAATCACTAGTTCAAAATCAGTTGTACTTGAGGAAATATTTGTATGGTTCTTCTATATAGTTTTACCTAAATCTTTTTGAGTAATGTAAGAAGAACACAAATAAATTTCCAAAACATACAATTCTGTTAAAGGAATTTATATGAGTGTGTCATATACTTCATAAAGATGTGATATTGAAATAGTTAATACAGTGCACATTACTTTCATAAGAATTATTATTATCCCCCTTTATCCAGTAAAGAATTACATTTTCTAAATTATCTTTTGTTTCTCCTGATTCTATTGAGGAAATAGTATATAAATTTTCATAAGTTTTAGAATGTGATTTAAAGCTTCTCAGTAGGAGGCTTGATATTTGGTGCAAACATGAACATTTAAAAAAATTCAGTTCCACAGAAAATACTGCAGTCATATGAGTTTGTTCTAAGTTGAGTTTAAGTACATGAAGCTGCTATAACTCTTCCAGATTGAATGTTTAAATTCAAAATTTGACCACTGTGACAGAACATTTGAAACTTTTATCATTGTTCTCTCTACAAGCAGTTTTATAAATACATAAAATTATATACTGAACAATCTTTGCAAAAAGCCTTAAAAGGATAAATTACTGTTCACAATCTCTGATATTATATACATGTATCTGGTCCTCACAGTAAAATGACACAGTAAAAACTTTCTTCCATTTTCAAAACTACTTTGTAGGGAAGGATACGATCTTAGGAAATAATATTTACATATATGGTATTTTTATATGAAATGACAATTTTACAAGATTATTTATGTAATGCTTTTAGCATTAAATGAAAACATATGCTTTTTACTTGATACTTTTCTTTATGAAAGAAGTATCGTAATGCTACAATGAAGACGAAATTATGACAAGAATGAAAAAAAAAACAATAATGATTGCTGGGTTTGCTTTTTAGCTTTTTTTTCCACATTAATTTTTTGTATTTTTATCTTATAGTATTGTGTTTGACATGTTTAAATCTTCATTATCATAAATTGTTGGTAGATACTCACAAAGATTTCTATATTATTTACAGTTAAAAACCAGAAAACTAAGTTAGCATCAATATCACTTGGATTACCAGAGTTACCAACTGGTGTCAAACATACAAGATCATTTACATATAACAAGAAAAATTACCAACATGTAGATCTTACTATTGGTAGGTATTGCTGTATATAAAGGTATTGCTGTGAATATTTTTTATTTAACGACTGTTGAAGACAGGACGTATTATGGTAGATCAATGTATGTCTGTCCAGCAACTCGTGTATGATAACTAAAATTTGCTTTGACCAATTCTCACTACATATTGATTTACTGAAAAATTTCCCAATTGTTGGAAACATAAACAGTGAGATTTCAAAACAGTTTGGATATGTCATTCCAGAGTTATGGGACTTTGAACATCAGATAAAGAAAAGGCATTTTTTTAGAATATCATGCATTAGCTCTAGTATGCTTGGGTCAAATTACTACAAACTTAAAACTGTTGTTAGTATTGGTGACCGTGAATGTAGATTTGCTTTTGATTTTGGAAATTTTCTGGTATGCCATTCCAGAGTCATGGGACTTTTAATTGCCATATTTGAAGCAATATTTATAGGGCTAAGGCCTTATGATATCCTCAAGCATGATATTCTACAGAGCCATTTTATTTGCTTCTGAGTAAATGCCTTCTAAACATCCCATTTTATTCTTGCAACAATTTCAATATGCACAATAAGGGCATATCATACTCTCTTTTTGCAGCTGTTATTAACATCTGTTATTCATTCAATTTAATTAAGTTTTACTGCAATCAATATTAATTTTCAGTTTTTTGATGAATAGCAGCAGTTAATTTTACCCAATAAAACATTGTTGCTGTAATAGTCGAAACAACGAAACATTAAATTCATAGTGCTTAGAAACAACAACTTTTATTTAATTTCTAAAATAGGTAAACATGCAATTAAATCAACAGTCATAGGAATATTAAAGAGGGTGGTTAATAGTTATTTTCATTCAAAGATTTATCTTTTTTTATTGAACATGCTTCAATTCTATACACTCCTTGGTCAATGCAATTGGTGCAAAGTATTCATTAAACTACAGACAAGAAATAATGTGCTAGTCATGTACAATTTAAAGAAAATTTTATTTATTTGTTCCTGTGCATTTATTAAGATTTGAGTTAATGTTCCTCAAAGAGTTATTAAAAGGATTCATTATCATGCAGAGAGCATGGCTGTCTACTACCTACAGGTGTAATACCACTAAATCATAGTACGTCACATCCAGTTGCATACGAAAAAGGGTCGAAAAAAAATATTCCCTCGAATTTGACAGTTGTAGGAAATTAATTCTACATTTCATTGCAGTAAAAAATTTCTGAGTCATAAACATATATCTTGGGTGTTTCAAAGCACCATTATTTTTTTATTTGGTGTTTCTATAGAATATTTTGGAAACTTGAGGTTACATGGTTACTAAAGCTTGTACACAGGAAAAAAAGGAGTGAAAATTTGATTGGTTAACTTACAGTGATGGTTATTTTCTTATATGCAATGAAATGTTATGTGAAATTTTGTCTATAGTACTGGACAGGATAAAACTTTACTCATGCCAAGTATTTCTTTATTTGAAACAAAGATAAATTCTGCACAATTTTTTTAAAAGTGCAAATTTAACAAAGACTAATAGGGAAAAATTAATGGTGGTATTACACCTACACAAGAAGTGTTATATGAATTGAAGGAGATGTGTAGTATATACATCGGACTTGGACTTCTTTTAAACTGAGTTTAACTGTGCGTATCGCTGTATGTTTTTTTATTCCACATTGGCTAGAGGTATAGGGTTAGGGTTGTGGTCTGACAAAACATGTGCAACCTCGCCACATGTTTTCGCCTGTCCCAAGTCAGGAACCTCTGGCCTTTGTTAGTCTTTTATGTTTTTCAATTTTGGTTCATTTATATGTTTAGTTTAGTGTGACGTCCAATTTCGCTGAACTAGTATACATTATTGTTTAGGGGCCAGCTGAAGCCCGCCTCCGTGTGTGGGATTGATTTGCTGTGTTGAAGATCCATTGGTGGCCTTGGGCTGTTTTCTGCTCTTTGGTCAGGTTTTTGTCTCTGACACATTTCCCATTTCCATTCTCAATTTTACTTTAATGAGACAACAACCCAAAAACTGAAAAGTTATTTTGTTCTAAATTATCATTTTATACTGTTACATCTGAAAGTAGATTGCAAATGTTGTCCCTTTTACATCCATCCCACACCCCTTTTCCCAATAATTATATTGTAAAAACGGCTGCTGATTATGAGTTTCCTTCTTTTATTATCTTTGAATATAAAAACATTTATAAAAAAGAGGATAAACATATTGATTTTTTTTGCTTTAGCTCCTGTACCAACTCCTCCATTGAGTGTTAGGGAGACTGAAAGTCAGGCATCAGAACATGGTACAACTGTACGAGTTAATATTCCCTCTGTGGAGTCTGTAAGAAAGGAAGCATTGATTGAGGATACAGGTTCTACTGATACACCACATGTAAGTTTACATCTGCAACTTGTTCAGATCATCAGGATTATGAATTTCATGATTCACAATTTGATTGTGAAACCTTTCAAACATAAGGTATAAGGAACTTAGAGACAGTAATCTTTAAATAGTAGTATGCCAAAAATGGAATACACATCTATTTTTTATTTTCAGTGTTTTACATAAACTATTGATTTTATAAAAAAATGTTAATTTTTATTGGTTTAAAAATGAGAACGATCCAATGTTCATGGAGAAATGTCCAAGTTAATGTTTTATCTACAAGTACAAAGAAGACTTTTTTAACCTATTTTTTTACACTCCATGGACATTGCTCCTAGTTTCTATTGACAATTTTTCAACTGTTTTCATTTAGAAAGCATAATTTAGTATGGAGACCCTTTGGAGTCTACATGTCTATAATTTTTCTTTATTGAATTAAAGATATTTTAAACAAACTTTAATTTTAAAAGACTAGTTAGTGAATTATATTGCTCTATTTTAGAGAAAAAATCCTTTAAGAAAGGTAGATAATGATTCAAAAGCATGTTAAATTTGACAGTTTAAGTATAACAGCATGAAAAGTGGTAATAAAACACAAACGTCTGGTTTCCGTTCTCTAACTTTAGTTTGCCTTGACCAAATTTTATGAAACTTATACACAATGCTTATTACCACAAAACACAGATCAAGTTTGAATTTTGGTGGCACCACTTTATCCGTTCTAGAGTTATGCCCCTTTATAAATGGAAAAATTGCTAAATTTGTTGTTTCCGTTCTCTAACTTCAGTTTGTCTCAACCAAATGTTATGAAACTTATACACAATGCTTATTACCACAAAACACAGATCAAGTTCGAATTTTGGTGTCGTCACTTTTGTTGTTCTAGAGTTATGCCCCTCTACAAATGGAAAAATTGCTGAATTTTTCGTTTCCGTTCTCTTACTTTAGTTTGCCTCAACCAAATGTTATGAAACTTTTACACTATGCTTATTACTACAAAACTCAGATCAAGTACAAATTTGGGTAGCATCACTTTTACAGTTCTTGAGTTATATCCCTTTATAACATTATATGCAAGCGGGGGCATCATCTGTGTCCCATGGACACATTCCCCATTTATTTTATTTTCAATTTATTTGATTTTACTTTATTATTTGATTTTATTCTTGCACGATATTCTCATGTTACATTTTTAACAGTTTCATGAAATTAAAAAAAAAAAAATCATCAGCAAATTTTCAATTGACCAACTATTCATTTTTATCATACTTCCCTGTGCCCTTATCACCCTGCTCAGTGCCTTTGTAATTCTGGTATCATGGCTTTGTGATGTTTAAGCAGAAGTTATAGAGGAGAAAAACCAAGCGATAATAATGCCTGATTTTTGTTTACCTGAAACATTGTAAAATTTTCTGTGAAAATCCAATAACCTTTACTAATATGGAAACACACCTAATACACTGAAACTATTAGTCATAAATACATATTTTCTTTGTTTGTAACTTTAACTAATTGAAATAATGTCTAAGTAAACTTGCATGTTTGGACAGTGAAAAACTAAAAAATGCTACTGTGCGAGCTTCAATTTTTAATATTTTGGCCATACTAATGTATTGCAATTTAGAAGTGTTTATAAGAAAAATGCATGCTGAAGATGACAAAAACTTGACAACTGCAAAACAATGATCTTGGTTCTGATACGACATTACAAAAATTTTGTTGCAACATTTTATACTAATTAAATGTAGACAGTGATATGTCAGCTAAATGGTGCCCATTATATTTTATGTACTTAGCAAGTCAAGAAGACTTATCTTATGTACTCTGTTTTTACAGTCACTACCAAAGAAGTATATCTTTCTTGATTTATTCAATTATATTGTAAGTTGAAGTGGATTGGTCAGATTTCAAATGAAAATTCCAAAACAAAGCATTCATTAACCAATAGTTATAAGAGGTAAAACTTTCATAGCATGTCATATTGAATCAGATATAAAAATAATGAGTATCTAATCTTTTTTGTCGACCTTTGTGAATGGTGTTTTCTGTCAAATTTGATGTAAAGACAGTTGAAATACAGAATGCAAAGACACATTAAGTTTCATTGTCCTTTGTATTTGTATGGATAAATCACACCATAGGCATAACAACTTGATATTGATAAATGGTGACATATAGAAAATGTGAAGACAATTCATAGTTCATTCTACTTATATACAAGTCACCCTAAAAAGATTGTGACAACATTTATACCAAAGGCTACCATTCACGCACATTTGTTTCTAGTATGTTTAAAATAGAAACTGAGAAATCTTCATTATTTGAATAATTTATATTTATTTTATTGTAAATAAGGTCTTTGAAATCTGACTATGATGCTTTTATTTATTATTTTCTTACATTATGGCTTGGTACAGGGATTAAGGTTTTAGGCTAAGAAATTATTCTTATGACCTTTAGAAATTATAGAATTTTGTTGGTTTATTGTTTATATAATAAATGAAAATAGATATATAGTATTGTAGACTGTAGTTTGACCCAATATATTTTTCTGTGTTAAAGGCAGTTTGTATTTAAAATGTCATTAATACATAGATCTATGCACAATTTATTTTCATATGACAGCAACTTACAGTTTTTACTAATTACTGTGTAAATACTTATTCACAATCCTAGCTCAAAACAGCTTTTCAATATTTGTCAAATAGAAAATGTGCATAGTTAAATATTATGCCAATACAATAGGCAAAGAAAGGTTACGTTATATGAGATAAAAACATGAAGCAATATGTTAAAAACATGAAGAGTTATATGACACCATTATGTGTACACCAGACTAAGTAAAAGTGTCCCTCGAGATTGTTACTGTCAGTGACAAGATTTCCCCATTAGGAATTATATACAACGTAGAGCTAATTTAAAGGATTACAAACAGTATATAGAGGAAATAATAGCTTATATTGGAGCATCCAGATGTTTTGTCTATGAAAGAAAATGCAAGCAAAGGAATGCTAATCCAGCAGCAACTTGTAAATTATTTGTGTAAAGCTTAATATTTTAGGATTCAGTAGACCTGGATACTTTATATCTTGTATACAGATGTCTTATGTTCTGAAGTTAACATTTGGCATATGTTTGTTCAACTTTGTTGTCATTGAAGCAATTTTCATGGTTCAGCAACTAAATTATCACATGATTTTCTCACTCATTTTGAGTAATAGGATAACTATGTTTGGTAAATAGAATAATATAAAGGTCTACAATTCCATCAAACAGGGTTCATCTAACATTGATCTCATTTCATAGATCAGCAATCAACATTAAAGTGTTCCTGGTTAGTTCCTTTTCTCAGATACTATTTATGCAATAGGTCTACTATATGTAGTGTATGGAATGATTTTATTGTGAACATGTCTGTCTGACAGGGTTCATCTGACCGTGACCTCATTTTCATGGTTCATTGGTTAATGTTATGTTCTTTTGTGTTTATGTCTGTTTCTCAGATGCTATAAAGCCTATATGCAATAGGTTATCTTTAATTGGTGTTTGGAATGATTGTAAGGTTGCCATGTACATGTCCATCTTGCAGGGTTTATCTGATCTTGAACTTATTTTCAATAATTGTTGAAAATGTTAAGTTTTTGTGGTACTTGTAGTACATTTTGTATATGAAAGACTTTTAACATAAATTTCATCATGATCAGTATAGCAGGGAGACATTTCATTGTGCAGAAGTGTGTCCTTTCTATTGTGTTCCATCTGCGTGGTCATTTAGGCTTAAATACCTTTAGGGCAGGGAGAAATGAAAACAATTAATGTTGAAAATTCAAGTTGTTTGTTGATAGTAAAATATATTAAAGGCTACTTATGACAGTCTTTATGATTAATTACAAGCACAGCAGCTGAGGTTTGTAAAAACACCACCTGAATTTTGCATTTACAGACAAGCATGCACTTTGGTCTATTGGAAAAATCTTTAAAGAATTGGTTTCACCCCATTGGTTAAAAAAAAAAAAAAATTGTGAAGACTCATTACTTGTTAGAATTAGCTAGTGTTGATTAGGTCTAGATTTGAAACTTTTCAGTCACACATAATTAATTATTTTACTCTTGTTTATACTTTATTTTAATTATTATATAAAGAAATTCAATTGTGTTTATAAGTTTAAAGAATGTTTCTTGGCATAAAAATAAACAAAGACAAGAAGAAAAAAAATCAACATAACAATTGTAAAAGCCAATGAAATGCTCAAAAATATTTTTTTTTTACAAATAAACAGGCAATGTGTTTAAATATATTTGAAAGGGATGAACATTTTACTTTTAAGAATTGATTCTACGGTGTGTTGATGTCACTAGATATAAAAGTGATATGGGCACAGTAATAAATAGAAGAACTGCCTGATATTTTCAAAAATGTAAACATGTATATAGTATCCAGAAAGCTTCCTTGTCTATTATATACTAGTTAGGTTTGTACCGTATTACTAGTAAATATTTTCATTATTGAAAGTGACTGAAGGAAAATAAATTCATTATGATGCTTGACGTTTCTATATATCTTCAGTAGTTTGACAAGTCTTGAATGATTGTCATTAATTAACAAAATGTTATTGCAGTCTTCCAGATCTGGACGTGAAGCAGCTCCCATGCATACTGTATCCCCTGCCTTGTCTACTAAAGTACCACATGCTCCTGCTACAACTCCAGCGACACACCAGACACCTACTGGTACCTTTAGCAGAGATACTACAATGAGATCACAGGTTCAAACCAGAGGAGATACAAGAGAAGGTGTATCATCACCAACACAAAATATAAGAGCTCCTACAAACTCACCAAGGCTGTCTCCAGAACCAACAGGTAAAACCAAAGTTCCTAAAACTAATCAGGGCTTTTTTTAACCAACAGGTAAAATCCTAGTTCCTTAAAATATATCAAGGTTTTTTTTAAATCAAGATGTAAAATTGGAATTCTGCAAACTTTTTAACCACTAGTCTATGATCAATTTCTGAAACTTCATGTAAATATAGAACTCCAGCAATACAACAATGTAATGCTATCACTAAGTATTTCTATTAATTAAATAAATGCACATGTAAGAGGGTAGATCCTACTAAACCTTTTCTCAAAACTAGTAAGGAAGATCAAGATTTATGCAAAAATGTACCAAAACAATTAACAAAACAAACATATGGCTTCTACATAATTCATTAATAGATTCACACATTTTAATTTGAACTGCAACAGACTGATAAGCTTTTTAATGAATATTTAGTTCAGATCTTCAATACACAATGGGGGGCCTCGGTGGCCGAGTGGTCTAAGTAGTTACTGCTGTAATCACTACCCAGTCAACACTGAGGTTGTGAGTTAGAACCCCGCTCGTGCGGGTGCACTTGACTCCAATCTTAATTGACTAGGATTGTCAGTTTTCCTATCGAAGGTCGGTGGTTTTCTCCGGGCACTTCAGCTTCCTCCGCCAATAAAAACTGGCCACCACGAAAAAGCCCAAAAGCGGTACTTAAAAGTGGCGTTAAAACACCAAAAATCAAAATCAAAATCAATACACAATGTATCACTTAGGCTATCATTAAAATTAGTGAGAACTAGACCAGTTCAGATACAAACTCAAAAAAATGTTCATCCAGTTTGATAAAAGTCCAATTGACCAATTTACACTACAAACAGAATCAAGAAAAATGTTCAGAAGCTGCAGCAGTATTGTCAGTCCAAATCCATTAACCTAGACTGACACTTGACATTGCAATATATCTGCCAACACTCCGATTTATCATTTGAATTGATTGATTTCAAACATAATTTGATTAAAATGGGTGACACGAGCTACCAATAATCCAGCTAGCAATATCTTAAAATAAAGTTGTTTGTCAGTCAATATGTTCTTTAATTAAAAACATTGTAATCTTACATCAGTGACAAATGGACAAACTTTATATTTGAGTGATAAATGAATCAAGACAAAATTGATATAAAAGAAATTGGACCAAAAGATGAAACAGTTTCATTTTCTTCACAACTAAAGTGAGGTTTTAACAAACCTAACTGCAAATTAAAAAAATTGAATACAGATTTTTTAATTATACCTTATACCTCTTCCTTTTCATTTATTTCTGGCAAATTTATTTGCAGGAGGTCTTGATACAATTAAGGAAGCACAACACGAAGGTGGTATTGATTCAGCTCATCCTGTTTCAAGAGGTGGAAGAAGTGTAAGATTTTCACAGGATGTTCCAGAGGTCCCAGCCCCTCCATCATCACCTGACAGGGAAATAGAGGGACCAAGATCTAGTGTTACAACACCTATGGAACAACCTGAAACACCAAAACCAACATCAGGCAATACTGTGAGGTCAAATAAATCAACTGTTAATTCATCTGTCAAAGAAAACAGTGATCTTGAACTGAAACCAATTGTGTCAAAACTAAAAGATCCATCAACAGTGTCTACTCCAGAACCATGGCCGTCAGTTAATGAGGCAGATTATGATATGACCCCATCTGGAACAAATGCTGGACTTCATGAAAGCAGTCAAAATACTCACTCATCCAGTGTTAACCTGGATTCTAGATTAGCATTGGGAGATCCAAGCTCCAGGAATTATACCACAGCTAATTCTACAGTAAGGTCAGAGGTCAGTAGTGGAACATCACTCACAAGTAGGAATGCCTCTGGTAAAGGGGAATCTCCTGCTCCCCCACCACCATCACCTGAATCTAAAGACAAAAAACAGGATAATCCGAAATCTGGTCGGAAACGAGAACTATTATCTAGAGAATCTTCAATGGCCCCAGTAATTGAGGAAAAAGATGAAGAACATGAAGACACTCATGTTAGAACTTTGGTTGTGGAAGTACCACCTCTTGGACAACCTACAGAAAAGCCCAAGGAAAAAAATCACAGAACAACTGATACATTTATCAATATAGACATTCCAGCAATGAGTATGGATGAACTGAGTATGGAAAAGTCAAGGTCAGATAATAGTCACATGACTGAAATTGTAGAGAGACCAGGAACTGAGGAAAATGAAAGTAGTGGTGAAACAATGGATGGACAAACTATAAATACTCGTGATGCTGTACTGTCAGTTCAGACCACATCTGAGGGAGAACCTAACACTCTTGATCCGGATTCTCAGTCAAATATGGATTCTGCTGGAGTAACACCTTCTATGGGAGCCAATGAGTCTCCTACATCTACTATTCCAGAAAACAAACTCAAAATGGAAGATTTAAAGTTTATGGACCAGACCATGGATGATAAGGATGATAAGGATGAAAAAGAAGAGAAAAATGAGAAAGATTTGGAAATGACAGAAGAAGGTGGAGACCATGCTGGGTTTAAACATGAACTACAAGAAGAACTAGAAAAGTTGTCTCAAAAAGATTCCATAGAAAACAATGCAGAATGAACAAGAGAGCTTTAAATTGTATAAAGAAGTAAAAAAAAATATTTTTAAATCACTGCAGTCATTGATTTTGAAATTGCCAGTAATGATAAAACAAATAATTGAAGTATTAGATACATTTTAGATGAAACAGTGATACTTACAGTAAAAATTCATTAAAAGTTCAGTAATAAGTTGAAAATTTGAAACCTCTTTCATAATTATCTTTATCTTGTAGAATGAAATTCACATTCTTTGTGCACTGTAATATGCTTTTTCTGTAACCAGGGTTACTAAGCCATATAATGCAGCAATTGATTAAAAGGTGTTTTGATCGAAAGACAATTTGAACTATCACATTTGTTGTTGCAATATTATATTTTGTCAAACAATTTTATGGAAATGAATCGATATGAATTATATCAACATATTTGATTTCATAATATTATTAATGAAATGTGTAGGTATTTGAATTTATGATAATTATAATACAGAAATTTATACAAAAGAATTGTTATAAGTTTTGCATTTCTGAATAATCTTAATTTGATGTACAAAAAATATGTTTGTGAGGATTACCTTGTAGTTGAAACTAGTTTTGATAGTTTTTCAAAATATTTAGTTACTAGGATAGTCAAAAGCATAGGAAGAGATCTAGTTTTATTTTACTGAAGTACATGTTAAATCTATGGCAGTTTTTCAAGTGTTTAAAATGTGAGCAAGATTATAAATTATGAAGTCAGTGTGAAACAATCCCAATGATTTTTATAAATCAATTTTAGGCTTGTTCTAAAGCTTTATTGATTAGTGATCATGGCAACAAGCAATTGTAAATTATTGTAATATATTGCATTGTTTTCTAAAAACCCATGTTAATATGACTATAATTGGATTTTTTTTTGTTTTTTTATGGTTTTTTAAATCAAAACAAAGTTTTAAATTTATTTAGATACCCAACACTGATGACTTATAGAAACAGTTTTTATTGATTTAAAAAATAATAAAAACAGTGCAAAGAATAATTGCTAGGACAATTTTTTTTAATCCTATAGGACTCTTAATATCCATAACGTGGCAAAAATGAAATAAAAAAATGTCAGAATAATAGGATAACAAATAAACAGTGACAACACTTATCATTGTAATAGAATGAGCAAACCATACAGTATTATGTGTGTAGTTCCACTGGGTATTCAATTAATACACTCAACTCTAAAAAAACACTATTGGAATGAGATTGTGAAGTCATATAAATGGTAATTTATACATTTAGAATAATATCATTGCTACCAAGAGAATGATATAGTTAACCAATTTCATCAGATTCATCCTTAAAATTGCTTTTAATTTACCAAAGCCACAAAAAAGTGATAAGCATTACGTATACTGATTTTCATACATGTATTTAGTTTGTTAGGTTTCAAATCCCTCAAGCAAAGATGATAATAAACTGTTTTAATGGTCCCAAGTAAGGCAGTTGTTATTGTTATGCTCTTAAATATTAAATAATTTTGGCTATCCTAATTTTGGCCACGAGGGGACTTGATGAAGGTTTATTCCAAAGATATGTGGTGTGCCCGTTGAAATGGATATGATATACAATATATATTTTGTTTGTTAGTGGTAAGCAATTGCCGATTTTTTTATCTCTTTCACATAGATCAATCAAGAACTTTTTGGATGTACAATATGATTATATCTTTTCAACCATTTTCCTTCTGTAGTGATAGGTATTGTTTGTTTGATGCATGTGTCTCAAGAACTTTGCAAAATAAATCAATTACATTTGGTTAGTGCATTTCATGCCAGGAATACTAATATATCCATCTGAGAAATTTTAGCAAACCTGACCATGTTTTTTTTTTCTTAATTACTTTTATTCCTCAGTTAACTATGGATGATTGGTCTGCAATATGATTTTAACGGGAAAATTTCCATCTGATATGTCATATGACCTAAACGTCATTTCTTATTTCAATTTTCATGTCAGCCTTGTATACATGACCTTGACCTCACATTCTTATGGTCAGGTTATATCTTCTGCATTAAGTATCCCCCTTAATAACTGTAAATGACAAGTCAATAATATTTGGTGGTATATATTTATTTCATGAAATAAATTAAATTGTGAATTTTTAATGCCTTATGGAGCATAGTACTCCATTAGTTGGGTTAAGATTAGTAAATTTTCTGTTCTTTAAAGCCTTACAAGTCTTAATGGTTTGTATACATAGATGTCATTTAAATTAAAACATTTTGACGCACTTTGAATTCAGTTATCAATCCAATATTTTTATTAATTTGATGTTTATTTAAAATTGCATGTATTATGTTCTTAATTTACAGTCTAGACATTGTGATATTTCAGCAGGTAACACATTTTATGGTGTAAATGATGTTTTTGCATATTGGCTACCCGAAATTGTCCCAATTTGAATCTATTCATGGACTAATTTTGTCCATTTCAAATCTAAATAAAATAAGAAAAACAATTTTTTTTTGATATACCTGATACATGTATTGTTGTCCTTTTATACATTTTAATGAAAATAATTGATTGTTAGTTGTCAATACTTTCAACAATCAGCATTTTTTTTTGGGTAAAATTGATTCAACTCTATGATTTTAAGTCTTGTTTAAAATCAACACCATTTTTATATATTTTTTTTTATTTTTATCAAATCAAACAGTTAAACTATTTGAAATTTGATTATTTAAAAATAGCAAAATTACAAAACAGTATTAATCAGAACTAATATTCTCTTGCTGATACAATATTTAATCATTCTGTCTTTTAGTTAATATTAACTGTAAACCTTTAGAGAACAATTAATGCAACACTGCATAAAGATATCATTTATAGAAAATCTTCATTGATAAAAATCATTACTGCTTTTAGTGCCCAGTGATTGATGATCATAAATTAAACCAATATTCACTGTGGAGGAAGGCAAATGCATATCATTTCTAGGGAAATTCCCTAATGAAACAATTTACTGATGCAGAGAAAAAGTTCAAATAGTGTCTGATTCCCAGGTGTGGAATTTACCTGAAATTGACATTTACACACACCAGGTAACCAGACTGAGATAGGAATCACAAGTTACTCTTATTATCAACAATCAATTTGAGTTATATTTGAAAATGTCACGTTTTAATAATCAGTTATGATTTACGTGGTAATTTTTCATGAATATTTCATTTGTACATTAATACTGCATTTATTTGATCTATTTTTACCACTTTTTAGAGTATTATATTCTTTTAAATGCATTATTAAAAATGGATATATTTGTCAGATTTTATTAAAGAGTGGCAAGTGAATTTTTTTTGTATAATTTGATCTTGTGTTATCAATTTCTATATGTAATGTTTGCATAATTGATACATTCTTAAGATAGTTTTCCTTATATATGTTTTCTTATAAGATAGTTTGTCATATGTTAATTTATATTAGTGCTTTTGTTATAAAATTCTATGTATTTCGCTGTCTGTGATATTTCACATTTTTAGCTCACCTGGCCCAAAGGGCCAAGTGAGCTTTTCTCATCACTTTGCGTCCGTCGTTGTCGTCGTCCGGTGTCGTCTGTTAACTTTTACAAAAATCTTCTCCTCTGAAACTACTGGGTCAAATTTAACCAAACTTGGTCACAATCATCATTGGGGTATCTAGTTTAAAAAATGTGTCCGGTGATCCGGTCAACCAACCAAGATGGCCACCATGGCTAAAAATAGAACATAGGGGTAAAATGTAGATTTTGGCTTATATCTCTGAAACCAAAGCATTTAGAGCAAATCTGACATGGGGGGTAAAATTGTTTAGCAGGTCAAGATCTATCTGCCCTGAAATTTTCAGATGAATCTGACAACCCGTTGTTGGGTTGCTGCCCCTGAATTGGTAATTTTAAGGAAATTTTGCAGTTTTTGGTTATTATCTTGAATATTATTATAGATAGAGATAAACTGTTAACAGCAATAATGTTCAGCAGAGTAAGATCTACAATTAAGTCAACTTGACCAAAATGGTCAGTTGACCCCTTAAGGAGTTATTGCCCTTTATAATCAATTTTTAACCATTTTTCGTAAATTTTTGTAATCTTTTACAAAAATCTTCTCCTCTGAAACTACTAAAACAAATTTAACCAAACTTTTACACAATCATCATTAGGGTATATAGTTTAAAAATGTGTCCGACGACCCCGCCCGCGAACCAAGATGGCCGACATGGCTAAAAATAGAACATAGGGGTAAAATGTAGATTTTGGCTTATATCTCTGAAACCAAAACATTTAGAGTAAATCTGACATAGGGTAAAACTGATTATCAGGTCAAGATCTATCTGCCCTGAAATTTTCAGACCAATCAGGCAACACGTTGTTGGGTTGCTGCCCCTGAATTGGTAATTTTAAGAAAATTTTGCAGCTTTTGGTTATTATCTTGAATATTATTATAGATAGAGATAAACTGTAAACAGCAATAATGTACAGCAAAGTAAGATCTACAAATAAGTCAACATGACCAAAATTGTCAATTGACCCCTTAAGGAGTTATTGCCCTTTATAGTCAATTTTTTACAATTTTTTCATAAATTTTGTAAATTTTTGTAAATTTTTACAAAATATTTTCCACTGTAACTACTGGGCCAAGTTCATTATAGATAGAGATAATTGTAAGCAGCAAGAATGTTCAGTAAAGTAAGATCTACAAACACATCACCATCACCAAAACACAATTTTGTCATGAATCCATCTTTGTCCTTTGTTTAATATGCACATATACCAAGGTGAGTGCACAGGCTCTTTAGAGCCTCTAGTTTATTTATTGATAATCTTTGTTTTCTTAAATGAATTGCTTTTCAGAATATAACTTTAGGAATTTTCCTTAAACTTTATGTTCATTATTTGGGGGTTTGATATATTGAATTAACCAGCTGCCTGTTGCCAACAATGAATTAACTAGCATGATAAAAAGAAAAACCACATTTTGCAAGTTTAAAAAAAAAAATGTGTTTTTTTTGGTTTGTTTTTGTTCATATCTTTATAGTACCAAATGTTGTTTTAAGGACAAGCTAACTGTAGAATAATGGTAATTTGATAGAAATGCATTAATATATACTTTTAACCAGAACTTACATTTATGTTATAAAGCACATCTGTGATAACTTAAATTAAATTTATGAAAAAACCTTGATTTTTTATGCATAAGATGATTCATTGATATTGCTGTCCTACATGGCCTTCTGTCTTGGTAGATATTTGAATAGATTCTATATATTTATACCTTTGCTCTATGACTTCTTTGTTTTGCCAGCAAATTTAGCAGAATATTTCATTAAGAAGAAGCCATAGGATTAATATTTTACACATGGGCCCTTATTGGAACCCAAAGGAGAAAAGGAGAATCTTTAATTATTATTAGTAATAAATCAAATATATTTTGTCTATTTGATGGTCGAAATGTGAACATATAAATAAGAAGATGTGGTATGAGTGCCAAAGAGACAACTATCCATCCAAGTCACAATGTGTAAAAAGTAAACAATTATATGTCAAAGTACAGCCTTCAACACGGAGCCTTGTATGTTATAAAGTATGTTTGTCTGAAAGGAGTCACCTGCCCTTGACCTTATTTAATTATTAAATGATCAACATTAAGGTTTTTCACTAAAGACAGCCTCACATTACTGTGAGTAAGTGGTCAACCTGATTTTGTTTACAAAATGATTGTAAAGTGCAATTTCTTTTAGCTCACCTGAACAACAGGTCAGTGTGAGCTATTGCCATCACTGGACATCTGTCATAGGTGTAAACTTTTAAAATATCTTCTCATCTGAAACCACTGATCGTATTTGATCCCAAACTTGTGGGAATATTCTTTGGCATGTTAAGTTTATGATATTGGCCTGAGATTTGAATTTATGTCCCTGGAAGTTTTTTTTTTAGCAAATTTTTGTAGTATTATGTCATTTTGATAACATCTCGAAAACAGAACTATATAGAGAGAAACTTTAAGTGGAAAAATTGATTTATTGACTGATTGATGATACTTTCAGCAGTATTGTGTATATTGTGGCGGCCAGTTATAATTGTTGGAGGAAGCTGTTTGCCCAGAAAGAACCACAACCTTCGTCATGAAAACTGACAAGCTTAGTAGATTAAGATCGGAGCCGAATGCACCTGCCACTTGCAGCAACATAAGACTACTCAACCCTGAAAAAATCGACCATCCAGACAAGATCTACAAATATATTTGAATTCGGAAATCAGTCAACTCCTGATAGTTCATGCCCTTAAAAGACAATTTTTGACCATTTTTTCGTTTTTAGCTCACCGGGGCCTTTCGGGCCCCATGTGAGCTTATGCCATCACTTGGCGTCCGTCGTCGTCCGTCGTCTGTCGTCGTAAACTATTTCAAAAATCTTCTCTGAAACTACTGAGCCAAATACCTTCAAACTTTAACTAAATGTTCCTTAGGGTATCTAGTTTATAAATTGTATCCGAAGTTTTGATCCATCGACAAACATGGCCGCCATGGCTAAAAATAGAACATAGGGGTCAAATGCAGTTTTTTGCTTATATCTCAAAAACTAAAGCTTTTAGAGCAAATCTGACATGGGATAAAATAGTTCAAATGGTCAAGATCTATCAGCTCTAAATTTTCAGACGAATTGAACAACCCATTGTTGGGTTGCTGCCACCGAATTGGTAGTTTTAACAAAAATTTGCAGTTTTTTGTTATTATTTTGAATATTATTATAGATATATATATAAACTGTAAGCAGCAATAATGTTCAGCAAAGTAAGATCTACAAAAAAGTTAAATGACAATAATTGTCAATTGACCCCTTAAGGAATTATTGCTCTTTAAGGACAATTTTACACAATTTGTTCATCAAGTTTGCTAACATTTAAAAATCTTCTCCTCTGAAACTACTGGGCCAATTACCTTCAAACTTTAACTTAATGTTCCTTAGGGTATCTTGTTTATAAATTATATCCGAAGTTTGTATCCATCGACAAACATGGCCGCCATGGCTAAAAATAGAACATAAGGATCAAATGCAGTTTTTTGGCTTATATCTCAAAAACTAAATCTTTTAGAGCAAATGTGACATGGGGTAAAATTGTTCAATTGGTCAAGATCTATCGGTCCTGAAACTATCAGACGAATCGAACAACCCATTGTTGGGTTGCTGCCACCGAATTGGTAGTTTTAACAAAATTTTGCAGTTTTTTGTTATTATTTTGAATATTATTATAGATATATATAAACTATAAGCAGCAATAATGTTCAGCAAAGTAAGATCTACAAAAAAGTTAATATGACCAAAATTGTCAATTGACCCCTTAAGGAGTTATTGCTCTTTAAAGACAATTTTACACAAATTGTTCATCGAGTTTGCTAACATTTAAAAATCTTCTCCTCTGAAATACAGGTGAGCGATTCAGGCTCTTGAGAGCCTCTTGTTTGCTATACTCTTGAAAAATGCAGATCAGAAAAATCTCAAGGTTGAAATCATCAGTTGACTTCTAGGTGTTATTACCCTTAAATGATGATTTTTGCCGATTTGGTCAATTTTGGCAAACAGTAGATAGAGAGAAACTGTAAACAGCAAAGTTGATCAGCAAAATAGAATCTACAAATACGGCGTTATGACCGAAATCATCAGTTGACCTCTTGCATGAATTATTGTCCTTCAATAATAATTTTAACAAATTTGTTTTGCATTCTTGCCAAAAACTATAGCAGATTTCGTATAGTAGTTATTGCCCGACATCAGAATCTTTAACATATTATTGCGTTTTGTGCTTTTATCTTGATGAAATAAAACTGTTAACAGAAAATATGATTAGCACTACAAGATCTATAAGAAAATACTTTAAGACTGGACATGACTCAATAATAAATTGTTCAGACTTTTCAGATGATGTTAAGATCAAAATGACCGATTAAGAGTAATTTTTTACCAGTAAATGAAAGTAATATTCACATCGGACGTGACCTTTGTATAAAACAGTAACACAGACACCTTCTGTCGAAGAATGGGTCTTCCTACGAGACTGTGGAATACCAAGTGACCACGCGACCCTCGCTTGTGCAATACGGTCAGCGTTGATTGTCCAATGACCTCTGCTTAATAATATTATTTTGCCGTTTCCTTAAAAAATCGATAGCGTTGTTAAATCTTATTTTCAACACTGTCTTTTATGATTGTTTGTTTAGTTTTCATGTTAAAGCAAGACATACTCTTTCTTAATCTTGCCATTATACCATCATGGAATGATTAATTCATGTATTTTATACAACTTTTATACTGAAAATTGACATAGTGGTCTGAATGCATTGGATTATAGAAAGAGGTAATGCACAAAGGTCTATTTTTGTTTGCTAAGCTTAATCAGTAACATAATTTTATCAAGGTAGAAATAAATAAAGTTATAAGGGAGTGGAGGAACCAAACCTTATTTTGTACGGTTTCAAAGCCATGTGAAAAATTGAAACTTTCGAACCCCAAACCTTTATTTTTTAGGTATATTCTCCTTACTAATAAAAATCATGTTTTTTCACTGATTTGATTTTTGATTTTGATTTGTTTTATTTAATACGACTGTAGTTTTGTATATATTTTCTCTATTCTCAATGTCTTGTGAGTATATAATAAACCATTTGATACAAGATATAAATTAAAGAATCTTTGTGAGCATGCTCACATACCCCACAATCCCACACTGTCACTGGGCAAACAAAATCTCACCAGATCCCTAAGTTCAAATACTCATAACTCCTACAAAAGTCGACTGATAAAAATATGTACATCTACATAGTATGTCCTTATTATCTACAAAGTTTCATTAAATTATGCTTTCAGAGGAGGTGCGATGACAAACTGTTGCAGTAGCATATTTAGGGCAAAATTCTAAATTCAGAGGGGCATAACTCCTAGAAAGAAAATTGAATTATAATTTCTTGTCGTTATGTTATGCACATCTACATAGTTTGTCCTAATTAACTACAAAGTTTCATGAAATTCTGTTGTGTGGATTCAGAGGAGTTGCGATGACCAACTGTTGCAGTAGTATATTTAGGCCAAAATTCTAAGTTCAAAGGGCATAACTCCTAGAAAAAAAGTTTTATCATAATTTCCTGTTGATATGCACATCTCCATAGTATGTCCTTATTATCTACAAAGTTCCGTGAAATTATGTTATGTGGTTTCAGAGGAAATGCGATGGCAAGAACAGGACTGACGGATGGACAGATGAACGGACTGACGGACGGACAGACTGACAGACGGACAGACTAACGGACGAGTCAAACATTTTATACCCTATAATGCTGTGTTCCCTGGGGTATAATAAGTAGATATCTAGTAAAGGTCAGTGGGTCAGCAACATAAGACAAAAAGTGAGTATATGATATCACAGTTTTATACTAGGTGTAAACAAGGAGATTTCGAGAAAAAACATCGGATGAGCAACCTAACACAATAAATAAATCAGCATATACATCTATAGCCTATTTGCGATATTGAAAATTCAACAACGCAATAAAAAAAACTTCGCTTCCATTATATCTAAAATTGGAATAAATTTTATATAAAATAAGATGTGGTATGAATGCTAATTGGTAAACTATCCAACAGCAATACCCATACTGCATATTTAGCTATAAAAGGCCCCGACATGGCAAAATGTGAAACATTTTAAACGAAAAATAAAACTTCAAGATTAATGATAAAACAATAGTCGAAAAACAAAACGGACAGACCTCAACCAACAAGCACTGAATAACAGGCACCTGTCTTTGGAGAGGCACCTATAAAATGTGACAGGGTTAAAAATATTTGTGAGCGCCCAACCTTCCCCTTACCTTGGAAACAGAACAACATAAGAATACCCCGTAAAAAACAGTTGGAAATGAATGGACTCAACAGGTGGTAAAAAGCACAATACCAACTACGATAAGGACAAAGTACACAACTTACCGATCTGAGAGTACTTCTAGTAATTGTTACTGAAAGTTAATAAGCTCAGTTGATAAGTCGAAATAGTTGGGTGTACTTCATATCTTTACTTACGGCATTTCCGGTTTTCAAAGCTGTTCAACTTTCTATATGATTTGGAGTTTAAAGTGGTTTTACATGAGCGGCACTCATGAGTCTTATGTAGACGAAACACGCGTCTGGCGTACCAAATTATAAACATGGTATTTTTGATGAGATTTTACAGCAACTTAACGGATGACACTTAGGGTATCACTAGCCGAGTAGTCTGCACTT